CGGGTCCGTCAGCCGCCACGCCGCGAAGCGATCAAAACGAGGCGTCCGAGATGAGGCCACAATCGCATGGCGCGTGGGCGGGGGCCTCGCAGGCTGTGGTGGTGTTGCTGCAGTACGTACGAAGAAGAAGTAGCGTACGGAAGAAGAGCGTAGCGTGTTGATGCCGATATCCGGTGTTGACGAGGCCCTCATCGTCGTCATTGCACTCGATGGGGGCGGCGCGAGGCGTCGTGCTGCTTGGGAGTTTCGTAGGTGGGGGGAACCGGCTTTGGACTGAGTGCTGTGCTGCGAGAGGCGAGAGTCGGTTTGGATCAGCTGTGTGGTTTGGAGTGATAGCTCGGCGTTGATGTGCGGGCTCGGGGCGCCTCGAAATGTCAATGCGGTGGCATGAGGCCTGCGCGTAGCAATTGGGTGAGAAACAGATGTCCCGTCTACAGCTGCTTGTAGATGAAGGCGGTTGACCGCTCGTACACATCGACATACCTTATGGCTCTGGCTCATAGAAGACTGCTATTGAGTGTTTCCATATGTCTATACATCACGTCACTGGCTGCGTCGAGGGTTGTCAACTGCTTTTATATACGACGCATCTCGTAAACACCAGCTTCAAGTACACGACTGTTGACTACTTCGTGCCTGTGTAAGAAGTACTTGCCTCGAAGCACTAAATATCGATATACCCCGTCATTGACTTCTCCAAGTGATCGGTACTTGAGTGCTGCAACGAGCTGACAGTGTCTGTCTCTCGATGGCTTCTATGAGCGGCCACTGAACACACCCATATATCGACCCATTTCGCCAATGTCAGTTTCTAGATGACGACTCTTGACTGCTCCTCCAGGGTCACGCATCGCTTCGGTGACTGATCGGGACTGTCGACTCTCTGCACCTGTTCATGTATGCCGCCAATGGCTTGTCCAGATGGTCTGCTGCGACTGCTCGCACATGTCGGCACGTCCAGCCATGGCTTCAACAGGACCAGTGTTGACTGACTACCTTCATATCTCGACATGTTCTGTCCGTGGCTGCTTGTAAATGACCCGTGTTGACTGTTCCCTGATGTACATGTATAATCCGAGGCAGCCTTTTGCTGGCCCTGCTGCCTCAACACCACAACGCCGTGCCGCTCAAATGACAGTCCAAATCAAAGACCATGGCCAATGCTGAAGCCGCTGTGCGACGGCGCAGCAAGCGAACCCTTTCCTCGCATCATATTCGTGATATCCGGGATCCGTTTCAGCACGTCTTCTGTCCATAATTAGGCGGTCACTGCCCCCGCCCTGTGGTATCACCATCCGCCTCAACCCCTCTGGTCGTACCATGGTGAAGCCAACAGCGTCCACACCCTGGTCTCACTCCTTGATATCCAGCGCCTGCCGCAGCACGCCCTCACTCGCGCGCCACCACCGCGCCCGCTGCTCGAGGTCGTCGGCCGCGCCCCCAAGCGCCGCCTCTTTCCGCCTTTGCGCCTCGCGGGCCGCCGCCGCGCTGTTGTGCAGCTTCGCCTCCAGGGGCTGCAGCTCCGCGCGCAGCCTCTCTGCCTCTTTCCTCTTGCGCGGCGCCCTCGACTGCAGCGCCTCCAGTTCACGCGCCAGCTCCTGCTGCTCCGTCTTGCGCTTCGCGACGAGGCCGAGTGTCTTGGCCAGCGGTAGGTTCTGCCCCGGCGCAGCCCCGGGCACGTCGTGCTCCGCCCGCAGCTCCTCGACCTGCGCCTCCAGCTCGCGGATCCGGTCCGGCAGCTCGTCCAGGCGCGCCGTTTCAACGCGCACTCGCTCGTATCGCGAACTCAGCTCCCGGCCCCGGCGCTCCAGCTCCTCCACCATGTCGGCCACCTCGAGCTTGAGCGACTTGAGCTGCGCCTTGGCTTCGCCGTTGGCCCGCTCCAGGTCCAGGTTCTCTTGCATCGTGACGATGAGCGGCGGGTCGCCGACGATGGCCCGGATGAACTTTTCCTTGGTCACCTGCTCGACGTAGGAGAAGCGCAGCTTGGCGAACAGCTCCGTGTAGTGCGCGAGGTCGGCCTCGAGACCGGCCGGCGTGGGGCCGTCGAGCGGCGCGCTGGAGGCGTCGGAGCCGCGCTGCCGCGAGTCACCGTCATCGCGCGCCGCGGAGCTGGCGATGGGTTCGCTGAGGCGGACTATGGAGAGTTCGTGCTTGGACTGCAGCCGCCGCAAGGTCTCAAGGACCTCCTCTGCGCGTGTCGTGTCCATGTTCGGCGCCTGGGCGAATGCCTTGTGACTGGAGTCTTTGGCTCAGATTATTGGTGCGACGCGTATAGACTGGCCGTACAGCGTTTATTCGTGCGGGCAGCTGTTGGGCAGCTGTTCAAGCAGTTGTTCGATTGCTGGAGTGACGGACGAACAGAGGATGAAGTCGGCGTCGGCAGTTGAAGTGCTCCAGGGCTGTTTACTTGGCCCCAATCAGGCTAGTGGCAGGGAAGCCAGGCTTATCGCTTATCGGGGGCGGTGGGGCACCTGGCACAGCGCTTTCGTTTGCACCTGTCGCAACTGCCCCAGTTGATCAGTGGGCCATCTGAACGTGACACAGACCCGCCGCACCCTGCCTTTGCATCATCATCCGGACAAGGTCTTGTCTCTGCCACGGGTGCGACCGCCTTCCGCGGCAGCTTGGACAGCCATGACTGACGACCTTATCCTCTCAGACGACCATGTTGCCGGTCTGCTCGTCGAGGAGGCGCAGCGCGGCCAGGGAGCCTCTGGCTCCGGCGCGTTCCCCGCCGAGAGACGGTAAGTTTTCTGCAGCACGTCGAGTGGCACGAAGCTGACGGGTTGCAGGCCGGCAAACATGCCTAGACCGAATACGCGGTTCCTGCAGAAAATCATTCAAGGTATGGAGCACAGTGGGCGTGTTTGTGTGCGTTTGCGTGTGCCGTACTGACGCATTGCAGCGGGCGCACGAGAAGCCGAGCGGGTCAAGGAGAAGCAGCCGGAGCCCAAGCGACAGGAATCGAGCCGCAAGACGAAGACGCGCGACCACGATCTACGGAAGCGCCAGATGAGCGGCATTCACGCCATACTGGGTGAATCGGCCAAGCAGGGAGACCGAGACGGACGCCCATCCTCCAGCAGGGAGGATCGGGATCAGGGCCGCGGCAGGCGACGGCGCGACGAAAGGCCGGAGACGCGTGACGGTGATCTCCTGGCACGAGGAAGCGACCATCGAAATCGGCACGGTCGGCTCACCGACGACAGGCACACATCGAGAGATGACGAGCGCACAGGTCGACGGTCTAGACGCGACAGCGACAGGCCAGGTGAGGAACGATCCCATCGCCACAAAACGTCACGTCGAGACAGGTCTAGGTCTCCCAGACGGCACGAATCGCGCTCTCGGGAACGAAGCAGGCGACACCGGGACCGTTCACCCCATAAAACCCCATATCGAGACGGGCACAAGTCGCATCGCAAACCCGTCGAGCCAGCCAGCGAAGAATCGGATCACGAATTAATCGGTCCGGCACCACCCCCCAAGCTCAGAGGACGAGGGACCATCGGCGGTGCCGCGGACCTCGACCGGCGATTCAGCGCGTCCTACGACCCGAAGATGGACGCCAACCCCGATAGCGACGTGGGCGGCGACTGGGACGACGCCGTGGAAGCCTTTAGAGACCGACTGAAGCTCAAGCAGAACCAGGAACACCGCATGAGAGACGCAGGATTCCCCGAGGACCAAATCCGCAGAGCTGCGCATGGCGGCGAGAAAACGGAGAAGGACGTGGTGTGGAGCAAGGCAGGCGAGAAACGGGATTGGGATCGGGGGAAGACGGTCGACGACGACGGAAGCATGGACATGGAACAGCCATCGACGCTGTTCTCGGAAGATTATTGACGTGGGGGCGCTGGGACGACGGTGTTACGAGCACATGAGGCACGATTGCACGACCGCATTGCACGGCTACAGGTACAGGTGCAGGCACAGGAATGGACTCCACGGCGTGGTTATTAGTGTAATCTTGGACGTTGCGCATTGTTCAACGCGTGGAGTGCGTGCTCTGTGGCGGGCGAGGCATGGCGACGTGCCAATGCAGGCGACGGGGCATCGGTTGTGCGACCCCGGGACGTTGGAGCTGCAGGAACGGCGGACAAGGCCCAACGCGCGCTCGGCAGCTGCAGGTGGGGCTCCCCAGCTGTCAGTGCTACCTTGCAGGGTGCTTCGGTGCCTTCCATGGAACCGCTGTGGTGTGGTGCGGTGCGCTGCTGCTTCGTGAGTGGAGGTGCTCTCAAGTCCGCATGCAGCGAGCGCCAGGCGGCCCCCACCCGCCTCGCCCTGTAACTTCCACGTTAGCAGCTGCAGCTGGCTACGTGCCCGCGGTGCTGCTCGCTGATCAGGCGGCCCGCCCGCTGAGCCAAGCCCGATCTCGCAAGACATCGGGCGACACCTTGCTCGAGGGTCACGCCACCTCGACCTGCTGTGCTGCCGCCCGCCGAATTGAATTGGGCGGCCGGCAAGCTTCAGACCCCGTTCCCAGCAGCTGTGCCTCTCCGGGGTCGCATGCTCGCATTCCATTGACGCAGCAGCCCCGGGCCAGACGTCGAGGTCGCCTCGACATCCGGATCGTCGGCCTCAATAGCAGGCTCTCGCACAGCGTAATCTATCAATCAATCAAAAATCGATCTCACTAACACCCCGACGTTGATGCTAGAGGCGCCCGGTCGACCCCGCCCTTCCCGCCGCCGCCACCCCCGTCCGTCACTGCCGGCGGCCCCGCTCCAGCTTCCATCTCGAGAGTCGACCTCACCTCGTCCTCGACCTCATCCTCAACCTCGCACGCGCCCACGCCCGACGGCTGCCACGCCTCTCCTCCCGCCGCCCGCGCCTCCTCCCCGGCCCTCCTCCCGTTCCGCCTCGAACCGCCGCCGGTCAATGCTTCGCCTGCGCGCTGGCAGCCGGCAACACTCCACCAAACCTGGCGTCCGCAACAGAGGCATCAGCGGCAGCAGCAGCGACAACACGCCGCCCATGACGACGGCGCCACCACCATGGCGGCCCTCAGCGAAGACGACATCGAGAAGCTCTTCTCCGGGGCGCCCCAGTACTTTGCCCGCACCGAGAGCCACTACCATGGCGCGCCGCACCCCAGCGTCGCCTTCCCCTTCGACGAGGAGCTCGAGATCCGCGACCTGACGGACCACGTTCAGATCGAGGACCGCGCCTGGAGCGGCGTCACGGCCTGGCCGCACATCACGCGCGATCAGGAGCACGACGCGGCTGCGCGCCGCCAGGCCGAGGAGAAGCATCGCGCCCACTTTTACGTCCGCTGCCGCGAGCGCCCCAACATGCTCAGCATGCATGGCGTCGAAAAGGGCACCATGGGCTACCAGGCCGCCCTCGAGCTGTCCGCGGCCGATTCCCTCGAGGAGGAACAGTTTGGCTTTGAAAGCGTCGGCACAAAGGCCCGCGCCATCGTCGACGCCCGCGAGCGCATCCTTGGCCCGCAGGGCTGGTTGCACCGCCTGCCCGAGCATGAGCTGCTCGACCGCCTCCGCCGCAACGCTGACCTCTACCGCCGCAACGACTTGCGCTCCCGCAAGTCGGCCGACACCTACGCTGACCTGTTCCACGCCTTCATGCGCCCCTGCAACACCGTCATCGACCGCACCGACCGCCACAGCCTGTCTAACCAGATTGTCGCCCTCCTCAAGTGCATGGGCACCGCAAACGTCTGGATCGACCTGTCGCGCGTCGAGTGGCGCATCCGCCTCGGCCAGGTTCTCTGGGGCGAAAAGGGCGACGACGACCTCGATGACGCCACTGCCGTGCACGACGCCGACAGCGCCGCCGAGCGCGCCGAGGAAAAGTACTGGCTGTTTATGCAGATTCTCGTCGCCTCAGAGCTGCTGCTGCGCCTGGATGCCGTGACCGACGGCGTCGAGTTTGGCTCGGGTGGCATCAAGCCCATCGACGTCGCCTACTTTGAACGGGGCGCCACCCAGACGGTCAAGTGGTCCCTGATGCTTGCCCGGAGCTGGCTGGAGAACGTCGAGATTATTAAGGAGGAGGAAAAGGAGCCCGGCCTTTTACGGCCGCCGCCGCCTCCTATGCCGCGGCGCGGGAGCAGTTGGCTGGCCTCCCTCGTCAGCAGAGTCTCAAACCGCTACCACAGGCACGCGCCCGCGATGCCGTGCCGCTATACGATACAGGGCCGCCACAGCCAGCGCCAAGTCGACGGGCTCATCCACTTTGCGCGGAACCTCATGTGGCCCGGCATCGACCGCTATGAGTACACCATCTCCGAGCGCGCCCAGATTGCCGGCGGCGCGACACCCACCAAGCACCCCAGCAGCTCCACCACATCGGTCGATTCGGAGAAGCCATCGTCCTACTTTGGCGCCTGGGACGTGACCTGCCACCGCGGGAAGCGAAAGGGCCGCGCTCAGGCGCAGAGGCGCAAGCTGGCGGCCGCGTTGCATGAGTCCGGGTGGATCACCAAGTCCTACGTCTTTGGGCTCGTGCTGCCCGGAGAGACGCTCTGCCACTACCTCATGGCGACGCTACTGGAAAACGACCGCGAGGCCATGGCCAAGCTGGGGCCCTGCGCGAACCTCTCGGGCGGCTTCGTCTATTCCGGCAAGAGCTTTTGGAGCACCTCGTGCATTGTCGGCCGGGTGCTTGCCGCCGGCAAAGGCGCAGCCGAGTGCATGGGGTGGATATCGACCGACGTGGTACCTGAGGGCCGTAGCGACGGCTGGCTCAGTATCGAGGCCGAGGACGTGGCCGGTTTGTCCCCTCTTATCCTTCACCTTCCCATATGATGTTCCTGGACTAACTAGGCACCGCCCAGACGACCTGGCTCACCTCGGCAAGAAGGCGAGGATCTGGGGTAAAAAGAGGCTTGAGCGCGAATCGAGCATCCTCGGTGACGGCAAGGAGGACTCGGTCTCACCAGCCGACTTCATCGTGCCCCACGAGACAGGCTACTCGGCTTCGCCGCCCTCCGTCTACGTCGAGCTCCTGGCCCTCGAGCTCTCCGCGCCAGCAGGAGCCGTCCCGGCGACGCCCCTGGCCGAGCTGATCCCCACGCCCTCGACGACCACCGACGCCGGCAAGGCGCCCGAAATTATCTCGTACCCAGCGAGCATCCGCTTTTCTGTGTCTGTCGAGGGCCGAGACGACGAGGAGGTCACCTACCCGCTCACCTATGACATTAGCTTCGTGACGGCGCACCCGTGCGCGCCGTCGCACCGCGTGAGGATGCTCAAGTCACCCTCGAGCCCTACGATTCAGAAGATAGACGTTTCTGGCTCGGCGATGCTCCAGGGTTCGCGGTCTGTGAACAAGATGGGTAAGGCACGCGATGATGACAATTTCTTGCCGCGACTGACAGCTGCCAGGCCACCCCCTGCACAAGTACTACAACTTTACCGTCATCCACATCTCGGAACTCCTGCAGAAGCCGCGGACGACGCTATCTGAGTTCCTCCTGGACCCGACGCTCGGCAAGGCGGGCGGGGCGACCAACGGCGTGCTCGTCGTCGACTGCATCACCAACCTCGCCGACGCGCCACAGTCACCGGCGCTGGAGCGCGTGGCGTCGTCGCCTTCGGGTTCGCCCGTGGGCCACCGCAAGGGCAGCTTCTCGGCGGCGGCGCAGATGTTCCTCGAGTCGCGCAAGCGCCAGTTCGGCTCCGACATGGAGGTGCTGGTGCGCGCGCTGTGCGCCCAGCGCGGCTGGAACGCCCTCGTCAGTAGGAGGAAGCGCGGGTGCCTGGCCTGCGCCATCCGCGAGGCGGGCGCCCTCGGGTGGAAGGTGATTGTGAGGGTCGAGTAGGAGTAGCGTTTGGGCTTGACCGTCGCGAGGAGCGGTGGGGATGGCACAAAGCCGCCTCCACGTGTATTACTAGGAAAGCATGTATCGTGTATTGGTTTATCGACTTGGCGGATAGCGGCAGGATAGGCCTGGAAGCATACTACTACTTCTCTACAGCGCGTTCTCTTCCCCAGCGGTGGTGCGTACCGACATGGAAGTGTCCCACGACGCGTCTCTCAGGTCTGGTCCTGTCCTCGCTGGCTGCTGTGCGGCTCGCAAACGGATGTGATTGACAACCTTCTGTCACAGGAGTTGGGGCAGGGGTGAGATGCAAGCTGCCGTGTCTGTCCCAAAAGGGCAGTGGCCGTATGCAGCCCTACTTGATCCCGCAGGTGGTGGTGCATCTGCCATCCCTCGACGTAATTCCAAGGCTGGTCCATGGTTGGAGGGCTGTAAGCCAGGCATTGTTTGCGCCCCCTTTCCGCTCCTTCTTGTCCTTGGCGACCACCCGCCCCCAGCATGCATCCCCACTTGGATAGTGCGATCACCGGCTTGGAGTATTGGCAACAAGTTATATTCGCTTGTGGAGAGGGTCCCTTGCCAGAGTCGCAGCTCGGCCGCGTTTTATGTAGCACTGGGTGAGCTATATAGACGGCACGATGCCTCGCATGCCTGTGGATAATGGTCTGTGAAAGACAATCTGTCCGCCTGCCCTGAGAACAAGGCTGGCTTTTCGCATCCGGTTCTTGCCAAGATCATAACAACCACGGCGAAGCTCGCACCGCCCTCTGCTCACGATGCGCCACATCCTCATCAGCTTCCTCCTCGCCCGCGGGCTCGCCTCCGCCAACCAGCTCGCCCAAGCAGCCGGCGGCATCACCATCGGCATACCTCTTCCCACACCCACGGAGGCGCCACCACCACTCGCCGACGTGACCCCCCCGCCGCTGCACCGCCGCGCCGTCGACCGCCAATGCCTCACGTCCGTCCTCAGCGAGCTCAGCCCGCCGACCACGGCCCTGGACTCCGCGCTGCTCAGCTGGGCCACGCAGAACGACCACACCGGGGGCTGCACGCTCACCATGCCCGCGTCGCTCTCCAAGGCGTACACCTCCTACGTAGACGTGCTGCAGACGTACTTTTCCACGCTGTCGTCCAAGGCGCAGTGCCTGCGCAAGTGCGGCGCCTCGCGCCTGTCCGTCACGGTTACGGCGACCTGCAAGGAGAGCCTGACGCTGGTCTTCACCGGGGGGAGTGGGGCGGCGACGACGACGACGACGACGTCGATGAAGCAGGTGGACGTGCCGAATTCTACGGTCTTTATTGGTGATGGGATCTTTGGCAGTGCTTGCAAGAAGAATTATACGAGTAGTGCTATTACGGGCTTGCCGCCGCCGGAGTCGACGAGGGGCAGCAGCGTTACGGAGTTCACGACGGATAATCCCCTGGCCTCCAGCGGGAGCGCGACTGCCACTTCGACTTCTTCGACCTCTGCGACCTCTACGAGCGGCGCCATGGCTGCCAATGGGCCTGCTGGCGGTTCTGCTTTGGCTGTTGTCGCTGGTCTCGTGGCTGCGCTCGCTCTGTGAGGGAGCTGCACCAATAACCGGGCCGCAACCTACAAATACTACTGCTACGAATTGTTGACCAAATTCCTTCATGTGTTTCTCATACATGATCCCGAGAGGATCTAGGTTAGAGTGAACCCGAACTTGTACATGCATGCCAGTCTCCACGTGCTCTTTGCTGTCCACGGCCGCTGCTATCATTTCGATGATGCCGACGACAGCAGTTTCTCGTGATGAATGCTGTCTGCCTCCTTCGACTCTTCCCAAGCCTTTGATTGCGGCTTCAAGTCCAGTAGGGACATCCAATGGAGAGTCGCCATAGGCCCTGTGGGGGTGGCTTTTCGCAGGACGGCGGGCTGCATGGCTTCGGGGCTTATGCTGACGGCGCATAGGCGCTTGCGCTAAGTGCCTTGGAGCCGTGCGCTTCGCATTGCTCGCCTTCAGCCGCATCTTGCAGATCAACATGTCTGGCCATCGTCGTTGGGATCTTCTGAGCCGCAGCCTCTGTCCAGGTACGATCATGCAGGCCAAGGAAGTTCAAATCTGCCCCGACATGGAATGTGACATCCCCTGTGCCTGCCTTTTCGTTACGCATGCCATGGTTAGGTCTCTTACCGTGAGTTGATGGAGGCAAGGGTGCTCACGGGAAAGCCCTGCCTTCACTTATACAGCAAAAGCTGGTTCGTCGGCCGGAATGATTGACTGGGAGGTCACTCACAAGCAGATGAATGCAGAGGCAGGAACAACAAATTGCGATGGCACCTGATTGACAGTGTGAACGACACACACCTTTGCCGGCCCATCCACGTTTGATGCTTAAAGGAACGTCGCCGACGAACAGTAAAACTCCATCGCTTGAAGTACTGGCACACCTCGAGGTACGCATTATTTATTAGTGACGCCTGCGTCAGCTTCCAGCGGCAGCTCATGCACAGGAGCCTCCACTGGCCTCTCGTGAGCATCGAGCTCAAAGCGTGGCTCTTCGCTCGCCGGCAACTCGCCATATCGCACAGGCTCAGTCGTCGCTGGCACGCCGCTCAGCTCCGGCTTGTGGTAGGCATTATCCTTGCCTTGCGCGGGATCAGGGTCTTGGTTGCTCAGAGTTTGGCGCTTCTTCCGCCGCCTCATCAGGAGGAATATGGCCAAGCCAATCGCCAGCGCACCCACGATGCCGACGACGATGCCGGCGATGGCGCCGCCACTCAAGGTAGACGACTTTTGAGAATCGCCGGATGAGCTCTGGTCCGTTGAGGAGGAGTTTGGATCGGCAGCACTGGAGGTCTGGCTGCTAGTAGAGCTGAGGCTCAAATCCTGGGAGCGAAAGTTGAGCTGGATCGTGGGCGCGCTCATTTCCACACCTGCAAAGACCATGGTGTTTGTTATCATCCACGTCGTGCTGCCGGAGGCGCTCAAGGTTGACACCACGGTCGGCGATCCGATCCTCGTCTGCTGGATAAACGTCTGTGTGTTTCCCTGGCCGCAGCTGGAGTAGAAGAAGGGGTTCGTGGTGACATGGCGGATGCAGCTTGCCGTGGTCGTGTTGTCGGGTACATATGTGAAACTCCTTCAAAGCTGTCAGACTAAAGTCGATTTGGGCGTGGGTGTTGCACTTGTTCATCCCAGCTGTGAAGGGGGCAACTTACTTGGGACAGCACACCGCAGCAGTCTCTCCCTTCATCAACGTGTCAACGCGGATACCGCTGACGAGACTCCCCAAGCTCGCATCCTCCGCTTTCACCGTCGCAACGGTCTGCCACTTGTCGGGGCAGGCCAACCCGGGCGAGTAGAAAAAGTAGCCGCCCTCGATGTCGCTGTAGCTCGTGACGCGAGGGAAGCAAAGCGGAGGCTCCCCACAGAACGTCTCGGTGTTGAAGATGTTGCAACCCTCGAACCACGAAGGCCCTCCATGATCTCCTTGACTTTCGAGGGTGCACTCATGGCAGTCTTGCGGCGCGTTGAAGACGGTCGTCAGTGGTCCAATTACTTGACGAGCTTTTGTCGTCGTAAAGGCGTTGCTTGTCGTCGCAGCCATGATGATGCTGGCGACTTGGCCCCAATGGCCAGTCGGATGGAGAAATGGAATGTTGCGGACAGAATGCCCATCATCACTGGAAACTGGATAGATGAGGGAGGGCAACAGCTCGAACAACGGCCACCACGCTAGCAGGCATGCACGAGGGCGATCGTGATGACGAGCATGGGCAAGCCTGTTCCTGGTCAGCAAACCGCGCCAAAAGCTGCAGCTATGCAGCCTTGTTGGCCGATCCGCCCGTGCAAGCTTATAGTTTCGGCGGTTTCCTCTCCAGGACGCGACTGGAAGACCAGTGCTCAACAGGGTTTCTTGAACTCTTAGACAGGGAACTCATTGTTCATTGTTTTAATGCTGGAAAATTGTGAGGTCATACGAGAGCCGGCCAACTCCGCTTCTCTTTTCGTAGATTGTGATGACCGGCCGCCTTGCTCAGGACATCTCATGTGACTACAGCATTGACTTGAAGTCTGATGGTAGTGGAATAGACGCACTTGTGTTCATGCGGCTAGAAACTGGCGCATATGGGTTGTAGGCAGATGCGGCGTTTGGGGTGTATATAAGCTGGTTTACGGCGACTCCCAGTACATACGACCATACCTACTAGAAAGCACGGGATCCCGTCCGCTCTCCCATAGTTAAGCTGGTAAGGGGCAGATTAGTAGTTGGGTCGGTGACGACCAGCGAACACCGGCTGTTGTATGTTTTTTTTTTTTTGCCAAATTTTTGTCTCTACTCTTCAGAGAGCAGAGCCATCATCGTGAAAGTTGACAAGCTTTTGCTGCATTTTTGGGTGTGCGGTCGCTAAAAATGGTGGTGTGCAGTGTGCCTGGTAAAACCTGGTCCCCAACCTGCGGCCTGTTATGCGACCGCCCCGATCTGGTCAGGTCCTCCCCCTTGCCAGAACACATTGCTCTCGCCACAACTTGCATTTGGCTTCGCAAAATTCGATGCCCATATCGTGTCAACAACTATTCCAAAGTTGCAGCAGCTAGTGGCGTGTGTTAATCGATGCAAGGTATGCTCTTGCTTGTACGCACCACCAGACCTTCCGTAGGCTTCGCCCTGCAATTCGGTTCACCCATTCATATGGCAATAGCGCGTCTATATACTCGTAGTCACGCAGACTCACGCCCAGTCGCACTGTAGTACCGAGATATTTTACAACATCACGTCGTGGAGTACGTCCGCAGCGGCAGTTTCCGCAAGCCCTCGGCTCTGTCGCGCACTTAAAGTAGACGTCTAAATAGCGATGCAGAAGGCAGAGATCACCACTTTACGTAGGATCTTAGTTTGTGAAACGAAGCTAATTGGTGGTGCATAAGTACATAGAGGTGATGGCAGCTACGACGAAAGGCGCCCGAGCATATGAACGCTGGAAATATTGCCCTGGGACTAATGTTGGGTCAGGAGGGTCGTGTTTCGCCATGGCGGTGATGGGGGGGGACGAGCAAAGAGTTGGATCTTCACGGACGGCCCGCCCGTGCCGATGGCAGTTGCGCTTCTCCGTCACGAGGTTGCAGCAGCAGTGAAAGTTGAAGGGAGGAACATTCGGAATGGCGCGCGGATCCTGCACCCGAAGAGTACCTACTGTTGGATCAGTCAATGGAGACGGCCCAACCACCAGACGACCAACTGACATGACGTGCGGCCTAATAGTGACGCGGAGACTGTGAGGGCTAGAGAAGGCCTCGGTTTTGACCAAGCTGCTACAGCCATGGGAGAGAAGCCGTGGCCATGCAAGGCCTAGCCGCTGGTCAAAGGCGGCAGGCAAGTCGCGCAGCCAACTTACAAGTGCGCTTTCCACTTGCGACAGGGACGAAATAGCGGGAGACTTTCCGTACAAATCCTGGAGTAGGCCTTCTGCCGTTGGTTCTCGCACCGGACCAGCCGACCAAGAACCCGACATCGGGAGCTCACGCACCTGAGGGGTGCCCATATCTATTACACGTCGCCTGTGCCAGCGCTTCAGCTCCGGCCCGTGAGTGATACTCAAGCGGATAGCCTTGGGTGGAACGTCAAGTTGAGAAGTCTCTCCATGCATCTATCATCCCGCGACTTCTGATTTTCTCTGCAGCGTCTCGCTGGAGCCTCTGGATTGTCGTTCGTCATGACGTCCTCATTGCCCGGCAGTCGCGAGCTGCCTGCCTCCAAATATGACTTGACCACTTATATGGGCCGCGTACGGCACTCGATGTCTATAACGGATCCGAGGTTGGTCCCTAATATATATTGGCGTACAACCGCCTTGTCAAGAACCACCATGCTACATCTTGAAAATTAGCGTCCAGTATTATGGAACGGAAGAGGTGCTGACTCTCTGTTGGACTATAGCACCCTGCTTGCTGGAGCCACCGGCCTTGACAAGGCCAAGAGGCTCGTCATAGAATACAAGACTGGGAAGCTGCAGCAAATGACGCCAGAACTATGGCAAGCGAAGAAGATCATCGACGCGACGCTCCACCCGGGTATGTCTATGTGCTATCTCATTGTTAGATACTCGCGGGATGCCACTAATATTGACTGAGATAGATACCGGCGAGCCCATTTTCTTGCCATTCCGAATGTCCTGCGTCGTTCTTACAAGCCTTGTCGTGACCTTGGGCATGCTACAGCCCGGACTCGGAACCGCAGGGACTATTGGTTGGCAAATAGCTAACCAGTCCGTCAACGTCGCCATCAATAGCGCAAACGCCAATAAGTCTTCGCCTATGCCTACTGCTACGCTTGCCCAGTCGTACGCCATTGCCGTTACCGCATCATGCTCCGTTGCCGTCGGCCTTGGCCGTTTGGTGCCAAGTCTTCGTGTCTCAGATGGGGCCAGGAATGTTCTTAAGCGCCTCGTCCCCTTTGCGGCAGTAGCATCGGCCGGCGCGCTCAACTCTTACCTTATGCGAAGAGGAGAGATTGGGAGAGGCATTGACATCTATCCGGCTCTTCCGAAGGACACGCTCGAAGAAGATGGCAAATCCGACCACGACGCGCCCGCTCTGGGGCGTAGTCAATTAGCGGCCAAAATTGCGGTGTATGAAACGGCTGCCAGCCGCGTTTTCAACAGCACTCCCATCATGACTATCCCGCCAATGCTCCTCTACTATATCCAACAAAAGGGCGCCTGGTATAAGCGTCTTATGGCAAGAGAATGGGTTGTGACGAGACCAAAAGTCGCTACGGTGATCCCCATCGGGGTTAACCTGGGCTTGATCGCCGTGACGTCGTTCACCGCTCTACCCCTGGCGCTTGCCGTATTTCCGCAGAAGCAGTACATTGAGGCAGACAGTCTCGAAGAGGAGTTCCATGGCATGGGCGGCGTCGGTGGCAAAGTCTGGTTCAACCGCGGTTTGTAAGATCCTGAAACCCAGGACGCCTTCAGAGCGGATTCCAGCACGGGCTCAAGGGGGCTTCAAAGGCACAGTTACGGAGGATTTGGGTTGGAGGGAGTACTCAAATAGCTAGTTCAATTGACGTCGTCATGGATGTACCAGACCAGAAAAGCTCCGCTAAAGTAATGTATCGTGCTGTCCAACTCACATATAGTTTGCCTGCCGACAGCCGTGATGGTCGCGTTGCTCACAAGCACACATGCCCAGCTCTACATCCTCCCGGCGAACACGTAGTACAATTCCCATAGCGGTGGTCTCTGGGAGTGTTATTCGCTGTACCTAGTCATTGCCTGAGACATCCACTCCGTGTGGTCGATATCGATGGCATCTGCCAAAGCCATGATTTGCGTTGTCGAGAGCCCGCTTCCAAAGCCATCGCCCATTGGTGTCTCTGGGAGTTGCTCGCACAGTGATCCTTGCCCCTGTGAGAAGATCTGACTAGGCATCGGGGGCCCTGCATTCATGGATGATGCTTCGGCGTAACTAGGCGGTTGTGCATTCAGATGATCGTTGGGTGCCCGCCAGTCCTGTTGGGAAACGGCCGAAAGCAACTGCTCCAAGAGTTGAAGTTCAAACCTCTGTAAATCTACAATGAGATTTCCATTTCGAGACAGTTCCTCAAAGATGGCATACGCCTTTTGAACCGAGACCGGGTGATTTGGTGTGAGATCTTGGCTTAACGCTGGTGCTACCAAGAGATTGGTCGTGGATACTGATAGTGCTTCGAGATCGAATACCAGGAACGTTTCTGAACTCAGAGTAATGAGTAAGGTTTCTTGTGCAGGGCGGAAAGGCGTCTAATGCTTACCAAGAAGCCCCTGATGCTGCAAGCACTCCAGGATGACAACAATTTGGTGGCACGAGTCAAGGCACATCTGAATCAGGCTCAGAGCTGTTTGAGAAGAGTGTAATAACATTCTACAAGTGTCGCCGGACTCGAGCCGTATCTTGAGGAAGCAGAAAAGCAGCGGTCGCGTCGCAAGGACGATGCACTAGAACCGGTAAGTATGCTGCCACCGCACAGCGTGATAGCCAAGTTCGGACTACGTGCCTGATGGTAGAGTAGATGGACGTGGGCAGAGAGCCGTGAGATGCCGCTTTCTGTGTTATCGAGCAATAGTGGAAAGTCGTGCTGGATTTCATCCGTAAGCTCGGCGATCCCTGGCAGTGTCTCCTTGGTCCGGAGCAGAAACTTGGTATCAACCCGCCCGTCGGAGCCGTAGATGTCTAGATATTGTAACCGAATTGTCAGTGCCATAAGGGTGTTAGTGCTACAGTACGTGCCGACAAACCTCGATTCACACGGGCGATGACGCGCGAAAGTTTAATACGCATAGAAAGGCCTTTGGCGAGGCGAGGGTCGTCGGGAAGGTTCAGCAACGGGGTAGGGACATTCTCGTCATTCACCGACTGTGGGAGGCCCATCCACGAGGTCATCTCTCGGTCTAGCACATATACAGTCGACCAGATTCGCTGGTATCTCTGGGCGACACAGTCTCCAACTTGGTTCGCAGACACATCCGTATGCATGCCTTGACTCATAGCCAGCCGTATCGCCTGACCGATCTGGTACAGAGTCAGAGTTTTGCCTGTCGGTCATTGGTGGAACTCACAAAGTTATGGGCAGAAATTCGATAGTCAATACACTGAAGGTATAGAGCGATGCAGCACAAGGCCTCTGTCGATCGAATTGGGTCCCGCCAAAGAATCACCATGTTTGGCAGCAGCTGCATTGCCCGGATGAAGAACTCGGCGCCCGGAGGCTGCCTCCCTCGCTGGCTTTTGGATAGGAATGCCTTGCCAAGGGCCAGAAGGACTAGAAAGTGAACGCCCCATAAGCTTGCGCCCAGTGCGGGTTGTGGTGTTTGGGCATAAAACTCGTGTAGTAGCCCCATGAATTCTGTCTCGTCGAATAGGTGAAAGAGCTGGCAGCAGTGAAACTTTACTGTATTGATCAGGTGGATGGCATAGTCCATCGTTGGTACCAACGCCGCATGCGTATCGGAAGCAGACTGCGGAGACGCAAACTCCAGCTCGTAGGTCTCGCCGTCGAATATCAAGCCTGGAGAAGGTACGGCGCGATGATAGATGTATTCGTGAGTCATGTTCAGGATCCGCCGAGTAAAGGACCAGTTGGATGAAATCCCAAGGTAAACTTCCACGGTGTTAGCAACGCATATTCTAGGAGCCGTGTACGATCAGCCATCTGGTTCCAGACGCACATGTTTTCCCAGTATCGGAGGTCATGAACATGGAGGGCCCAGTGGATAAAGGATTTGTCAAGGAGCTCAGGCTGGACGATTCGGCGTCGAACGGTGACGCATTGCGGCGCGCCGCCGCCTGCCCCTCATCTCGTCCTCGATCAGCAGAATCATGGCGGTACGGTGACCTTCGGAGGACATCGGCTTCACAGATGTTAAATAAGCCGGCCATTGCCTGGTACGCAGCTAGGGGATCGCACCAGAAGCTGCTGTACTGCAGTCCTCTTCGTCGTTGACGACAGTCTGCGGATGGCTGCCGCCATTGCCACCGATCTGCGCCTTCTCCAAGCTCGATACCTTTTCTTGAAGAGATGTGAGATACCTAACAAGTAAACCAGTCAGCTACTTGAGCGCCAGGGGAGACGGTGCAGGGCTAGAATAAACAGGTGACAACGTACTCGCGGTTTACCAAGACGTTCCGGTCACGCTCGTCGTAGTGGCATGGCAAAGTGCGCCTGCTGCAGGCGTCGCAGGGGCGGTAGCCTGTGCATTTGATCTTTTGCCTGCGACAGCGGTCGCATCTGCGTCGTCACATTGCAGTTAGCGCAAGCCCCCCGCTCAAGTGGCCAGAGCAACCACCCACGCATTGGACGATCGTTTGACAAGTCGGGGGGCTGTTCTCCCCCATTCCGTCTTGTCCGAATCGCCGCCCAGCGATGGCGCATTCGGCGTCATAGCCCTGAGTAACCCTTCTCGGTTTGTGCGTGATCTGACGAGGTTAGCACGCGGGCGGTTACGATCTGCCCCGACTTCGCTCCGCCAAGTGCGGAGTAGGGCGTGAAGCTGGTTGGGTCCCCCAGAAATAGGCAGATCAAGATACGCGCTCTGAGTCGCGGGCCTGGCCTGCGCGCCCGGACCTGAAAGGCATTCGTGGGGTAATGCCAGGCTTAATGCACGTGGCCGTTGGTCTGGGCTGGGGGAGCACGGCCAACCTCGTGGAAAACCAGGAGGACACTCGTCAATACGTGGGACAGATTAGAGCATCGGGGAAGTATTGTCCAATGTGATCATTACGATTGGAAACGACAGCACAAGAGACAGTCGATACAACTGATAATGGTGCCTCGGTCACACACACTGGGACTGCATGCTTGCTGTAGTGGCCTGTAGATTGGCCCTCGCCTGCTTAACGAGGGTTGTCCATGGAGAATAAAGAGGGCTCTGAGACATGTCTTCTTGGCTTGGACATGAGATTACATTGGACTCTCGACTTGTTGCATCACTACCACTTCTAGAACTCCAAAGTTGACCAACCAAGTAAAAGCCTTACCAGGCAGTGACGAAGCCATGCCATCAGCCTGCCAGCTTCAATTGAAGCAACGCAGCATCGATGTCCTGCAGCCAGTGTTGATTGCACTGCCAACTCCAAATGCTGGAATCATCCTCACCATTCGCAAGGGGGTTGCGAAAGGGGTGTGCTTCCACACAACCTTGAGGCGATCGCGGACCGTAACTTTATGTTGCCGATTGTGCATATCGAGCCCCAGCAGGTGGATGGGGGTGCTGACTAGTTGAGATGCCACGGGAGCGATCATCTGCGCGGCTCTTAGCCGCGACTCGTCCGATTGAAACGCCGTTTGGCCCTGGGATGGGCCGACGCTGGGAAATGACCCCAGCGCCGCGGCGACGATCGGCGGCAGGTTCAAAGCCGCGAACGTAGTAAAAGCATCTCTTGCCGTGAACAATGCGTAAGTCAACGGGCGTACGGGAACTCTGCTAGCCATCTTGACAAAATTGACGTCTTTATAAACACATGCGCCGATGCCGATACCAGTCGTGGCGACAAGTTTCGCGGACGACGCGGTTGCTTGGTCTTTGCAATCGTTCGCTGCGTAGAATGTATCGAGACAGTTGAATGTGGCATACGTTGCGAAATAGACCAGGAACGGAATTGCCAAGGAGCGGATCAATGGTTGAGGCGTCGACACCCATGACTGTAGCGACTCAGTCATGGTGATGCTATGTACTGCTCTGTTGTAGACAATTCTGTGCCCATTCGTGTCAACGGCCAGATCCAGTGCACGGTATCAAGACGCATGGGCTTGTGTGCGAGGCTAGCAATGCACGGAGACGCGTCAAACTCACTTGTCGATGACTGCAGCCACTGGAGAGGCAACCGCTGACGCACAGGCGGCAGAACAGAGATCGGCAGCAACAGAGCGCCAGGTGCAGCGTTGCTGCGATTTCACGCTCTCGACCTCGGCCATGGTGAAGGAAGATCCCAGTGAGCTCTGTGGTAGTGTGCTGGTCCCGGAGGCAAGGAGCTTGCTGTTTGATGTAGCAACTACCTCGATATAGATGGTTGGTGACTGTCCGTCCCTCCGACCGACAACATGAAGAGTTGCAATCCTAATCTAGTGTGCGACCTACTCGATCCCGGCTTTGCCCGCTCGGAAAGTCGGTAAGTGAACCGTGGCTGTGAATGTGTCAATTGATTGATCGGATGCCCCTTGACTTCTCAACAAAACGATTGTGCCGCTCTGAGTCAGTCAACAAAATTTCGTCGTCTCGTGGTACCGTATTAGTGGCGGGACCACCGCGTTTGGATAGAAATGGCTGCGAAGAACATGGGTCCCTGCACAAAGCCAGAACGTTAATGTGTTCATCGGGGCTTGCTATGAGTCAACTGAGCCCAATGCGATTCCGACAGATGTTCACGAAGAAGACACCACCGCTCTCGGGTGCAGCCGGTGAGAGCCCTCGCGTAGTGTCGGCCCAGCGATGGCCAGCATGCCGCTTTCCACAGGACCTGAGCGCCTCAATTGACTGAAAGGCCTATGTATAAATTGCTGGTAACCATCGCCAAGAGAGGCCTTTGGTTTGCTGTTACTGTATCTCACTAGCTTTGCTCAAGATTGGAATTAAGGACGCAAGTGCGACATTATCCAGGTCTCAACATTTCGCGACGAAACCTGTCTCCGTGCTGTACAAAACAAACTTTTTTTTGATACCGTCCTACATCTGCCAAACGTCTCCTACTCTGAACCCCTCCGGGAACGGGTCGCTTGGGTGCAGCACGACTTGTTTGAAGCTGGTGATCCAGGCACTTCCCTGTACTGTAGGCAGTACCGCAGGGTACTTTCCGACAGTGGTCGTGCCGGTGATGGAGCCCACGAATTCTGTTCCAATAACGCTGCGGTGAATGAACGAGTCGCCAGGCGCAAGAAGTCCCCGTGCATGGAGAACAGCAAGACGGGCGCAGGTCCCCGTGCCACAGGGGCTCCGATCCAGCCGCCCAGGCGAGACGACAACCGTGTTAACAGCCGACTTGTGGTGGCCGTCGTCCGTCAGCGGTTCCGTGAACTCAAGAATGCTGACACCTCGGATGCCGGGGTTCTCGGGATGAACTGGGTCTGACTGCTCCTGAACTGCACGCTTGATCTTCTCACCGACTTCCACGAGCTTTGCGCCGTTCTCGCTCTTGATATGCAAACCAACAGAGGAAGCGTCAACGAGCGCGTATATCATGCCTCCCCACGCAATATCCACTTTGACAATCCCAAGCCCGGGAACGGAAACTTCCAGGTCCAGTTCGAAGACGAAGGCGGGCACATTGTGAAAACGGACGCTGGTACACTTCCCTCCGGAACACTCCGCCTCCATTGCCACTAAACCTGCTGCCGTGTCCAGCTTCACATGAGTCGTGGGCTCCAGCATGGGAACCATGCCGGTCTCCAGAAGCACCGTTGCCGTGGCGATGGCGTTTGCGCCAGACATGGGCGGATATTCCTCGTGTTCCATAGTGATGAACCCGGCGTCTGCTTCCGGATTGCACGCAGGAAGGATCATGTTGTGACACATGGCAGACGATCCCCGCGGTTCGTTCAACAACAGCTGCCGCAGCCTGTCTGCCTTCTTCCAGAGATGCATCATCTTCTCGTACATGGTCTTTCCCGGGACATCGAGCACGCCGCCAACGACAACATCGCAAACCTCGCCAGCGGCATGGACGCCAACAACATGAATGACTTTTCCAAAGACCATCTCGATGGGTTGTTTAGGGCCTCGGGGAACGCGTCACTATCCAGGGAGGTACTGACTTTGGACCCAGATCGATTGTAGTTGACGACATGTATTTGCTTCTTGTTGCCAAGACACAGCCACTTGTGGTCGTATATGACGACCATTGCCCGCCAAACTGGCCCTGACGTAGGTCTGCCGAGTTCGGGAAGATGCCCCGCGCGCCCAGCACGGACAACTTGGTCACCACGTCGGGATTGTCGCCGATGGTGAATCGTGGTGGCCGCTGACCCTGCGTGCCGCTGTGATCACACCCAGGGGTACGGTATGGGTTAGCCCGTGACAACATCGGTTTGTTCGTCTGTCAGGGAGGCTGTCGGCCCTTACTTCGTAACCGCTCCCAACTCAGCCTGTTGGACGCGCCAACATGTTCGCGGTCGGGTTGGTTGGCGCTGAAAAGTGGCTGCCTCAGCAAGAGGTGGCACAAGTTGAGTTCCGTTTTCAAAGTCATGCTCTTAGTAATGTGTCCATCCTCATTTTACGTCCCGCGAGTACAGGAGGGTCCGTTTTGAGTGTCCCTTTTCCGATCAATAAAATCGGAGAGCAAAGCCTGTGTGTTTGGGCTGTTGGTGCTGGTTTTTTCCTCCGCCGAAGCTGGATGTATCTGTACCCATGGACTCCCTCAACTTTTGGTCGGCAATTCGCCGGATTTGAATTATGCTATCTTGCGGAGCTCTTATGGCTGTTTGCAAGGCCAGTCCATGTCATCCTGAGTTTCTTTGGTCTCTCTCGTCTGGCATGACGCATTTCTAGCTGTTGTAAGTCTATGGGCAATTGGCGAGGATACAAGAGGGGCTCAAACAGAAACCGACACGACCCCACTTTCAGCCAACATTGGACGCATTGTAAATTTACATTGAGTGAAAACAGTGACACTCAATACGGACCCTAGTGTAGTTTGTCCATACGTGTGAAGATGGAAGTGACAACCCAGACGAGGTGGTGTGCCAGGACTTGTCGGGAACAGGGGTGGCCGGAGAAGAGTGGGACAAGCGTCGGCATGGCTCCGGACTACAAACCGTTTGAACCGGCGTCCCGCCCCACACCGGCCCCACTCCGACCACCCACATGTACTCCGTACACTCATCGGGATAGGAGCCGTAGCGACCATCTCCAACGGTGCCGTGAGAGGGATTTGACCAGATCCCCTGGGAGCTTGACGCAACTCTCCTCATGCCACGGACCGTTCCACAACTGGTAGCCTTCCGAATGCTCCACTTCAAAGGAAGTAAAAGTCCGAATCATGTGATGGTACAACTAGAGGGTGTCAACCCCCAATGGTCAATGCATTGAGCGTCAATGGCTGCCGCTGGACATTATCGTTTCGAACTACTAACTGGCGGTTATCAAGTGTCGAATAGTCCACTGCATAGGTCGTCTCGGACTTATATGTAGCATGCCAATTTAATCGGTCACGCAGTCGCAGAAATGAAAGGCACATGCAGTGACTAAAGGCAGCACCGCGCAGCTGGTCTATAGAGGACAGCTTCGCTGAGTACATTTAAAGGGTGTTTGCTCGGTGGAAACAGGTCAACAGATCCCACACCCTCTGTCCAACTCCTTTACTCTCAAATGGAATTCTCAAACGGAATTCGAGTTATCCTTACATGTCCATACAGCTGAGTGTCCCGACGACTTGAATATGTCGATGATGGTGACGATTGAGCCATATGTCCCAGCAACCATAAGGAATGTCCCAGAAACAACCACGAAGCCGCTGAAGCCCACCATCGCAATCCACCTCAGTGAACGCTCTTGTTGTGTGTGGCGCTTGCCCCAGTTATCATATAACCACATGCAGCCCATGGGTTGAAAGGACATGAGGGTGCCTAGAAGAGCACCTACGAGCGACACCAGAGCCCCAAACTCAGGGATACCGCTGGCGACGAGGTAGGCAATCAAGGTGGCGCAAAATGTGCACCCAAGCCAGACGGCCCAATGAACAAGAGTGTTCGCCGTGAGATGCCTAGAGCCCCTCAAAATACGCACAAATGCACACTTGGCAGGCAGCTAAATTTGTTGAATAGTTGCATCAGCACTGCATGCGTCCACACTATACAGCTGGTGTGGTACTGCTCACATGGATGGAGAGGGTCGTGGTCACGGTCAGCCCCGGAAGAGCCAGCCCGTACGCAACCTTCTTCATGAACACGCCCGCGGATCCAAGAGCAGGCGAGGCAACGTAGGATCCGCAGAAGTAGTAGACCACGCACCCGATGGCGGTATATGTCGTAGTCACGCCGGACTGACAAACAAGCAGCGACCGGGTATATTGGCGTGGGTCGCGCATCTCAGAGACAATATTGAAGAAAGCAGGAGTCCCAGCGTAGGCAAAGACGAGCGCGGAAACAGCAGATATAGCGGAGGTAAACGTAGGCTTTTTAAAGAGCTTGAAGTCGGAGGCCCAAGGGCCGTGCGGGGGCGCAGTTGCCGGCCGGTCTTGGATCCCGACCGCGATGGTGACAACTAGAACTATGGGAGTGATTAACTTATATATCAGGGGCAACAGGGCTGCTAGTACTCACTCGCGGTCATTATACAAGCCAGCCCAAACCAGGCAAGCCAGCTGATACGCCCCAAGGTTCGAATGCTTGCACAGGCAAAGCACACGATGGCGGCAACAACGACAAATACGGCCGTGCATGCGCCGTGGGTTGATACTGCGTTTAGACCAATGGACATGCCGATCATTCCTGATCCAGCAACGAAGATCCAGTCTACGAGGGGTTAGGGGTGGGCATTTGTACCGAGCAAGGGTAACATATACTTACAGATACAGAATCCGATACCCAAAACCTCGCGTCCCACGCGGCCAAACATCTTAGCTCCAGCATCGTCGATGCAATATACCTCGGGGTGCCGACGCTTGAAGACACCTATGATGTAATCGGACCAGGTGGTGATTATTGCGATAGCAATCATGCAAAGCATGCCAGGAATTAGTCCAAGCACATCAAAGGAGGCCGGTATGGAGAGGACACCCAGGCCGATCTGAGTCTTCATCATGAGGGCAGTTGTCCCAAGCCATCCGACCTGGAAGGCGTTATGTAAGCCAGTTTACGCACAGGACGAAGAGGCGTTGATACTCACGTTGCGATAGTTGGGCCCCTTGTCCGTGATTTCGCCGAAGACGGCATCATGGGCGGTAGCCACATGCTCAGAATCTCCACCTGGATGTGAATGTGCGTCGCGCCCGGTTGTAAGTTCTGAAGATGTGTGTTTCTCCATCATGGAGCCGTGAGCGTAGGGTTAAAGGCTTCGCAAGGAATGCGAAAGGTACGGGGCGCGTGACGGCTGGATACAGAATTGCAGTAGCTTACTCGGGACTCGCGCACCGTAGTAATATGCTGGGCCAGGTATTTAGAACTTGGATCTCGGAGACGAAGTCATCCGAGGCTCTGTAACGGTCGAGCAGTAGCGATACCTATGGCCATGCGAGCGGCTGCGTCGAGTCTTAATATAGACCTGCAACGAGTACGAAGTCGAACGGCGTTGCGACTGCTCCTAACGCGTCCAGTCGCGACGCACGGCTCCACGTCATTACGATTAAGCGATTCTGGGGTCCCCAGATATCGATGAATAACGTTGGGGAAATTGTGGCACTCGATCCAGGGCAATTGCGGGGAAATGAACCGTTTTCTTGCCTTCCAGTTTCGAGTGCCTGTAAGGGCCTGGGGTGTGGTTGTAGTCGACATGGCCCGGGCACCAGTACTCCAATCCGGTTGTCCTGCAACATCGGGGACGTGCGGCGGTACCAGGGTGTTGGATCGCGCTTCAAGGGGTAACGGTCTGGACATACGAGCAGTCTAGAACGGCGGAGGGCATCAATTTCTGTCGGCAGTCCGTGTCAAGCACATGTCCCTTCTTCGGACAAGCCCGACACCGGTCTCTTGAGGGCGATGAGAGAGCAATGAGCCCCCGTCGCCGTCACCGATTCGCCCCTTGAGAGGAGCGGAGTCGCGATACGTTTAGCCGTTGGTCATCTGTTCGTGAAGCCTCGCGGTCCGGGCCCTGACCCAGCTCACCTATCGTCGATATATCGATACTTCATGGTCGTAACTGTATTGTATCTTTCAGTCTCAAAAAGTATATGCTTCCCTGTTTGGACAGGCACTGGTTAGTTGTTCTCCAGGCCTGGATCTGGGGGTATTCGGTCGGGACTTAGAAGCCATCTCTGTCTTAAGGGCAGGCGTATCTACATGTGGATGAAATAGTCTACCCGCCTCATAAGCGTGCGGTTGCAATCTTGCCTTACTCACCGATCAAATCACGCATTTCCTTGGAATTCCCTACGCGCCAGCTCACTCCTCCCTCCCATGCGGCCTTGCCCTGATTCGATTTCCACTGCCAACGGGGCAAGGCCTGCCGCCCTGCGTCAAGCAGTTCCAGCACCCATTTGCCCACAGTGGGCATCATCTTGAAACCATGGCCGGAGTCTCCAGCTAAAACGACCAGCGAGTTCGAGCTGCCTGGAACAAAGTCGATGCAATACTCTGAGTCTGGCGTGTCGGAAAACCAACAAAACTTGTTGTCAACAAAGGGCCGGTCTGCGAGCCACGGCAGAACTTCCCGAAGGAGGGCTCGTAGTTTCCGCTCATCATCAGGCGGAACGAAGCTACCCCAGCCTGGTTCCGAAACACTCCCGGGAGGAAGAGAAACACCGTCGACGCCGGTGTTAGTGTAGCCCCCTCCAAGAGGACACAGCTTTAACAGACGAGTGTGGGGATCGGGTTCGAAGAAGAAGCCCAAGTCCCGCACGTTGACTACAGGTATACCGCGCAAGAGGTTCACCTCGTCCTCTGTCAGCTGAATATGTACCACCGACCAGCATCAAGCGATCGCAAACTTCCCAATGCTCGGTACCAGAGTTGCAGCATTAGCTCCTAGTGCGCAAATGGTTACGACGGCATCATGGGTGCTCCCGTCGGCTGTGCGGACTCCAGTGCAGCGGCCGCACACGTTGTATATGAAGGCCTCGACTTTGCCGACTCTCTCGCCGAGGAGAAACCGCACACCCTTCGACGCGCAGAACGCCTGCACACGGGCCAGGGTGTTGCCGGAGTGGGCGTAACCCGCAAGGCGGTTAAAGTAGCCGTTGAACCCAGTGAGCTCGCCCGTCAGCTGCCAGGCAACGTTGTTGAAGTCTTTCTTCTCGCGAAGGATCCGTATCTCGTTGGCAAAGGTTGGCAAGCATGAGGCGGACGCAAAGTTCTTTGCAAGGGTGTCGACCGATCTTTGAGGAGCCCGACCCGACGTGCAGTTGATGTATCCGGTCTGGTGGAGATTCGGGCCAAACAGAGGCGTCTTCCACCTCTCAATTGCCTCCTGCCCCGACCGATGATTAGAACGCCTGTCAAGAGGAAGTGGTCTTGCAAAGGAACATACCTACCAAGGTCAGGGTGGTGTAGAATGGATCCTCATACTCGGCCCTGATAATCTTGTTGAGATCATTTGCCGCTGAATACGGCGACGGAACGCTGTGGGATCGATCAAATACTGTCACGTTTGTATATCCGGACTCGACGAGGTGCAGAGCGGTGGAAAGACCCCATGCGCCGCCTCCGACGACAGCGACGGGCGATGACTTTCCGATTGCCATTCTGTAAATAAATAGATTGGTTCTCCCGTGGCGCTGCTCGAAAGAAGACTCTACTCAGGCGTTGCAGCACGATATGTACCCACAGCGACCGCTCATGTATTACCGACGAGACATGCCAGCGCCGCTCGCTCGCGCAGGCCCCGCATAGTTTGTCCGAGCCTGGTTCATGTCCATTGCCAAGGTTGCGGTGTGCTTGTTAAACCCATAGTATACAAGTTCAGCGACAGGTTCCCCTTCCCGATACATGTAGGCCAACCTTAGTCTATCTGACTCCCCAAATCGTAAGTATTTGCACGCTACATGTACGTCTAGCCCAGGATCTACGTAGACTCTGGAGCCTATATCTGAATCTCCCGCTATATTGACACGCGCCATGATGCCTCAGCCAACGGACTCGTACCGATCAGGAGGGTGGTGAGAAAAGGGGTGCAGTCAAGGCCTGGGGGCTGGGGTCTCTGGACCGAGAGTCCGGCTCCCCGCACACGCCCCGGACCAGGGACCGGCAGAGCCGATCGGAAAAGACAGCGCCCACGGGTTGTCTGTGCGCTCCCTCGGAGCTGGTCCGAAGCCCGAGTTGGAGGCACACACACATACTGGAGACATGGGGGTTCGGGGTTGCGTGGCAGGTAAAGGCAAAAAAAAAACGCCTGATGTGCCCCATCCTCGCTTGCGGTAACCTCGTTGCAACGAAGTAGCCGGCGGGTGTAAGCAACCGCATCACATATTCGCGAGCCACGTAGTCACAAGGTTCCGCCCACAAAGTTCTGTGCGTGGGACGTGCATGCCGGCAACCAAAGAGGATGTGGGCTACTTCGCAGACTCCCAGGGGCTAGGACGGGATCCCACATTTGAGCCGCTCCGACGAAGGGCCATAGAACAGCCAGCCAGGCAAGGAGATATTAACAAAGTACATTCGTATTCATGTTGAATCACAGAATCTATTTTGAAAACGTTGACGGTTCTTCAATCTTTAGCTTGTCTTGACAACCATGTCTTGCGTCACTGGTCGGCTTCAGAGGGTAGCTTCCATTGCCTTGCTGACGCGCCCATCTCGTCCAGCTTTCGCAACGGCGAGGTTATACTCAAAAGAAGCCGCGTCCATAAATAATGAAAGCACTATTGAAGCAACACCATCAACCACGGCGATAAAAAGAACCGGCTTACGTGGCCTACCTACTAGTGTTTTGTTCCGATCACTTGCAGTTCTATCTGTCGCCTCACTACCCCAGCCGGCACTCTCGCTGCTGCTTCGTGCAGTCAAGCGCCACAGCCATTGGGTCGACTCGATCCCACTTCTGCGCGGGATTGCTCGCAGAACTTTCTACAACCATTTTTGCATCGGCGAAACGAAGTCGGAGATTGAGAGGCACGTGGATGAGTTGAGACGAATGGGCGTTCGGGGTGTCATCCTCTCCTTCGCCCGAGAAGCCGCCGACAGCAGCAAATCTTCCGCCAGCGCGCAACTCACCGCAGAGGATACGGAGCTGCAGTCATGGGTTCATTCCAATCTCGAAACAATAGACAAGCTTCATCAAGGAGATTACCTCGGCGTGCGATGTACGGGAGCTGGGAGAGCAACCCTGAGGTGCATGGATGACGTCTTTGAGCGTTCCAAAGCCTTTGGCCTCGGGGAAGCTCTGAGACGGGGTTCGGCGGAAGTGAATGTCTTCAAGGATGCTCTAACGAAGATTTGTGCTGCTGCAAAGTCTCGTGGCATCAGAGTCCTGATTGATGCCGAAGACACACGACGCCAGCTTACCATTGATCACGTTGCTTTGGTAGGCAGCATGACCGCCGTTTCATCACTCCTGGGGCTGACAACTTTTCAGAGCATCATGCCGATTTTTAATAAAGGCGACCACGCCGTGGTTCTGAATACGTATCAAATGTGAGCATCGTGTCCTTTCTCTCCTCACAGCGCGTGTCGATAGAATCCACCTTACTTACAAATGGGATCAGGTATCTCAAAGCTGGGGTCTCCAAACTGGTAGCCCACTTACACCACTCTATTGAGAACAACTATGTTCTCGGCGTGAAGATGGTTCGAGGAGCGTACATCCACTCTGAACCCGATCGGGATCTACTCCACGATACAAAGGCGGACACCGACGCCGAGTATGATCAAGCAGTGCGGCTTCTGGTTGGGAGCAACGGAGCGAGCCTGGCCGACGAAAACGGAGCAGGCGCCACCTGGTCCGCGGATCTCATGCTCGCTACTCACAACACACATAGCGCCAGGGAAGCCCTGAGACTGTACCGGGAGCGCTTTCTGACCCGCGGAATCGGGCCTGCAGCTCACGGAGCCGGCCTAAGAAGTCTGGCCTTTGCGCAGCTCAAGGGTATGGCCGATGAGCTGTCCTTTAAGCTGACAGAGGAGATTGAAAGCATGTCCGCAGAAGCTAGCGGTACTGCCTTGGAGGCTGAACCCGACGTTGCACGTCGTCTCCCCGGCATTGGAGTCTACAAGTACTCTATATGGGGTACGTTCCAGGAATGCCTTTTGTACATGTTGCGCCGCGCCGAGGAGAACAAGGATGCTGCGGCAAGGAGCAGGACAACAGCTTTAGCAATAGTGAGGGAAATGGGGCGACGCGTGCTCCCCTTCACGCGCAGCTGACACCACGGCCAGCGAAATATATTTCCCAACCGCCATGCGATACCTTTTAGTTTAGCTAATGGTGCCATAACATACTCCCGACACAGCTAAGGGTCTATTTGCTCCTGGCCAGCAAGAAAATCGTCAATTTGACTGTCTTTGTGATGGATCTTGTCCCGCCTCCCATCGCTTCTGTAATCTTGGGCGCCGACATGGCTCTAATAGGCGACACTGAATACTGCTCCGCTCCCGTGACACGCGCCTCTTAACAGCCGCATGATAAACGGCCACCCTCCGAAACATCGGGCCCGGGGTCACCGGAGTGGGGCCGTAGCTTGCATCATGACCGGATCGCGGGGTCGGCTTCGACAACCGATCCATGCAGGCACTGAGCCATAATGATACATGTCGCGACGGCTGCGTATCCGACTCTAGCGCGTATGTAAGGAAGAGCTGCAGAGTGCGGCATGTGAGGGAGCCTCATCCAGGCCAATGTTCCGACCCCGGGGCAAGTTCGTCGCGTCAAGTGTATGGACAGTGCCAGCGAGCACCTCGCCGGTCGGGGTAGCTACGTGCCCAGCCGGTGACGCTTTCGATGGCAGTCCTCTCTGATGAGTTGGACGGCTTTATCTACGATGACCGAGCGACAGAAATTGCAAACAGAAGGAGCCTCCTATGGAGGAGCCACTCGAACGATCTCCATGTCTGCAGACCTGGGCGCCGCCGCCACTGCCTCTCTCTTGGTCTCGCCGCTGGTGACATTAATTGACAGGTAAGCTTGGAAATCTGCGCCTTCAAAGTTGAAACATCTCTCGATGGAGGGTTGCACATCGCCAAACGGCGCAACCCCCAACCCGTACTAATGAGGTCCCTCGACCAGCTCCGTCGTCACTCGCGCAGCGACCGGACACTCACTAAGATCCTGCATCGGGGCCTCGATTCAAGTCATGGGCAGAAATCCTTTAGTGCTGGTACGATCGCTGCCTTTCCGGCTCATCTTTGGGGTCTATTTCTTCACGTTCGCCACCGCAAATCTCGTCGACTCGGTCCACGCGAAAAGAAACGCGCTGCCGCCTGCGCATCAGTCGTCTACGACGGAGAAACTCGTTTGCACGACAGCAGTCAGCACAGCGCTCTGCACTTACAAGGACGGCCAATTGGCCCGCATCTTCGGTTCCCGGCCGTTGGCATTCGGTGTGCCCCCGCAGAGTTATGCCTTGTTCGTTCTGCGAGATGCCGTCACGGTGTACGCCTCGTTTACGATGCCAGTCTCCGTCGCTCAATGGCTTTCAAGCGCGGCTGCTAGCGCAAATTTGGGAGCGTATGGCGGCGTCTTGAGATCAGAGGATGTGAGCCTCAAAGCGGCGCAGATGGCTCTCCCTGCCCTGGCCCAGTTCATCACGACCCCGATCCACCTCCTCGGCTTGGATCACTATAACAGACAGGGACGCGTTCCGCTCCTGAGGCGCTTGGCAGCCGTTCGAGATAGCATGGCGGTTGCCGTCCCCTTGCGTATTCTGCGGATCGTACCAGCATTCGGGGTTGGGAATGTTGTCAACACGAGTGTCAGGAAAGCGGTGCTGAATCGTAGTCTAGTCTAGGTCTATGCCAATATGTACTTTATAATGGAGCAAGCAGAGTGGATTGGCCATGCTACAGCCGACTTGGCATATGGGAAAAAAGAATGGCGGCATTCTTCAAGTGGCACGCCGCGCTCGGACAGTCTGCATTTGTAGACCTTCACCAATATGTCTGCTTAACTGGAAATGTCAATTCCACCCTGCTTGCTCTGAATGAGTTCGATGATGGCATTGCCAGCCGCCAGGTCCGTCAGGCTCACGCCAATGCTCTTGTACACAACAAAACCCTCCGAGATGAAGCGGTCCGCCTGCTCGGCGTGCTCCTCGTCTGGCGGCTGCATCCTTCCCTTCCTGAGTGCGATTATCTGACCTAGCTCGACCATGTCCTCGGCCATGATCTCACTCTTAATAACTTCCCCAGAGTTCTCGAGAGCGTAGTTCCGGTCGTCGACGAGCACTACTCCTTTGGCTTCTCCGGTGACAGGGTTGTACCCGCCTTTGGCGTCGATACAATGGCGCAACAAAGAGGGATCCAGCTCGATAATGTGAGGCTGCCAAGAGCCTATGGCAGAGACCAAAGGCTGGCGGTCGTCATTCGTTCGCTTGGTCAGGTAGCTAGCGGGGAACAGGGGCGTCGTGGAAGGTGTCGTGCAGAAGACGCAGTCGGTTTCGCCAAGACGTGCCTCAATATGCTCATGGAAGTCCACAGCGGTCGAGTCGATGAAGTGGAAGGAGCAATCTGAACCCGAACGAGGTTTGTTCTCTTTGGATACCCTTTCGATGAGTGCCTTGACCTGGTCTCTTCGAGGGCTCACATAGGTGATGGTGTCAATTTCGGAACCCCTGAGCGTCAACATGAGGCGTGTGTGCCACAAAGCCTGCACGCCGGCGCCAAAAATAACGATCTTGTTGACGTGTTTTCTCCAAGAGAACGGCACCATGACGTTCATCGATGTTCGGTAGCCAGTCACTTCCTCGGCCGCCAGGACCCCAGTGGGGTTACCTTGCCCATCCATCAAGATGAGAATACCGTGAAGGGGCTCTTTCCTGCCTCCAGGACCGGGAGGTGGTTCGACGACGAGCTTGGCTCCCACGCTGGTGTCCGAGGTGAAGGGTCGGAAGAGTGTTTTCTGGCCGTTAGGTCGGAGTATGCCGCTGGGTTCAGGCTGGTACTGGCGCTCGCCCCCGACAGAAAAGTCCTCCAACGCCTGCTCGATGGTCGCCCGGAAGTTGATGGCCTCATTCTTGGTCAAGTTTATCAGCAGGCTGTGAATTGCATCGTTAGTCAGATATTGGATGTTCTCCATGTCGAGTAGCTAGGGATTGAGTGTCACTCGGGCTTGGCTCCAGGGAACACTGGCACAGTATAGGTGAAAGATAAGTAGGCGATTCAGCGGATATGCCGATGAGTCGTCTCAAACATGACCTGGTCCAAACAGCCCTCCGCGTTCTTTCTTGCTTGGTTAAACATTCGATGCCGGGCGCTACCTCCCAGGCTTCACACGGTAATGTGCGATAGACAATCGCACACGGAGGGTGGGTGTATCAGGGGTGTGCGGGGCGGACTACGGATCACATCCCGATGCTCATCGCCGTTGCACTCCGGCACTTGGCTTACCCAGGTTGACGTACACCTCCAGCGCAGATGTCGCACTCGGGCAAAGCTATCGGGCCCGACTTTGGAGATGGGCTCGCTAACGGACTTAATAGCTGCCCGCAATCATCGCCCCATAATGATGAGGGAAGCTCCCTCGGTGTCATTTCCAAGACAATCACGCAAATCGTTGTGAAACTGTACACACTTGCACAGAGGACTCCAATGCGAACCTTGTGTGTCTTGGGAGCGGCAATGTGCGAACTCTCGATGCTCAGCAGTTTACTGGCTTCCTACGCAATCGCGGCCTTGTGACTGGAGTCGCTGTGGCTTCGACAGTCCACAATCCAGTCGTAGTAGCCATCACAGACCTGCATTGTAAGCCCGTTCTGTTTACACGCGTACTTCCGCATCAAGGACCCTCAACCAAATACGACATCTTCGAGTTCCGTCGAAGACTTATCCCACACTTTTACTGGGATTCGGCCCAGTCCTCTCCTCAACGCCACATTCGCTCCTCCTTGCGACCACACAACCCAGACCACATTGTAGAACTCATACCAGGAATCGTCCTGAAAGTTGCTCAATTTTTGTCTTGCGGCGCACTCTGGGTAGCCCTGGTTGGTCTGCCGAGTGACTCCTCTTGAGATGGCGATCAGGTCCAAAGGGACGCGGCTTTGCGACGTGGCGTTGTCTCCGCTGCCCTGGTCCACGTCGTACATCTCCAAGACGCCCGCAACGCGACCGGCCTCATTTCTCAGCACGTGGGTGCCTGTGTGCGACCTGCCCTCTTGGGTGACAATGTTGACAAACACGTCACCCGTACCGGTGGCCCAATCCGCGCCGTGGACGTAGAAATGGCCTCGACTGATACTTACTGTCCCGAATAAGTAATGGAATGGTCCGTTGACAATCTTGCTCGAGAATTGCCCGTGGGGGTTGCCAGGGTCAGCATTGGAGAAGCCGAGGGTATCTACCATCGGAATGGGATACCAAAAGGACTTGCTCGGCTCCGGACCGTCCAGCCTGCACACCATTTCGGTCGCGAAGCCCCTCGGCACGGACGACCTTGACAGTGGATCGAGGTGAAACCGTTGACGGACCCAACCCGGCGGAAGCGGCGTGCTCGCATCGCGAAAGGCCTCCCTGGCGAGATGCCACTTCGAGCTCTGTAGAGGAAGACGGCGGTCCGGCGCACAGTTAGCCTCGTCCCCGACCGCCCACTCAACGATGGGAATAATCTCCACGCTAGCCGTGTCCCGACGGTACTGATCGCGCTGGGATTCTCCAAAGCAGGGCGGCGTCAAAGAATGTCTCGGGCAGGCCGCAAAATATACGACCCCCAAAGCACCTCGCAAAGGTAACCGCCAGTCCGCCGAGGACGGTGGGCATGTCGCTGGGCTTGACACTCTTCTGTGCGGTCAGGTCCATGAGCATGGAGTAGTACTCTCTCACCCCCGGCCATGGCTTAGCCAGTGCCGTCGTCCAGTGCGGTGGTCCACCGTCCGATAGCCCGTCATCGTCGGATTCTTCGCTGTCCCACTCCTCCTCCTTCTCGATCACCGTTGGCCAGTCCATCTGGCAATGCCATCTCGCTCGGTCGCAGCGATGGGCGCAGTCCTCCCACATATGGTCATCCTGCTCCTCGTCGCCGCAATACGTCGGCCATGACCGGCATCGCCACTGGACCGTGCCCATTTCGAACCGCAGCACGCGGCGGGCCAGGACCGTCTCGGCAAAGGTGTCGCCCTGACACGTGTATGTGACGCCATCGCGCCACGCGCGGCCCGCCTCAACCTGATGGCCTCGCCGGACAGCGGCAGAGCGCACAAACGCCTCGCCATCTCCAAACGCGGCCCACTTCTGTGCAAAGGAGCGTGGCTGCGCGTCGGGAATCTCGCGAATGCCCCTTATGCCGTGCGAGGCATTCGTGCCGTCGCACTCGGCAATGACAAATACCGCGCAGACCGACAAGAGGGTTACCTTGGTCATCTCGGACCGGCGGTGCGCGTCGTCGTCTTGCAGTACGCAGAGCCGGTCGATCCAGATGTATCGGATCCCGAGGAGCGCGGCGAGACTCATCGCATCACGAAACGTGCGTGGAATCAACTCCAACGTTCCGAGCGCTTTCAATCCGCCGGGTTGCTGCAGCTCCTTGAGGTTGCGTGTGGTCAGACTGATGTGATCTCCTTGGTCGCCTCGCACATAACTGAGCATGGTGAACGGTTCGCCGGTTGCCGCATCATATGCGTCAACCACGCACGATGCATCGACATCGATTAGGAACGCGGGCCGAGGGGCGTCGATGGCATTCGGCGCGTCACCAAACGGGAACTTTGCACAGATGGCCCCGTGGTTCTGCGCGCAGTTGTCGATAAAGCCCTTGATGACATCCAGGTCGATCCATTCATGTCCAAGGATCCTGCCCATGCCCCAATGGCACGGCACGTTGTCTCGACGCGCAAGATGCAACACTGTATTTTTTACTCTGAACACAGGCTGACCCTTCCACTTCGAGAGGCTCAAATTGCCGCGCGAGATGATGCCATTGTCATGGGGGTTAGAAAGGTGGAGGAGCGGCTCGTGGAACGCACAGTTCCACGACACGGGATCCTCGTCTTCGGTAAATGATATGCTCTGACTGAACTGACGTCGAAGTGGCGTCTTGATCATGCGCACGATGGCTCTGCAGACTCTGCAGCGAGGATTCGGCGCCAGATCCAATCTGTCGGACATCGTGTCTAGCACCCTGGATCCTGTCTGGGATGCAAGGTTGGGTACCCATGGGTCTTAATGGGTACCCACGATGATTCCTCGGTGTCCAGATGAGCCAGGAACTATTATACAACCGATGAGATCACTTAGGCCTACTATTGTTTTCTGACGAGAGGGCTGAACGAGCAATACATGTAGTGTAATTATGATAACATGAAAGGAAAGAGAGTTGGCTACATGAGACGACTGCGGCCGAGAGAGCTATGAGGACCCGACCAGCTGGGGGAGTCTCGTGCCACTAACCGTTGGCCAAAAAACGCGGGCAGGGCCCAAGGTTTGCTCCAATATGCACCAAAGCACGCTCAGGCCCATGCCACGGGCAAAGGCTTCGGCACCCGATTTTGCAGCGCCAGAAGCTCGAATTCTGGATGTGGACAGCCACAGAGAGTAAACTCAATATCGCGATGCATTCTTCATTACGGTCTCATGCAATATCAGTGTTCAAGGTTAGTGCAAATCATTTCCTACCTAAGCACTTTTTGAGTCGTGAGTCGTGACTGTCCCACGTTTTGGCTACTAACTGAATTGGAGCCCCATTTAGTTGGTTGCGCCCCCGCCCAACACCAACGGGTTGGGCGAGAAAGCGAAGTCTGGGGAAACTCGGGGCTTGCATCGGCAGAGCAGCCGGAGAGATCGAGCTGCCTCTATTTGCTGCATATCTACCAAATCCTCCTTGACCCGGACAGCGGTCTCGCTTGGGAACATGCGAGTCCCCGAAAAAGGCCCAGCCACGAAACCGACTCAAGTTTGCCAGGCTTGCAAGCTTCGCCATCGGAAGTGCGACTGGGAGGAAGTTGGCTGTCTGCAATGCAAGAACGCCGGCATCGAATGCGTACGCCAGCCGTCGCTCACGTTTCGCTATCATCCAATGCAGAAGGCATTGTCTCGCGCTTCCTCGGGTCAGTGGCACCCGTGTCCGGTACCGCGAGGCCCGGCCCGGTTCCACTACGAGACCCCGGAGTTGCGCGCCATGTATCGAGAGAGAGAGCTGCCTCCGCCTGAGCCCGAGAAACTGTCGCCCTCCCGGTGCTCTTCGGGCAAGGATATGTCAGCAGAGAGTGCTGGGGAAGACAACGAAACTAGCAGCCACGTGGCATATCAGTGCTCAAACGATTCCATGCTCCTAGGATACTCGGCAGACGATACTTCGCCGTTGCCTGAGCCCTTGACAAGGGCCCCGATTGAGCACCTCGTGGACCTTGTCTCACCTCTGACTCCGATTGAGGCGCTCCTCATCCGCAACTTTACTGATCACATGGCCCAATGGAATGACATCGCGGATCCCTTCCGGACATTTGAGACAGTTGTATCACGACTGGCGTTTACAGATCTCATAATTCGTAACGCCGTTTGCGCCTTCTCAGCACGCCATTTCTACCGATGCCAGGATGATGAAGATGGAGATGGCAAGGCTCTGGACTACCAGAATCGATGCCTCAACCTTCTCATACCGTCAATGTCCGGTGGTCAGAAAATTACCGAGAGCGTCTTGACCGCGGTTGCTCTACTGAGACAGAATGAGGAAATGGACGGTCGGTAAACCATTTGATTCCACCCTTCACGTATTTATTCAGGCTTCCTTGAAGCCGAGGTTGGCCTGAACACCTTGCTCGTTTGGCATGCTCAATGATGATTCGACCACCGTCCTCGAGGGTGTTGGATCCACGCACATCTTGAGTTGAGCCTTTACGGCGATTGTCGTATGGACGCTAACAATATCTAGAGCACGACAATCGCTTCCACTTGGAAGGTGCTTCTCGCATCCTGAACATGGTTCCAGAATTCTCCATCATGGGCGGTGTTGGCGAAGCCGCATGCTGGCTATGCTTAAGAGAAGATATCTACATATCGCTGACAACACAAACACCCATCAAGACTGGGCTCGACAGCTTCCATGATTCTGCTTCGATCCGTCGCGATGACGATTATTCCTGGGCGAGCCAATCAATTCTCAACCTTGCAATCCTCCTGAAACGCGCTTTCTCTACACCGAGGGACCCTGCCAATCTAGCACTATCAAAAGCCGAGATTGCAGATTGGAACATTTCCAAACCGACATCCCACCAGCCCATCTACTTTCGAGCACGATCACGAGAGGAAGGCCGCTGCTTTCCGGAAGTCTGGATGCTGTTGCCCTACCATGCCGTTGGCTTACAATATTACCACATAGCCCAGATTATCCTGAACGCCATAGGATCACGAGATGTTGTCCACACACACGAATATCTCGCCGACAGCAGAGCAACAGCACGACGGATTCGGCATCATTTATTCATGGTTTTGGGCCTGGCTACGTCGAATGAGAGGGCCGAAAACACCTGGTTTACTGCGAGGCACTGTTTGGCTGTCTGGGGGGCGTACTTACACCACCCGGCCGATCAAAGGGCCGCCCTCGACTTTCTAGAGAAATGGCGTCGGCGCTCTGGCTGGAAAACTTCGGTGCTCGTCGAATCGCTACAGCGACAGTGGAGCGAGAACATCGAGGACGATTGAAGGCTTCGAACCCACAGCTTTGATCATTTTTGTTGCGGACTATGTTATCGGCACACAATCCCGGGAACATGGACATTCGACGTCATGGATAGAAGCCTGAACGGATCGGCCAGCCCGATATTGTGTTGATACGGACTTTTTCCGCAGGCCACTGAACCAGTCAGTTTGGGAGTGATCATCTGGGTGCGAATCTTGAGTAGGCAAATTGCGAAGGGTTCGTTCCGGCAGTACACGACAAGCCGACACTGTCGCGTAAGTTACAGCAGCCTCTTTAGATAGAAGAGGTTCTCGATAGCTGCAGGCAACTTATTTGCCTTGTCGCTGTGGAAGTAGGCGTTGATGCACCTTACCGGGTCATTTGCCTTCTGTTCCGTTGATCGTCCTCCGCCTGACTGATGGCCGTCCGCTCAATTGCAACAGCCACGTTCTGTCCAGCGTGAACTAGCGTTTGCAATTGGGCGGAATCTTGCAGATGATCTGTAGAGACTCCCCACCGAAGTTTCCCTCCGGCTTCCCTGTCCAGACGTGTAAGCCCATCGCCGCGGGGCTCGTCTAACTCTACGGGGTAATTTTCCCCGCCTGGCCAAAGCCTTAAGGAGACTGCAGATATGAAGAAGAGGGTCGATTCCCGTCTCGTGGCGGTACAAAGATGCCTATGAAAGCGGGCGATGCCGCGCTCTAGGTCACAATCTGTTCCACAACAGCTTCATTGCATAGACTTCAGAATGGCTCCCCATACCATCGCCGACCACGTCGAGCTGCGCGATAGCCGCGTCGATGTCGCTGCCGTCAAGGCCAAGGCTGCCTCCAAGCAGGCGGAGGTGAACGGTGCTGCAGAACGCCCTCCTGTGGCAGACGATTACATGTACGACTTTAAGTACAACCACCCTCTGCCAACCACCGACGTGCTCGGGATCGAAATCCCCCAGGAATGCGACACGCAGGCTGAAGCCGAGCGCATCGTCAAGCGGCTTTCTGACGCTCTAGGGGCTGGAGACGCCGTTCGCTTTGCGGATATTTTCCTCGAGTCCGGTACGTTCCCTTTCCAACAGCCTCCTGCTAACATATCATGGCGAGTCTGACGAACAACTCAGGTGTGTGGCGCGACAAGCTTTCCTTCACCTGGGACCAACGAACCTTCAACTTCCGCCCTGCAATTCTGAAGGCTGCCCAGGAAATCCTTCCAACTACGAAAGCGTTCAACTTTGCCTTCCTCAAACCGGCTCCTACAATTGACCGGCCTTACGATGACTTCGCGCAGTTGCAGTTTGTTGTGTCGTTCGAGACAGGGCTCGTCGTCGCTTCGGCCGTCATCAAGGCCGTCCTCACCAAGGATGGCTGGAAGATCTACACGATGCACACAGTCGCCGAGCAACTCAAGCAATTCCCGGAGCGGGCTCCTGCCGACGGCCATATGACCGGGACTGTTAGCTGGGAGACGCAGCGCGCGATGGAGGTCGATGCGGCGGACCCAGAGGTTTTGATCATTGGCGGTGGACAGAAGTAAGATTCGCGATCTTCAGGCAGGCTTACCGCATTGTACTGACAGTGGACAGCGGTCTTGCGTTGGCTGCGCGGTGCAAAGCAATCGACCTCGACTGCCTTATTGTCGAGCGCGATGAGGAGATCGGAGATGTCTGGAAGAAGAGATACGAGTATCTCTCTCTTCACTTCCCTCACTGGGCAGACGATTTGCCCTTCTTCCGTTACCCGAAACACTGGCCCACGTATACCCCTGCGCAGAAGCAGGGCACATACATGGGGTGGTACGCTTCCGCACTGGAACTAAATGTTTGGACCAAATCAACCGTCACCCACGCCGAGCTAGACGACCATGGCAAATGGACGGTGAAGATCAATAAGGGCGGCAAGGACACCAGGATTTTGCACCCTATGCACGTCGTCATGGCCACTTCCCTCTGCGGCGTCCCATATACACCGAATATACCTGGAATGGACCAATTCAAGGGTGGTAAAATTCGTCACTCCTCTGCTCACGACAGCTCTCGTGACTTTGTCGGCAAGAAGGTCTGCGTGGTCGGCACCTCTTCCTCGGGCTTTGACACTGCTTTCGACTGTTCCCGCCGCGGTATTGACGTGACCCTCCTTCAGCGCTCGCCCACGTATATCATGTCTCTCACACACTCTGTTCCTCTCCTGCTTGGTGGCTTTGCTCCGGACGCCGAGGGCAACCGTCGCGATCCCGAGGAGCACGATCGCATCTTTTTCTCCACCCCCGTGGGACCCGGCGAGGAGCTTGCTCGGCGTAACGCCAAGGTGCTCGAAGACCTTGACAAGCCTTTGCTGGAGGCGCTCAACGCGCGAGGTCTGAGGACATGGCGTGGCCAGAGGAACACTGGTAACAGCACCCTTGGCCAGACGAGGAACGGTGGCTTCTACTTCGACGCCGGCGCCTGTGAGCACATCATAGATGGCAAGATCAAGGTCGAACAGGGCTACATCAAGCGCTTCACAGAGAACAAGGTCATCCTCAGCGAGGGGCGTGAGCGTGAATTTGACTTGATCGTCTTCGCGACGGGATTCTCCAACTTGAACGACTCGATTCGCGACACCCTGGGCCCCAGGATTGCTGACCAGGTTGGTCCCGTCTGGGGTATTGATGAGGAAGGCGAGTACAGGAATGCTTTCAGAGAGACTGGGGTGTCCAAACTCTGGATCATGGTCGGCTTTCTGCCCATGACACGTTACCAGTCAAGGGTGCTGGCTCTTCGATTGAAGGCACTGAAGGAAGGCATATCGCCTCCCCCATACAAGGCATAAGTGCATAGATAGGCTCATTCACATAGACTCTAAGGAAATCTTCTTTCTGCCATGTTTTACGAGGCTCCTCTTCCAACTTGGTAAGAGACATATAGTTGTTCAAATTGTCCATGAATATCCTTTTCCCAATCGCATTGCCCTTTGGGAATTGTTGCGCCCGTCCTGTGACATGTGTTAGTGCACACTCGGCATAAGACAGGTCATCGTACTGCCCGCCATTTGCACAGAAGCACCAGTGCCTAAAGTAAGCCAGTGCATTGCTTGCAAGATTCAGCCAACCAAGTCTGGCTCACCACTCGACGGGCCAGAATTCCGTCTTCAAGTATGAAGTAGAGAAAGTCAGCTTATGCGCCCCAACGTGCGCCCAACAGAAGCGGGCACGGACCTGGACGAGCCTCTGCCGGTTGTGGAGATTCGCCATTCGAGTGGGTGGGATTGCCTTTCGAGCGGGGAGAATTGCCGTTTGACTGTACGAGTAGAAGAGTGCCCAGGGGCCTGTGGGGGATCTCGCTCTCCTCCACGCCGTGTACAGCAGTGTCCCGACAGAGTAATTCTGTCCGCTGCTGTGACTGGCAAAAGCAGCCCCTGGAACTACATATGTTCAAAAACCCAACACATGGCCTGAACCATGACAATGTCTACTTCATGTTGCTTCATTGAACTTCTTTATGGGATCTTACTAAGGCGGAAGTCTTCGTTCATATTGATAGATCACTACGCCGGTCCGACGACTCTACCATGGTCGCTCAACCTCGCCTCAAGCTCTGTCTTATTGGCCTGGGCCGTCTCGGTGCTCGTCGGGCTACGAATCTAGCCTTTGAGCAACCGCGCATCGAGCTTGTGGCCGTATGCGACACCAAACCTGGTGCCAACGAGTGGGCTGCAGCCAACCTTCCGCCCTCTGTCAAGTTCTTCTCGGATCCGGAGGACTGCATGAAGAATAGCGGTGCGCAGGCTGTCTTGATTTCCACTGCGACTGCAACCCACGCTGCCTTGATTTGTCTTGCCCTCGATTTGGAACTGGTATGCCATTTACCACTTGTCTGTTTCGGTGCGCAAACGCTAACGATTGATGCAGCACGTCATGTGCGAGAAGCCAATCTCAGTGGATATCATCACTACCGAGGAGGTCGTGGCCAAGTCTGCTTCTAAGCCTCACCTCAAGTTCTTGCTCCCATTCTCGCGCCGCTGTGAGTGTAACGGTTCCGATATCATTGCCAAGCTAACGCGTTGTAGATGATGAGTCTTACCGTGCCACAAAGCACATGGTCAAAAGCGGCCTGCTGGGAGACATTCATGCTGTCGAGGCCTCGTGCCTTGATCCGCAGGACAAGGATGGTACGCACTCTATGATAGTGAATATCATGCTAAGATCAATGAATTGACAACTCCACAGGTTTCTACGTCGCATTCTCCCAGCAATCAGGTGGCATATTCGTCGATGCCGGTATTCACATTGTACGTTATTCCATTGAGGAGGTCCTTGATGATGTTTTGTACTGACTCAGCCGAAGATCGATGTTGGCCGGTACTTCCTCGACGTCGAGAAGAACATTCCAAACCCCAAGAAGCAAGTCAACCGCGTGATCGCATTCGGCCAGCAAGCTGTTTACAGCGAGCTTGCTAAATTCGGCGATGCCGACAAGGCCTGGGGACTGGTCGAGTTCGCCAACGGTAAGATTCTCCAGGCTCGCCTGAGCCGCACCATCACCAACGGGTTCGAAGCCTCCACCCGCGTGTGCGGCACCAAGGGTCACTCCGTAATTAACGGCAACTCAACTCTGAACCGAGTCGAGATTCGGGACGAGTACGGGGTCCGCACGACCTCGACTCCTGACGCCTTTGCTCTCTACGACAAGACGTTTATCAACGACATCGCAGAGTTCGCCGCCGCTGTGCTTGATGACAGTCCTTTGTCCTGTTCGCCTGATGATGCTTACGAGGCGGGAAAGATCGCATGCGCTTTGCAGCACTCGTTCCGTCTTGGCGAGCCCGTGTATTTCGACGAGTCGGGTCAGCCATTGCTGAAGCCTCTGCCTTCCAAATAGAAAACTGAGATTTCAATTATATGGTGTTCAACAAATTGCAAGCGCCATTTGAGCGATAACGCAATGTCCGGGTAAGGACTGACGCGGCTTCGTTGACTTCGCAGTCGCGCCTCTGCCCATGGGGCTTTTACCTCCGTAAACTCTAGCAACTCAGACCAAGATTGACCAGTAGACGGAGCATGGTCTTCGGAACGCCATATAAGCTACATACGGCCCTTGTCCCTACCGAAAGACCAAAACACGTTCGCAGCTTGTAGATTCGCATTACAAGCCAAAAGTCGGTGTCAGCCATGTTCACGAGTCCACAACCGTCTGTGCGCAGCCTCTGTGCCTAGTGGGGGAATTTACCGCGCACGGCATCAAGGGTGCGCCACCCAACAACTCGAACGCCATGTTCATGTCACCCCCTGGCGTTACTATACAATCTGCGCAGAACCCTAGTCGTACATGGTCATTATAAGAGTGAGTGTCCTCACTCGTCCCTGTTGACTTGCTCTCCTATCACCACAGAGCATGAACAGCTCGCTATTCTCGGGCCCAGAATACTTGTACAACACATAACTGTTCACCTGAGCCATTCGACATGGAGGGCGTCAGTGACAAATCCCAGGCTGACGGCCGCGTGGAACACCGGGAGATGCCAACCGAAGGGAAAGCCCATGGCGGAATCGACTTGTTGGCGCACAACATCCCATATGGACCAGGCGGCGTGAAAGGCATGTTCTCTTCGGGCCCTTACGTCCTCTATGCTGCATTCTTGGCGTCTTTGGGTGGCTTCTCCTTCGGTTACGATCAGGGCGTCATGGGTATCATCAACGTCCTCCCGCAATTCCACACAGTCATTCCGCGAGCGGAAACCGCATTTGGCAAGGGATTCATGACCGGCATGCTTCTACTCGGCGCTTTTATCGGTTGCTGGTTTTACCCATACGTTTCCGACCGCTGGTCCAGGAAAAAGGCCCTCCTTTTGAGTTCCATAATCTTCACCATCGGCGGAGTTATCCAGACCGCCGCTTACAATTACGGGACGCTTGTTGCAGGACGGACGATCGGAGGTATCGGAACCGGGACACTTGCTCTGGGTGCCCCGATGGTGAGCGACCCAACGCCTTTTCGCGACATGATCCTCCCGTGACTAACACGGCTGCAGTACATCTCTGAGATATCCCCACCCCATCTCCGCGGAACTCTCCTCGTCCTGGAGTCAGTCGCAATCGTCTCGGGAGTCACAATCGCGTACTGGATTTCGTACGCATGCAAAGACATTGCAAGCGACGCCTCGTGGCGCGTGCCTTTCGCGCTGCAGTTGCCCTGCGCCCTTATCCTCGGCGCCATGATCCAACTGTTTCCCTACTCGCCTCGCTGGTTAGCAATGCAGGACAGACACGAAGACTGCTTGGACAGCCTGAGCAAGCTGCGGAATCTTCCGGCTTCGGATGAGCGTGTTCAAGCCGAGTACCAGGGTATCCTTGCCGAGGTCAAATTCCAGGCCGTGATGCTAGAGCGCCGCCATCCTGGAGTCCGTGGGTTCAGATTGGAGATCGTGCAGTGGCTTGACCTCTTCACGATCAAGCGGTGGAGGCGCACTGCTGTTGGTGTAGGAGTTTGCTTCTTCCAACAGCTCCAAGGCGTGAATGTGAGCCGGATTGATACCATCCTGAACACTGAGTCAACAAGAAAACTAACCCAATCCTGTAAACATAGGCATTCATCTACTACGCTCCGACACTTTTCAGAAACATTGGCCAATCTGACGACATGTCGCTAATCCTATCCGGAATCTTCAACGCGCTTCAGATCGTCGGTGTATGCATTGCCTTTGTGCTTATTGACAGAATCGGGCGACGGCCGCTCGCCATTGGCGGTGGCATCGGCAACCTGACTTGCTTCGTGATTATCGCGGTGCTCGTTGGCAAGTATGGAGGCATCTGGGCCGAGAACACGAGTGCAGGCTGGGCGTGCGTTACCATGGCCTTCTTGTTCATTGTCGTCTTCGGCGCCTCTTACTCTTCGCTCGGATGGGCTCTTCCGCCGGAGGTATTCCCCGTCAGTATTCGCTCCAAGGGTGTTGCCTTCTCGGTTGCCATCAATTGGCTTTCAAACTTCACAGTGTAAGTACAAGGTGCTTACAGGATGGTATAGATCGATCAATTAACAGAAAGTCATAGCGGCGTCGTCACCCCGCCCATGATTGACGGCATCGGCTTCGGCACATACGTTTTCTACGCCTGCTTCTGCGGCTTTGCTGCCCTTTGGGCGTACTTTCTCGTTCCAGAAGTAATGCTTCACATCATCACGCGAATAACGATTGCAAAGCTGACAGTGCCTTACAGACTATGGGCAAGACCCTCGAGCAGATGGATGAAGCATTTGGAGATCTAAGTGGCCAGGAGGAGCAAGAGGTTATGAGAGAGATTATGAGCAACCCAACCCTTGTAGGCAAGCAGACAGCCGTATGAACGCTGTCTAATTCCTGTAGGCCTGCTATGCACATTTTGTGGCTGCATCGTCCTACGAAGTCCTTACTTAACTCAATATACAAGAAACATTAAGCCATTGAAAGAACGGCCCTGCGGCTCCTGTATAGCAAGGGCGTACGGGCATCACCGATGCGCTCAACGCCACATACTTATTTATCGCTTTCGCAGAGGCCATAAAGGCATCGACTTCAAGGGCCGTTTGAGGGGCGCACGCGATAGTGTGCCTCGCCATAAATAGACAGACACGGCACGGCCCGCGTTCCCCGCACCGCCCCCACGATAACGACACCCGGCCGGGTCGGGTCGCCAAGGAGGCCGGCGCTTAGACGACTATAAAGGATGGCTGGGAGGGAGGGAGCCAGGTCGTACGAAGCTACGGTATATAGAACGCGGCCGCTCGTTTGATCCGGTGGCTCTACCGTTGCCCTCCAACACACAATGGAGACGCCGGACCGCCGCAGCAGCCTCCTGTCGCCTTCATCTGCGGCCACGACTAGGTCGAGGACCTCGAGTCGAGGCTCGACGGGCAAGTCTAGCAAGCAGACGCAGCTGTCTGTGCCTGAAGACGCGAGTCCCTGTCCCAAGCCGCGACGGGGCTCAAAGGCAAAAGCAGCGGCCCAGGACGATGTGCTCGACGTGGGCGGGTCGAGCCCTGGCGGAAGGACAGACGATGGAGGATCGGTCAGCAGCTACCAAGGTGCCGGCCGCCCTCCTGCGAGGTCACGGACGTCGTCGTCGTTCAAGAAGCAGTCGCCCGAGGAGATTGACTCGCGAATAAACGACTACATCATGTCGCCCGCGGCGAAGCGGCCGCCAGGAGTCAACTACGTCCTTGCCGTCACCAGAAAGGTCAACGGCACGTCGGTGCAATGCATCAAGATCGGGTACTCTGAAAGAAGCGTCGGCAAGCGCAAAACGGAGATTCTGAGCCAGTGCAAGCACGAGTCGGTGCGGGTCGTCTACAACTCGAAGCGGCTCATCGCGCACGCCAAACAGGCCGAAGACCTCATCCAGCGAGAGCTGCACAACTTTCGCGTCGACCCGGGATGCTCGTGCAAGAACACGCACTGCGAGTACTTCAAGGTGGACGAGTCAGTTGCACGCGAGGTGTCGGTCCGGTGGGTTGCCTTTTGCGCCAAGGAGCCCTGGGGACAGCTTCACGAGCTGCACGGGTTCTGGACCGCGCGCATCAACAACAGGCGGTGCTACAGCGAGGAGGACAAGCCTGATGGTAGGGACGGCCAGAGGCGGCTTATTGCTGAGATCTGGCGCGAATTTGCGGCGGCGACGGTCCGGGAGCAGCTCGCGTTCGACGCCGTCGCCGTCGTGTGGACGTTCGCGTCATGGAGCTGGCTGTCTCTTGGCCAGGCAGCCTACCTGATGAGCGTCAGGTTCCCGAATCCGATACCCGTGGTCTTCTTTGCGGTGGTGGTGATGTTGATGCTCGCACAGCGCGATCTCGCGGGTATGCGGCTGGTATCTTGGATGGACGTGAAGCTCCAGGCCAGCGACCAGTCTCCTAAGCAAAGGGCGACAGGCGAATCAGTAAGTATTTTGCGCCTCGGAATTGGCAGCCAAGCTGACGTTGCCTGCAGGCCGACAGTGGTGATGTTGAGAGCCGCGTTGGGGATGATGTAATGGACGCAGACGAGAATGGTGACGAAGCAGAGGGCGGGTCGGTTGTGACCTTGTCGGCGCCATGTACGCCGCGTTCGCCTCCAGAGACGATCGTGATTGAAGACAGCGAGGAGGAGGCAGGGGAGGGGGAGGAGGAGGACAGCGATGGCGATGGCGATGATGACAAGGATGAGCTGTGGCGAGAAAGGATTGTGACGTCGAGATGCGTGGTCCGAGTAGACGCGACAGGAGCTGCGAGAAAAAGAAGAAGAGCGGCGAGCGGAGGAGTTGTGGCGGAGTAGGTGCGAGAGGAGCAGTGAGAGAAGGAGCTACGGGCAGAAGCCGCGAGCGGTCCGGATCGCCGAAGAGAGGCGCCGAGTGTGTTGTAAACTGTACTTGGCTAGTGCTCTCGACTTGGGAGGAGATGCGAGATAGGTGGAGGAGCTGCAAGAAGTCCGGCTCGCCAAAGCGCGATGCCCGGAGTGTGTACTGATATTCATCGAGCCGGTGCTGGACCTGGGTCTCGAGTCTCGACGCTCCGTCCATCGTCTATATTTCGTAGTGAACGTGGATGCCTCGCAACGTCGTCGGGCCCGTCTGCTCTGCCGACCCCGATGATCGTGACAATTCGATAACCTGACTTTTTATTTTTCGCACGTCACGTCTTACGAGCGAGTCACCACACATCACATTCCTCCCCTCGCACGAGCTACCAATAGCCTATCGACAACCCTCGCCGGAGCTTGCCTTGGCCCCTCCCATCGACAATACAACCCCCATTGTCCAGCGACTCCAGACTCCAGCCCCGCCACCGTTCCCGCCACGTCCGGCGCGCCGCCCAACCACCCGTCCATCCCTCCATCCCTCCCACCCCGGCCAGCCAGCCGACGCCGCCGCCGCCGCCGCCGATGCTTTGCGGCCTTTGCGGCTACGTAGCAGACGTAGCAGTCCGTTCTAGGCAGGCGCGTCATCCCACCGAACACTGCGCGCGCGCCAGACCTGACGTAACGTGCGACACACGCACACGGGCGGGCTGCCTGCCCTTTTCGACCCCTCACCACACGCCTGCGGGGTTTCGGCCGTGGCGGCGCGCGGTACAAATGTCTTAGCCGTCATCCTTGCAGCTGCGAGCGCGGGGGCGGCGGTGGAGGGAGGGGGAGCAAGCAGCAACCAGGACGGGAAGCTTATTACTTCTTGTCCTCGCGCGGGCGCTGCTGCAGTCTCGCGATCGATTTTGTCTTTTTTCTCTCTCCTCCATCCCGAGCTGTGGCTCATCTGGCGAGATTCTACACACGGCGGTATTACCTGCACGCGGCGGTGACTACGAGGACGAAATAACTACTGCCCGCTCGACACGACATCCACACACCCCAGAGCTCCCTCCCGACGGCTTTTATCCACTTCCCCACAGGCTTAGCTCGGTGAGTCGGTATAAAGACCGACGAGCGACCACGACGACGAGGACGACGGCGACGGAAGACGCGGCAGCAGAAGACCAAAAGACGAAGCAAGCAGCAGTAGCAGCTCAAGATGTGGCAGCCCCCGTCCCCGACCGAGTCCACGGCGCAGCAGCCCATGCGCGACCGCTCCGCGTCCATGAAGATGAAGAACCCCGGCCGGCGCTTCGGGCAGGTCGTCCGCCTCCGGCCCGAGTGCGTCGCCGAGTACAAGGAGTGCCACGCCCGGGTCTGGCCCGAGGTGCTCAAGCAGATCAAGGACTGCGGGCTGGAAGACTGTACGCAAGGCCAAATACCTATCTCCTATCCCCCCTCCAGAGCGACTGACGTGTGCCGCGCGCGCTGACACCTTGTTTTTTATGTTGGCTTCCCCAGACTCCATCTGGTACGACGACAAAAACGGCCTGCTCTTCAGCTCCTTCAAGTACATTGGCTACGACTTCGCCGGCGATATGCAGCGCATGGCGGAGAACCCCAAGGTGCGCGAGTGGTGGAAGATGACGGACGCCATGCAGGAGAGCCTGGTGGAGGGCGCGACGAGCTCCGAGGCGGGCGAGCCGGGCTGGTGGCGGCCCATGGAGGAGGTCTTTCACCAGCCGTAGGAGCGCGGGTTTGCGGGAGCGGCGGTGACGCGGCGGCGGTGATGCCGCCGGCCGGGCCAGTCAAGTCGGTGCCTTCGAGCTCTACACTGGCAAACCCCCTTTATTCACGGTCTCTTTTATGAATATCAAGATTGATTGACGCAGTAAATGGGCTGCGTGGTGGTGAACTTGTGATCTGAAGTGGTGTATCCGGCCGGCCTACCCTAAACACGAGCATATCTGATCACGGCTTCAAGCTGCAGCAACGCTGTCCCAATTTGTCATCCACTCTTTCCTGGTAGGGCCACTGTACGTGCAGTATGTACTCCGTGACATATTCGCACCTCATCAGCTACCTAGTACCTAGCGGAACTCTGCTTTGCAGCCCCAGCGGTGCCGTTCCGCAGGCCGCAGGAACCCATCATCTCTGCATGGCCACGTCCAGTCTCGACCCAACGCGCAGCAGCACGCGACCAAGAATGATAATTCTGAGACAGAACCCTCACAGTCTCCGCCATAAATAACACCTCGTGTACGGAGTACTTCGTACAGGGAGTTATTTTTGTGTTTGCTGTCTCGAGCTCGTGCATCGAGCACGGGGCAGCGCCTGTGCTCGTAATTACACTGCCCAACAGTTCTGGCCAGAGCTCCTCGCGACCCATGGACCTGGTCTCGCTCGCATGAGCACTGCATGAATACGAACGCGAACGCGTTTTGGCAAAACGGAAACGGAATGGGAGAGGCGAGAGGCTCAGGCCGTGGTGAACATGTTGAGTTTGTGCAACTTGATGGCGCGGCCATGCCACGACCGCGGGCTCATCACGAGACAGAACGCGAAAGCTACGATACTCGGAGCATCCCGGCGAGCAGCACGGGGCAATGTCTGGCATGCCCCGACTTGCCGGCTGTCGAGCCGGAACTGGGTCGCCCTTGCGCCGCACCGTCGATGTGATAGCGGCCCAGGCAGACGTGTTGCTCAAGCGATGCCTGACGATATCGAGCTCATTTCGTTGCTCATGTGCTTCATCTGCTGGCAGGCACATGGCGTTCAAAGCCAAGCCGGGACCTGTGGCTGGCAATGTCTTTGCGTTTCGAGGTCGACAGAACGAGAGCAGTGTCGTATATTCCGCATTGCTGTCACATCGTACGGCGCGGACAAGCAGCCATCGAACTACGTCAGCTTTGCGGCGCGCAATGCCTTACGAGCCGTTAAAAACTGTACTGTACGGGACTGTGCAGTCCTGCACTGCACCCATCGGCAGGGCCTGTCCCACCTCATCATTTACACGCATTACTGAGCAGGTTGCGGACCACGTCCCCACTCTCCACTGCGGATGGGTAAATCTGAGACACGACGTTGTCATGCGGGACTGCGTGGGACGGCTCGCATCCACTCGGACAGCATCGCGAGCCCTGCCGCCGGATCAGCGCAGCGCGGGCTCCATGTCGTCCTCGCGCCTCCGTCATCTCTTCACAAATGAAGACCCGGACATGGGATGGAATCTGACGTACTCCGTAAATCGCGCGCAATTCGCGATCGTCGCAAACTTGACGTCTGGCAGGCTTACAGGGAGCAACACTAATCAGCGCCCGCTGCGAAATTGCAGGAAGCGCCGGAGGGCGATGGGTGCCGGAGACAGATGATCGGAGATGTAAGCGCTGACGACGATGCCAGGGTCGGTCCGGGAACGTTGCAAAAGTCGCCGGGTTGCGTGCGAATTCCGGCGATGTTCAGACGGGTTCCTTTGGTCCAGGTTAGAGACTGGGGCGGAGGCGGCTTTGCTGGGGTCGCCGCGCGAGCTGCCTTTCTCGATGCACGCAAGCACGCTACCGTGGTTGCGGGAACATGATTCTGTCGCCTATTTGCGGAGTTGAATGCGCAGGTTGCGTGAGGATGCGTCTGGCCGGCAAGGTATGGCGTCCAAGGTCCTGGCCGCGCCGACTGCCGTCGCCTTGAATGATTCGCCGGCGAGGGCCTGCAGGTAGCGACCGCCAGATGGATGCGTCCCGTGCCTTGGGAGGCTCATTGGCTCAGACTCTGTCGACGTGGTGCTTTGGGCGATCGCTCCTCGACTGACAGCCAACAGTGGTGGATTTAAACGGAGCGCCCGCGACAGCCTGGGCATGTTGAGTGCTCTTTCGCAGCTGTCCACCTCCTTGGTCTGCTGCCAGCTTTTGCCCGGCGTTGCTCCTGAACAGGCTCATTGGCGGACCCAACCACAGATGCAGGAACGGGGGCGCTAGTGTTTCCGCTTGACAGTGGCTTGACCGGGTTGCCAGGGACCGCCTCGTGGTTTCAGTGGCTAAATTGGACTGGTGACCCCTAGTTCCAGGCTCCGGGATGTTTCGAGTTGGCTCGAGTGCGACCAAGAAGAAAGTCTGGTGTGATGCGAGGAGGCCTGGTCCAACGCCAAGAGGAGCGCGCACAGTCGTGGCCCGAGCAGCGGGCGGGACTCTGGCTGGGCCTCGGACCAGCTGGCTGCGACTGCCAGGGCTGTCCGGAGTACTGGTACGCTGTCCAAGACTATCAAGGACGCGAGGGGACCGCTATGAGAGGTTCGGAACGTACTCATCGTCGCAAGTCGTTCCTTCGACCAGGGCCTCGGCCACCCGAGTGCTGTCGGTTCTGGCAGAGGTGGCGTGGTGAGGCGGCGTCGACAAGACGTGGACGTGGATGTGGTGAGCACCGGCCACAGGCGGCCCGAACGAAGCCCTCCTGCAATGCGTCCCCACCCGGCGGCAGGCCTTCGATACTGGGCAAAGCTCGGGCGCGATTTCGTGCGGATCCGACTCCTTTGCGACAACGCGTCCGCGCCGCGCCCGTGGTTGCTCACGGCTTCGGATCTCTCGACCAGGCGATGAAAGCGTCACAGCTGCGCCAGGGCGATCCTTTCGCTGCGGCATCTCAAGACGTCCCCCCGCGAGCAGCAGGAAGCCCAGATAATAAGGCTCCCCGGGCGGACGGTGCGTTGAACGGGGACGAGACGGAGGCGACCAGGGTCCGGGACACGAAGACGCTTATTAGTCGCCCCGGCGGCCAAGGTGGCTCGCTAGCCCGCACGCTTGTTGGATCGGGACGACGCACCTCACCTCACAGGCCGGTCTCGACGGCTCCGCCCTCCTTCAATCTTGCGCAGGCGGCTGATTCACACCCTGGACCGTGGGCTGTCCGCCGTGTCCGTCTGTTGTTGCCGGCGGAGGCATGTCGTGACTTGGCTGGGTTTTTCCCGCCGCGCCCACGGACAGCGCAGTGCGAGCAGAGTTCTCGAACGTACTTACCTTGGTACGTAGTGGTATGAACAGAGTTGAGGCAGGTGCGAGCGGAGTACTAGTAACGCGTGGCTGCCTCTTCGCTTGTTCGTGGGGCTGGTTGGCGCTTCGTCGTTCGTTCCTTCTTGCTTCTTTCCTGCGCCCACCGCCGTCGTTCTTTCCCAACGCCATCGTGCCTTCCCGGTCCTGCGGCGGCCAGCCCTGCCTTGTGCGCCTCGCTCGCACTTCCCCTCTTTCCGCGCTCACTCACTCACTCACTCACTCCCATTTCACTTCTCTCCTTTTGGCCTCAGCCTCAGCCAGCCGCCGCTGCCGGTTACCCCTTCACCGCGGCCATTGGCATTCTCTTCTTTTGATCCATCATTTCTCTTCCTTCGGTGCGGCCAGCGAGATCTGGCCCCTTTTCGACGACCCCGTGTCTCCACCCCCAAAACGGCGCCGCACCAGAGTGGCTTGTGACTTACAAGGTAAAACGCTCTCCTCGTCTGCCTTTGCCTCCGCTGCGCCTCGCGACGCCCTCACCCAGACGCCCCGGAAACGTCGCATGTTCGTGCTGCGAAGCCGCTCGAGGAATCTCCAGCATCGACGGGGCGTTGAAGGCCCTCGTTCGTCGCGAGTTGAGGGGATGCTGCGGCGTCTGGTCTAGTCGACAAGAGCTTACCGAGTTACGCATCGTAGCTTTTTCCTGTCGTGCTACCTTTTGCTGGCATCGGATCTGAAACACGACCTCCGGTAGAGATTCGTGACACGACCACGGAGCAGCCGCATCAAACTTGCCTGTGTACACAACAGTGGCCATCGGTGCCCACTTTCATTCATCCATCTTCTCTCGTCGAGCCCAAGTCGGCCGACACCGCCTTGTCGCACCTGCTCGCCGCAGTTCGTCGTTCGACTGTTCATCACCTTCGGGCCGGATATCGCGGCAACCGCCCCGTCGATTACGGTGACCAGCGCGGCAAGCGTTGACCATCTGGCTGTGCCATCTGAGACTCCAGGTGTTTCTCGTACGTGACCCAGGCTCCCATCGCCCTCTGTCTCTGTCGCACAATCGAGCCGTCGACGACCTCGGGTTCAAGTCGGTGACCGCATCACGACTTGTCTCGTGGCCAGGTTGGGCGTTTTGCGCGGCTCAGTGTTTGCCTCACGAACTTGCCGGCTTGCGTGCTGACCTCTGGGCACAGTTCTTCTTCGCTCATCGCGCAATTAGTTGCGTTTGCGCAGTGTTCCAGCGACCGCAAAGGCAGAAGCCCCAACACTCGTTCAAGGGGCCGCCTCTGACCGTTCTTGTGGCCCTGTACATTCGTATCATTACATTTCTCTCACTTCATGCGCCTGCCCGGCTTTCATTTGCGACGGATCACGAGGGTACAGATCGATGCGCTCGTGTAGCCCCACGGCTTCGGAAGTAACAACTCTTTCATGTTGCGGAACCGCGCACATCTCGACTAGTCGCCGATACGGCACACACGTGGACGCTACACGACCGTCTCGCCGGTTCCGACAGAATCCGCATTGGTGTTGCAAGTCAGACGTCGAGTCGCGAATAGGGGCGACCGACCTTTGACAAGGTCCTCCAACCGCGACAATAGCCACCTGCTCGGTTGAGCATCAAAGAACAGGACCAAAATGAATAGAAATTATCAAGGAGGCGACGTGGGCGCCTCGGATCCTCCCGCCGGGTCCGTCAAGCGCGCGCGGGAACGGGTGCAGGCGGGACTGCCGCGAGAGTCGCTACCCCTGCGCCAGTTGCCGACGAACCCGGAACCCTCGAGGGTCGACTACCCGACGTCGACATCTCGCCTGCCGCAGGCAGTCGCGTCCGGGCCCGCGCGGCTGACGAAGTCGAGGCCCCAGCAGGCCGGGGACGGGCGCGCGGGACGCAACATCTCGCGGCCGATGCACGCACCCCAATGGCCGCTCCCCGGTCCGGCCGCGTCGCCTCTCAGCCCCGGAGAGTCGGAGCCCGTCTACACGCCGTCAGCGCGGGCACCGCGTAGGCCGCCTCGCCCGAGCAACGTTCCCTCCATACTCGACGAGTCCGAAGCACGAGAACCCGCACCACCGTTGACGGCCCGCTCGAACCCCCTCGAGAGCCCGGATGTAGCGAGCGACGGCAGCTACGATGTGCTGTCACCCGCGGTCGCCTCTTCGAGGCAGACCACCTCGTCAATCGGCACGATTCCCGATTTCCCCGTGCCGGCTCCGGCCCCGGCCGCGGCCAGCGCGCCTGGTGCCGCCGCAAAGAAGAGCTCCACTCTCGGGCCGCCGCCGTCGGCTCGTCGCGGCGCATCATCTTTCTACTCGACCGCGTCGTTCGTGTCCCCGATCCCCGAGGAGAGCCCCCGATCGAGGTCGCACGGGTCCTACGCGTCGAGCGCCGCCATGCCCGAGGCCTGGGACAGAATCTCCCCGATCTCGGGCAGCCCTCCATATGGAGATGCCTTCTTCGACGACTCCATCACGGACAAGGAGTCGACGTACGACGAGTTTGGCGACGAAAGCAAGCTGGTGCGAAGCGCCAGCATCGGCAAAAAGGGGAAGCCGGCTCTCGTCATGAACAGGACTGGGAGTGGCCGCAAACTGGGCGATGCGAGGCCGGCGCCGTCCCCGGTGCAGCCATTCAACGGCGGGACGGGTTACGTGGACGCGTCGACCAGCTCGTCCAAATCCTTTCCGACCGCCAAGCCGTCGCCAGACACGACCCCGGCGACGACCAACCAGACGGCCCTCGGCCCCGATGCCACGCCGGGGGCCATCGGAATCGCCAGCTCTGGCTTCGGAGACGCCGCGGATGCGACGGATCCGTCTCGCCCACCGAATCGCCTCTCTAACATGAGAAGACCGCCGCGCCTGGACATCGATGCCGTCAGGGCGGCAGAGGCTAGGGGTAGCCTGACCAGCCTGCCGGACCTGATACGGCGGGCTACGAGGCTTGCCTCCATGATTGACAAGGGCAAGCGGCCAGGCAGTCGCATGGACGACCTGACCTTTTTCGGTGAAAAGGGCCCGATGAGGAACGGCGAGGGATCACTATCCGGTAGGTCGGCTTTATTGCAGTTCTTTTTTCTTATGTAAAATGTCCATCGTCTAACCGACATGAAGCTGACGAACGGCACCACTCCGGTCTCTCAGACATGCTGGCTGCCTTCCCTCCTCCCGTACACACTCCCAGAGGAAATCGACAGAGCAACGCGTCGTGGTTTCGGCCGAGCTCCTGGCCCGCAGTCGGCGACCAAGGGGCGCGGGGCCACTCGCGCATGTCAAGCATCGGGGGTAACGATGGCGCCAAGAAACAAAGGCGTCGTTGCTGCGGCCTTCCGCTGTGGGCCTTTATCCTCGTCATCTTCCTCCTCCTGTGCCTCGTCGTCGCTGCGATCGTGGTGCCCCTGGAGTTCTTCGTCTTTAAGAACCTCGGCAATCACGGGGACGACAAGGATAGCCTCGCAAACTGTCAGAGCTCGCTGACGTGCCTGAATGGAGGCACAAACGTGGTTTCGCAGGGCGTCTGTTCCTGCATCTGCACAAACGGGTTCACGGGGTCCAACTGTGGCCAGAGCGGCTCCATGGGATGCACTACGACGAACCTGGTGGCGACGGACGGGTCAGCCAGCATCAACAACGTGACGCTGGGCAGGGCCATCCCCCGGCTCATATCACAAGGTGACGCCAACTTTTCGCTGCCCCTGTCCGGAACCATCGTCCTCGCCAAAGTGAACACGGCCAATCTGTCATGCATCGCGCAGAACGCCCTCGTCACTTTTGACGGCTGGTCGACAAGAGGCGGCGAAGCCAAGGATGAGGTGACTGACGCTAGCGGCAAGGCGGCCAGGGCGGTGGCAAACCGCGACGAAAACTTCCCCCCGGTGTCCATCATTACGTTCGTACCACGAGCTACTTCTGCCGTCCTCACCGGCGGCCACGTGGACACGCAGCCGACTCCCGTGCCCGACTCTACGAGTGGACCGCCCGTGCAAATCATCGTCGACACTTCTTCGTACGGACCCCCTGCCGGAAGCAAGCCGACCACGGCCAGCACGACGACCGGGGCGGGGACAGGCTCGAGCGCCTCTGCCACAGGCTCGCCGACTCCCGCCCCAACTGGCCTGTTTACTGTGACTGAAGAGGTCGTCGACTTCGGCCGCGTGGCCATGCTGTACATCCTGCAAGAAGAGAGCGTCAACGCGGCCGAGAGTGCGCAAACGGAGCTGCAGGCCCTCTTTAGCCGAGCGAGCAAGAGCAAGACGCAGCTCGGCGTCCAAGTGACGGAGCAAGAGGCGAGGAAGGTCATCGTTGGAGGCGACAACACCATCAACCTCGTCGACTTCACGGTCGATCTGGGCAAAGGGCCGGTTGGGCGCAAGAACATCAAGCGCAGCATTGAGCCGGCGGTCAGCGCTTCGCCACCAGGCTCCGGCTGACGACAAGACGTGTCTGGTCTGCCATGACCCAGGCATCCGGCAGGTACGGACGAGTAGATCTACGGGCCTGGCGACGAGATCCTCTCTAGCATGGCCACGGAACGCCGAATCCTTAGACATTTGCGAGCATCTTGCGGGCTGCCAGGACCTTTCCGGGCCCGGGCCTTGCCTCCTGGACGCCGGGAGGTATACGCCATATGGTGGACGGGGTGGGAGATCTTGTATACAGCATTTCAACGGGGCTCCTTTTTGATGTGCATATGCAGCTCTCGAAAGCAGTTAGCGACGGCGTTGATTCAAAGGACTAGATACCATCTGTAGGAGGAGAAAGCCTTGAGCAGACGGAGACGAGCTTCTCTCGATGGCTTGGTAGGCCGTCACGCGCGGGCGTCTAGCTAGTGTTGTGTAACCTCTACATTTCAAAGGGACATTTGTGCGGAGTCTATATGTACAGTGATGAACCCGAGACATGCCCCGTGACCGCATTTTGCATCTGCTATTTTTGCGGGCGCTGCTTACATCCTAAAGACGCCAAACTTGGTGTCTCCGGCCTTGACCTCGTTGCGTCCGCCCATGGCGGCGCGAAGGCCGAGGCCGAGGTAGCGGCGGGTGTGCTGGGGAGGGATAATGCCGTCGTCCTGGGGGCAGAAAGAGTTAGCGTGAGTCAGGAAGTGAGTAGAGAAGGGGGTCAAACGCACCCAGAGGCGGGCGGACGAGTAGGTGGCATCGCTCTCGCGGTCGATGCGGGCCTTGAGCTCCGGGTCGACCTTTTGGCCGACCGTCTCCATGACGGCGGCGAGCTGCTCGCCGCCCATGACGCCGACACGGGCGTTGGGCCACATCCAGAGGAAGCGCGGGGAGTAGGCGCGGCCGCACATGCCGTAGTTGCCGGCACCGTAGGAGCCGCCGACGACGACGGTGAACTTGGGGACGTCGGCGCAGGCGACGGCGGTGACGAGCTTGGCGCCGTGCTTTGCGATGCCGTCGCGCTCCGAGGCGGAGCCGACCATGAAGCCCGAGATGTTTTGCAGGAAGACGAGGGGGATGCCGCGCTGGGAGCAGAGCTCGACGAAGTGGGCGCCCTTGACGGAGGAGGAGGCGAAGAGGATGCCGTCGTTGGCGACGATGCCGACCTTTTGGCCGTAGATGGAGGCGAAGCCGGTGACGAGGGTGGTGCCGAAGTCGCGCTTGAACTCGGAGAACTCGGAGCCGTCGACGATGCGGGCAATGACCTCGCGGATGGGCATGGGCTTGCGCAGGTTGGTGGTGGCGATGCCGAGCAGCTCCTCCGGGTCGTAGAGGGGCTCGGCAAAGGTCTCGGCGGGGGGCACCGTGGAGGCCTGCGTGCCGCGGGGCCAGTTGAGGTTGGCGACGCTGCGGCGGGCGAGGGTGATGGCGTGGGCGTCGTCGACGGCGAGGTAGTCGGTGACGCCCGAGACGGACGAGTGCATCTTGCCGCCGCCGAGGTCCTCGGGGGAGACGACCTCGCCGGTGGCGGCCTTGACGAGGGGCGGGCCCGCGAGGAAGATGTGGCCCTGGCCGTCGACGATGATGCTCTCGTCGCTCATGGCGGGGACGTAGGCGCCTCCCGCGGTGCAGGGGCCCATGACGACGGCGATCTGGGGGATGCCCTTGGCGGACATGCGGGCCTGGTTGTAGAAGATGCGGCCAAAGTGCTCCTTGTCCGGGAAGACGTCGGCCTGGTGGGGGAGGTTGGCGCCGCCCGAGTCGACGAGGTAGATGCAGGGCAGGTTGTTCTCCTGGGCGACGGCCTGGGCGCGGAGGTGCTTCTTGACGGTGATGGGGTAGTAGGTGCCGCCCTTGACGGTGGAGTCGTTTGCGACGATGACGCAGGTGACGCCCTCGACGACGCCGACGCCCGTGATGATGCCGCCGGCGGGCACGTCGGCCTCCGGGTACAGCTCGTGGCCGGCCATGGGCGACAGCTCGAGGAAGGTCGAGCCCGGGTCGACGAGGGCGGTGACGCGGTCGCGGGGGAGCATCTTGTTGCGCGCGAGGTGCTTGTCGCGCGCCTTGTCGGGCCCGCCGCGCTGCACCCGCCGCGCCAGCTCCTGCATGCGCGACACCACCTCGCCCATCTGCTGCGCGTTGTCGCGGTACTCGTCCGACGAGGGGTCGACGTTGGTCGGCAGCCGCGAGATGGCGGCGGCCTGGTGCGGCGGCGTGAGGCCGGCCACGCCGCGGCGCGTGGTGGCGGTGGTCCTGCTACGGCAGGGGAACTGAGCGGCGGCGGCGGCGGATGAGGCGGACGAGGATGTGGAGGAGGACGAAGAGCACGCCCGCAACGGCCGGCGAGCGGCGAGCCGCAGGGCCGCCTGCTGCGACGTCCGCGAGAGAGACATGGCGATGGAGGATGACCAGGAGGAGATGAGGGCGGGCCTGAGAGGAGCAATTGGGCAGGATTGAGCGTGCTGGGTGTCAATCTCCTCGTGCGGGCTGGCGACGGGTGAGGGCGGAGGAGAGTTGTGAGACGCGGGTGTTGACGATGGTGGTGCTGGTGGTGGTTGTGCCGCCGCCGCTTAACAGACACTGCCTGCCCTGCTGTAAGCCCGCTGCAGCTGCTACAGTGGGGATCGGGTCCATCTGGGGAGGCGCTGGCAAGCTTTACCTTAAGCCGAGCCGCCCTGACGTCGCCAAAATCTGGGGTACCGGCCCGCGTCCAGCCGCGTTGAGCCGCGGGGTCGGCCGCCAGTGAGCCTTGGGTGGCCGACCGAACGGGCGGGCGAGGGCTGCCTCGGCCTTGGGCCTCCGTTGCGTGTGAGCGAATGTTTAGCCGTTCGCCGTTGTCATCACCACCACCGTCGCCGTCGACACTGCCACTACCATTGCCTTTGTAGCCGGCGACTTTGTCCTCTGCGTTTTCCCGCCTCCCTCACGCAGTCAGCTGCCCTCGCCGTCCCCCCAATTCAATCCCCCCTCCCTCCGCGTCGACACCGAGCGAAACTACAGACGACACTCGCGAGAGGCACACACGACACACCAAACAATGGCCAGCACCACCAGCCTCCGGACGCTCGGCCGGGCCCTCGCCCGTCCGTCCCGCCAGTTGCGATGCTCCCCGTCCGCCTCCTGCCGCTCTAGCCTCACCGCCGCCGCCGTGCCCTCAATGGTGCAGACGCGGCTGCACTCGTCCTCTAAACACCCCAAGGGCTTCGAACCCCCCTCCTCCGAGGAGCTCGACGAGCTGCGCGAGCGCGTGCAAGAGTTCACGCGCCGCGAGATCAGCGAGGAGGTGGCCGCGCACACGGACCGCAGCAACGCCTTCCCCAACGACATGTGGCCCAAGCTCGGCGAGGCAGGGCTCCTGGGCATCACGGCCGACGAGGACGTCGGCGGCCTGGGCATGGGCTACCAGGCGCACTGCGTCGTCATGGAGGAGATGTCGCGCGCGTCCGGGTCCATCGGCCTGAGCTACGCCGCGCACTCGCAGCTCTGCGTCAACCAGCTGCAGCTCAACGGCTCGGCCGAGCAAAAGGCCAAGTACCTGCCGGGCTTGATCGCGGGCACCAGCATCGGCGGGCTCGCCATGTCCGAGTCCGGGTCCGGTAGCGACGTCGTCAGCATGCGCTCCACGGCGAAGCCCGTCGACGGCGGCTACCTCATCAACGGGTCCAAGATGTGGATCACCAACGGGCCCGACGCCGACGTCATCGTCGTCTACGCAAAGACGGAGCCCGACCGCGCCTCCAAGGGCATCACGGCCTTCATCGTCGAGACCAAGACCGAGGGCTTCAGCTGCGCCCGCAAGCTCGACAAGATGGGCATGCGCGGCAGCAACACGGGCGAGCTCATGTTCGACAACGTCTTCGTCCCCAGCGAAAACGTCCTCGGCGCCGTCAACGGCGGCGTGCGCGTCCTCATGGAGGGGCTCGACCTCGAGCGCCTCGTCCTGTCCGCGGGGCCCCTCGGCCTCATGCAGGCCGCCCTCGACGTCGCCGCCCCCTTCACCCACCAGCGCAAGCAGTTCGGCCAGCCCATCGCCCACAACCAGCTCGTCCAGGGCAAGCTGGCCGACATGTACACCAAGCTGCAGGCCTCGCGCGCCTACACCTACGACACGGCCCGCAAGGTCGACGAGCGCGGCCTCATCCGCACCCAGGACTGCGCCGGCGCCATCCTCTACGCCGCCGAGCGCGCCACCGAGTGCGCCCTCGACTGCATCCAGCTGCTGGGCGGCATGGGCTACGTCGAGGAGATGCCGGCGTCGCGCCTGTTGCGAGAGTGAGTTTCTGTCCCGCCTCGCGTTCTGCTTTTTGAATTATTCTTGCTGACAGCTCGCCCTTTGCAGCGCCAAACTGTATGAGATCGGTGCCGGCACGTCCGAGATTCGACGCATGGTCATCGGCCGCGCGTTCAACAAGGAGTATGCCAACGCGTAGAGTCGCGACGGAGCAGCAGTATGCTGAAACGACGACGCAAGAGTCAAGCGCGGCATGTCGCGGGGGGATGCCGGGGCGACGACGCCTGGCTGCATGGCACGGAGGCGAAGCAGCCGCACATCTGGAACCCTCGCCGCGACGACGGGAGGACGGGTTTCACCTGCGCCGTACCATCAGAGATGCGCTGTGGATGTAGGCCCACGGGCTGAGGGGCGTCGGCAGATGAAGTGGATGCGTCGACGCGCATCACGGCAGCAAGGCACTGCCGACAGGGTCAATTGGCACATAAAGGCCAATATCTACAAAACTGTACTATACTCGTAACCAGGCCAAAACGGTGCATGTGGCAGCTCAGCCGAAAATAAATAAATAAAAATCCAGAAAGCAAAATTAGCCATGCAGATTTTCAAAAATCGGAGCCGTGAGACACAGCAGTGAGGGCAGGAAAAGAGGGGCGACAAGCCGATGGTTGAAAGGATAAACGAGACACAGCACGAAAGACAACCAAACCGAAGAGGAGGGAAGCAGAGCAGTCACGGAGAAAAATCTCGAGTGCTCACGGGACCGGCATGTGGAACCGCTCTGTGGCTGGGGGGAAACAAGCATGGGCAAAAGGGGGTTTACGAGTGCCTGTATTGCGTGCGTGTGTGTGTGCGCAGGCGGACAGATTGCTAGGCGGACAGGAGTGTGGGAGAAGAGAGCAAACACCAAAAAGAAAAGTCACGATGGTGTGCTGGGGCTGGGGCGGAGACGAGAAGGGGCTAGTCGCTGACCCGGCGTCGGTAATCGTAGCGGCAAGCCGCGCGTAGTGGAGGGTGGTCAAGGCATCCATATAACTGTTACCCAGTTAATTGAGGAGCCGGCGGGCAGCGCGGTCGGACAATCGCAGTCACGGGAGGGGGGAGAGAGTAGGGCATGCGAATTGCCATTGCGGGTCGAGGGATTGCCCATGGGCTCAATGTGATTCCATATGATTGACATTGGCTGATGGGACGGTGTGTGATGAATTGGCATTCCGAAGGCCGATCCTGGGCTCGGAACGAAGCAGGTTCAACAGACACCGGGGCGACACACGGAAGCGGCGGCGGCGCCGCCCTCGCGGAGATGGGTGGCCGCCATCCGCAAGCATCGTGAGTCGACGCGAGCCCCAAGCCAGTGGGTGCGGCGGGCATCGGTGGGCCACCCCCAGCTTTTTTTTTCTCTGTCCGCGCTCCGCTCGCCGGCGAAGCAAGCGAGGGCTTGTGCTTTGTGGACCGGGGGCCCGTTGAAGACTCTAAAGGCGGGACGGCGGCGACGTCGACGACGGCTGCAGAGACGGGGCCAGCGGCGAGTCCACGTTCATTGAATTGGGTTCGCACAGGAGGACCTTTGTTCGACGCTCCGCCTTCGAGAACAGCACCGTAGAATGCCCTTGTTGAGATGAGAGCCGGCCGTGCAGATGCGATGTGACTCTCCCAGGGGAGGGTAGGTTTGACAGCCGCCCCGGGTGCCTGCCGATGAGCAGCAGGGGCAAAAACGCAGAGTGCCGCGTGACCACTGCTGGTGCCGTTGCCGGTGCATTCGTCCTGCCAGGCTGGCAAGTATCGTCCACCTGGCTGGTTGTGGTGGCAGGAGCGATACGCTGTTTGGAAGGGACACCCCAGGACCCTGCAAATCGCACCTGCTGCTGCTGCTGCTGCTGCTGCTGACCTTGGTGGCCGGTCAGCGCCTGCCTGATGATCCCAGCACCCGTGCCTGACCAGCAGTAAGGCAATCAATCGTACGGCAAGAATTCGCTGCACAGTGCCCCTTTGCCACACCTTACCACTCATTGAGCGAGCGTCGTGGACATTGACTGACTCCCTTCGTCGTCTTCATCGAGGATCGTCCGGTCGCGACCCTTCCAGCTGTCGACCCCCCCGGCCCGTGCGTCCCAGCACCGCCTCCCCGTCCGCGGTCCCGCCTCGCCGGTGTGCCGATGCTCGCCCACCATGCAACCCTCCCCCTCCCCTCGCCTGTGGGGGGGACGCTGCATGGAACCCGAATCGACTCTGCGCACGCCTGCAAAGCCGGAGCGAGCTGCAATGTGAGCCAAGAGTGTCTGGACTCTGCCATCGACAAAATAGACACTCCGCGGCGCTTGTGCTGCTGGCTCGGCACCGCGAAGGGGGGACCCTGCTGGCCTGCCACTGGATCCGATCAGGGCACAATGCTTCGCCGACCTGCCCGGGCCGGGCGGCGAGGTGTGTCGCAGCTCCACCTCAACCGTCTCCTCCTCCTCTCTCCTCTCCTCTCTTCCCGCTGGAGAAGCGCGGACATCCAACCGTGCTCCCCGTGGCTCCAGAACTCGACCACAACGGCGCCCCTGGAACCATTGGAGGCAGAGTCAAAAGGGGCTTGAGTGGGCGTCCCTCTCCCCCCGGCCGCATCGCCCGCACGCGCCTGCGGCGAGATGGGAGATTTTAGCGCGAGCTTGATTCCCATTTTAGTGTCCACCACTGTGCCCGCAGCGGGGATGCCGTGGCTGTTCTCAGGCATGGTGCCAGGGATGCCAGGGGAGGTGGAGGGGGGACGCGCCAGAAGGGAAGAATCTCGAAGAGGGGGAGGGGTGGCTCCCGAGCTCGGGGCGTGTCGAATATTTGGAGACGCGGACGAGAGCCACCGACCTTAGGGCTCGTGAGATGGGATATAAGCCCGCCGCCGTTGCTCCCTCTGCTCCCTCCTCTCTGCTCTCCTCATTCATCCGTGTCGACTCTTCTCGTCTCCGCCGTCCCTTCGCTTCTGCGCGCCTCTGTCGGGTTCGTTGAGCATCGCCGGCGTTGGCCCCAGCGACGATCGTTGCGTCCCCGTCGTCATCCTGCGCCGTCCGTTTTGCCACCGCACGCATCCTCTTCGATCCCCCCCTCCCTTAATCGAAAGCGTGCCGCTCCTCTCACGACTTTCGCCTCTGCTGCTCTCGCGACTCAATTGAGCTCGCAAACACTCTCACTCTCTCTCACCACACATCACATCCTTCACAATGGCCGCCAGACCAAGCGTCTTCGCTCCCGCCCTTCGCCGGGTAGCTGCCTCGGCGGCTCGACCCGCTGCCCTGCGCCCGTCCTTCGCCGCCGCGCGCAACCTCCACAACGTGCCACCGCGCCGTGACAAGCCCGGAAAGTACGCGCGAACCGACTCGGACATCGAGGTCGAGTACCCCGAGGAGCACGAGCTGCCGCCCTCCAAGCCCGTCCGTGGTCTTCCCGGCCAGTACGTCAAGCCTACACTCGCCAGCTTCTCGCTCGACGGCAATGTCGGTCTCGTCACCGGCGGCGCGCGAGGCCTCGGCCTGGTCATTGGCCAGGGCATGGTCTACTCGGGCTCTGACCTGGCACTCGTCGACATGAACAGTGAGCCTTGCACCGTCCCACATAATGCCAGTCGCAGCCGCTGACCCCGCAACAGAGGAGGAGGCCGAGAAGCAGTGCCAGCAGCTGGTGGACGCCTTCATCAAGGAGAACCCTAACGCCGAGCGGTGAGTCGCCATTGAAGCATCGCAGTCTGAAACTCAATCACTGACGCAACCCACAGCATCCCCCGGGTCACGGCTCACTACGCCGACGTCTCCGACCCCGAGTCGGTCGAGGCCTGCATCGCCGAGGTCATTCAGCAGCACGGCAAGATCGACAACCTCGTCACCTCGGCCGGCTTCACCGAGAACTTTGAGGCCATCAACTACCCCATCGACCGCATGCGCAAGCTGTGGGCCGTCAACGTTGACGGCACCTACCTTTTCGCCACGTCCGTCGCCCGCCATCTCATGGAGCGCAAGGCCCCCGGCAGCATGGTCATGATTGGCAGCATGTCTGGCTCCATCGTCAACGTGCCCCAGCCTCAGGCGTAAGTTCTCTGGTTTAATCGCTCTCTTCTCGAATCCCCGCTGACAGCCGCTTCGCAGTCCCTACAACGCGGCCAAGGCAGGTGTCCGCCACCTCGCCGCCTCCCTCGCCGTCGAATGGGCGCACGCCGGCATCCGCGTCAACTGTATCTCCCCCGGTTACATGCTCACCGCCCTCACTCAAAAGATCCTCGACGAGAACCCCGACCTCAAGCAGAAGTGGACCTCGCTCATCCCCCAGGGCAAGATGGGCCAGCCCCAGGACCTCATGGGCCCCGTCACCTTCCTGCTGTCCAACGCGTCGCAGTATGTCACGGGCGCCGACATTCGCGTCGACGGCGGCTACACCGTCACCTAAGCGGCAGGCTGTGCTCGCGTGGTGACTGTCTTTACGCATTGTTTGGGCCGGGACCTGAGTGCCCAGCAGGCGGGGAGGAATCGTCGGTTTGGTTGATTGCAGGCGCCGGGGATATCTACATCTGGGGAAAACCAGTGGCGTTGGCTGTGCTTGAAATAATGATAATAACGCAGTCTGCTAAAGACGCGGACTTTGAACCAACGATGAAGATCGATGCTCTATGAACAAGTGTCCTTGGTGAAGGTCGTGTGCCATGTGCTAGAAGGAGTGGATTTGTCAACGAGTTGGCGCTCGTGAAGTGAAGGTGTCAAGGTCCAGGTTACTGCAGCACTGACGACGGACGAGTGCCCGAGTGCCGACCTACACGTCCAAGTGTAGACATACGCTCGAGTGCAGGTTCGTACATCTACATCTCAGCGGCACACGAGTCGTCACAGAGCCCAGCACAGCGAGAGGGCTCGCAGGGATCCGTCGCCACGAATCCCCACAACCCTGCCGCATCCTCGCAGCTCCCCACCTGCAATCGATCGTCACCCCTGCACACCGAAGCGGCGGGGCGGAGACTCGTTACTGGACAGCTGGCTGGCTGGCATGTTTGCCTTCAGCGATAAGGGGCGGCCTGTCAAGGCCTGAGGGTCACCGAGCAAGCAGCGGTTCGGGCCCGCCGTGTGGCGGCTGCACCGGCGCTGGGGCAGTGCGGCAGACGGCAGGCAGGCAGGCAATCATGCAGGACGAGGCTCGGCGCGTTGCGAGGGCAGTTGGCCGAGCGTGTGTCAGACCCGAGACTTGATTGCTTCGATCGATTGCATACGCCATACGCAGCGGCAGAGCAGTTGCCGGCAGCTTGAAACGTCGATGCCGTCTGATTACGGGCCGACTCGTCAAGGATGGCGAGCGATATGCGTTCACGGGGGCCTCTCGTAGCTGCGAGGTCCGCCTGCACATACGTCAGCGAGCGGTCCGTGTAGCCAGTCATCCAGCGTGAGTCGCCGTCGCCGTGGCATGCGTGGTCGATCTGACGTTCGGGCGAGGTCATGCCCCTCCCTCGTCGCCGGCGCCGAGCACAGCGTCTGGCGTGCCGGCGCGGCGACGGCCAGGGTTCGCGGCAGGCGGGGCCGGAGCGGGGCGCTGGGGGCTGCAGCGGGCAGGGCTTGCGCCGGCTGCGACTGAGACGGCTTGAGCCTCCACCCGCATTCGTCCAGGGCCCACGATATCGCGCTCACATGACAACGCCGCCAAAGGCAGTCCCCGCGGGGCGATGGCCGGCTGCCTTGCCAATCCGCCGCCGAGAATGACGACTGAACTCTGTCAGTGTCGGGGTCGAGCGAAGAAATGGCACCTCGGCTTCGAGCAGGTCCGAATTGGGCTACCCGACTCCGATTTGCCCAGCGATCAAGCGTGTGATGGAATGTCGCCCGCCAATGGTAAAACCCCATGGAGGGGATCATGGTCAGGTGCCTCGCTGCCCCTGCGTGCTGGGCTTACTTGAAACGAGGGGACAGAACTTGACTGCCTCTTCTGGTGATCCCATGGCCATGACGAGGCGAGCAGTCGGCCAATGCCACGGTCGGCTCCATCATCCCTCGAGTTGGACGGGATAAGGATTTTCGCGTCGCGCGGGGTTCCGCGGGATGGTCAACCCCAAGGCTGGCGAGCGCGTGTCACACGACGTGAATATGGCCCGCCCCCATCTCAGCTTGGGCCATCGGGCGAACGGCGGGCCTCGGCAGGACATGCCTCGATGGGGGAACCGCAGGCCTCTCCCGCGGCCGGCCAAGGAACCGCTCTGGTGTCGTGTTACGCGGGCATCGGCGCTCCTGCGGTACACCCAATGCGGGGACCAAGGTGGTCGATAACAAGACAATCCTGCAATCCCGCAATACAGTCGTTCGATCCCGACACGTCGTGGCAACGGTGGAATTGTCTGGCCCTTGCTCGACGTGCAGAGAACGAGGGGCAGGAGGCGGCGGCGCCGAGTCCGGGTCAACGAGTAAACTACAGCCGATGATGCCGTTCGACTCGAGTCCCTGCTGACCAGGGTCGCGGCGTGCCCTCTCAGGGATTCCAGATGTAAGCGGGACACTGCTGATGCTTGGCCGCGAAATGGTCAATTGTTGGCAGAGGTGGCGCACGCGTGATCTGGTCCTGCCGCCACGGTTCGGCCGTCATGCCTCGGTGTGGGAAACGGTCGCAATGCCCCTGCTGGCGCTGATGCCCAAATGCCCAACTGTTAGGCCTGGACGACAGGGCCAGGCTCCGCGCGGAACCCCCGAGCTCGACGTGCCGCGGACGAGGCGGCGGCTCGCAACAGAGTCGCCAGGCCCTTGGCGACGAGCGTCGATCAGTCCAGGCATGCCAGCTGCCAGCTGCCAGTTGCGAGGTGGCATGCTGATCGGCCAGGAACAGCGCTGGAGCTGATGCTGGATGGAACCGGGGGCTCTTCGAGGCAGGCCAAGCAGGCGTGGCAGGCGAGGCAGTGCAGTGCCAACCCAGCGCCAGACCACGTTTTCTGTTCTAGAACGCATGGGACACCATGCATGGATGGCCGGCCATGCAGGCGGACGCGGAGTGGAGCTGCCACGGCGGCAAGGGTGCGGACGAGGATGCGGATGAGGGGCACGAGCTGCCGCTGCGCCAGGGGACGAGTTGGCATTGAGCTGTCGCGTTGGTGTCCCGCTGGCGGAGAGGTTGATCGTCTGGCTGCCATGGCATTGGCGCGGTGGTGTGTGGGTGCAACGCGGATGCGTCTGACTTACTCGCACGTCACGGCGTGTCCAGGTGTCGAGTGCGTTGAAGCGGTTGTCGCGCTGCTCGCAATGGACGAGGATGTGGGTGAGCCCGACGAGCGGTCCCTGTAAGTCGGCCACTGAAAGCGGCAGCAACCGCCTACCTAGCGTGCTTGCTTCCTGCCTCCTCTGGGTTCGGCACCAAGACGACGCGCCTCAGGCACCCAAGGCACAGAGAGGCAGCATCAAATAACTGGTATTACTGTGCTTTGCTCTAGGGAGTATACTGGACGGCCAATGGCAAAGTGCGGAGAGGCGTCCGTGCCCGCCAGCCCGCCAGCTTCACGAGGCATGCTTGCTGGAGCCTCGTCTCACTTGCGGCCGTCATGACTCTTGCAACTCGTCGCCGCCTCTGTCGTGGACAAGGCTCTGAATCAGGCAGCCGCTAATCATCGCGGCGAGCGGCACGTCCACGGGCCCGGTTGTTGACGCGGGGATCCAGCGCAGCGTACGGCACAGCACGGCACTGCGCTAGCATGTTTGAGTTGTTTGAGCCTCGCTAGCCACGTCAAGTGTTGAGTCGCGATGGAGCAGCGTATGCAGCCACGGCATCCGGACGCCCGCGGTCGGGCGAGGTTGGGGTCCCAACAGACGCAGACGCGGCGGCGTCGATGAATTGCCGTCCGTCGTGGCTGGTACTGACTCGGGAGCAGGCAACTACTGAACGACACCGTATTTATCTACATCCGCCGGCACGCTCGAGACGGCATTATAAATGTCCACATCATCGAGGGCGTTCGACGAGCTCCCTGGCCGCGCGCGTGCCTGCCCTACCGAAGCCTGCCAAGCCTGCCTCCGCCCAAGCCTCCTGCGGGCGAACCGAGCTGGCGGGAGGCTCGAGTAAAACAATGCCGGGCGGGCGGGCATTCCTCGCCTGCCCAGAGATGGGCCTCGGGATGCCCCCATCTAGGCAGGCGATGCCCCCATTTCCGGGGTGAGCCGCTGTCTCGTCTCAGCTGGACCCGACCACTTGATCGAGGTCGAAGCGCAGATGGCCCGATTTGAGGATGCCCGCGACATGGGGACTCGTACGATTCCCGGGGCGTCGTGTGGGGAGACCTTTGGAACATTCTACCGCGTGTCTTGGAAAGGTCCATGTTGGGCAGCAGCCGGAAGCAGGCAAAGATGCGACCGCGGACCACGGTTTGCACGGCCACATGCTCCCAAGACTGTCCGCTGTAACCCTTGCTAGGGAGGCATGGAGGATGGGATGGGCCACTGGGCCAAATTAAACCGCCACGCCGGGAACGAATCGAATCGCGAGGCGGGCACCAGAGGAGCAGGCAGGCAAGCCAGGGATGGGACAATATTTGGAGTGCTCGATGAAGGTGGCTTTGGCATGCCGCCGAGATGGCAAAGCCGCCTGGTCCCTGGCGACGACGTCGGATCCCCCAGTCCGGCGGGGTCACTGGACCCGTCCGTGGATTCGTCTCAGCTGGGCTGGGCCGCCGGAGACCCCAGGGCAGCAGGAGGCACCTACCTACCTAAGCACCAAGGCTTCCTGGCGACAGTCCGGAGTTGCCCAAAGACCGCCCGGGGGGGCTTGGAACGCGTGCCTACAGGGCTGAGGTGAGGCCCCTGTCAGTCCAGGCTGGTGGGCCAAGGGGGGCGGCGAAGGCGGGTTCTGGCGCGCGGCTTCCAGTGGAAGGGTTCCGGAACTCACCGCTGGGGCTGCCTGTCTGTCACCTCCGCCCGCCAATCCAATCCCAACGGGTCCCTCGCCTGCCACGGGCCCTTGGGGCCCTGACTTTGCCTGCTTGCTGACTGGGGCGACCGGCTGCTGTGAACCGCCCGCGTCCCGTGGCAGCGGAGGCCCGGCCGTCGACTCCGACCTCCACTGGGCTGGGCTCAGGGCTGGGAGCCACCTGCCGACGGGCCACCTCATCCACTAAACACTAGCACCTCAGTCGTGGCCGCGTGCACGCCGCCGCTGGGCTCCCGTCCATGTCCACCTTCTCCGCCATCAATCAGTCGTGACCAATTTTCGTTTTTCCACACTACGCGGGGCCTCTTGCTGCGTCTCTTGTCTTGTCAGACGAGCCCTCGTTTTCGTCTTTGCATCGTCCCGTCGCCTGCCAGGCGGTTCCGTCCTTCACTTCCTCCCATCCACCTCTGTCTCGGCGTCCCGTCCTCGCAGCCGGGCGACCCTGCAGCGTCCAGCGACCCCCCCTCCCCCTCCTCCACCTCGGTTCCTCCAGGCGAGCACCGGTGCCCGAAGGCGGCGCAGTGCAGCGCAGTGCCGTGCAGCGCATCGCAGCGCAACACAGCGTCTTGCCCGCAGCGCAGCTTACCCCCCAGGCGACCGACAACCCCGACACTCTCCCGCTCCTGACAGTTGAGGTCGTCCAGGTTCCTCCTCGCCTCAACAACAGGACGACAACGACGACCTCGGCCGTCTTCTTCGAGGCCAGCCAGGTCGCCGAACCACCACCACCAGCAACCTACCCCTCGGGCCCAGGCCGCCCGGATCAGTGGCTGGGCAGCCGCCGCCATACCGCCCTTTGCACCCCGGCGTCCCGACCATCGGCATCACGAGACCCTCCCTCGCCCACAGCCCGCCGCCGGCCAGGCGCCGCCGCCCCCCTTCGCCTTCGCAGCGCACCGCCGACGCCAACGATAAGGCACGCTGCCCGCTCCAGCCAAGGTACCTGTACCTTGCTTTAGGCCGCCACCGCAGCTGCTTGGGCAGTCGCCATTGCCATCGCCATCGCAATTGCGGTTCCCCATCCATCCCCCTGCCTGCGCCTTTGCACTCCGCACCGCAGTTTGGGTTGGCAGGGTCTTGGTCCCGCACAAGCCCTCGCCGCCGGGCCAAAAATTGAAAACCGACGTCCCATCCGTCCTGCGCCAGACTGAATTGCTTTGTCTCCTGTCCGCCCGACAAAGGACCCGTGACCGGACTTGGCTCGGTCAGCCAGTCACTCACTCACTCTCTCACTCACTCATCAGCAGCAGCCTCGCCTGCCCTATCCGCCAAATACTGCTCTATCCGTTCCGCCCCCTCTGTTGTGGCAGCGTGCGTCAGTTAACCCGGCCCGCGTGACCAACGCCTCACCCTCACTCGACGCTCACGACATTGGGACACGGGCTCGACGGACATTTGCAAAGCTCCGCGCAACCAGGACAGTGGCATAGGTTGTCGCACTTACACGGCGTCACCACCCCCGCGGTCCGGCCCACGCCGAAACGCTGCATTGATCTAGTTGCCGACTGGCTTTGCCTGTGCTCGAGCAATAAGCAAACAGTCTTCCCGCCGCCGCCCCAACCCAGTCGCCTTCCGAGGCTCCGTGCGCGAGCGCGACCCGGCAACATCCCTGCGCCCGACCGTCCGCCACTTTGCGACAGCAACACCTTTGCCGCAAGAGTCATATCGAGAGCTTCCGTCATCCTGCTGGTTCGCCGGCTCGCGGCACAGATTCGGCTCTGCCTTCGGCACGACGACGTTGACTCCCTTCATATCTGGCAACCACGATGACCTGTCCGTCAAGTCGCACGTAGTCTCTCCGTCTCTCTCGCACGCCAAGGTACACTGGCTGCGCTGAGCCCCCAGGAGGATATAGAGGTCCAGTCTCCAACGCAGCACGCCGCCGGCTCGTCCGCTCTGCCAACCGGTCGCGGCTCTCGGAAGCCTGCCGTCGTTACAGATGGACCCCAGTGTAGCCATGATGCTGCCCAAGGGTATCGTCATCAACACCACAAACGTTTACAAAGAGGTTGCAAGCTACCCCACCGTCCCCGCAGACAAGATCTGGGAGTACTGGCATGGTAGGGCGCCCCCCAGAACCAAAACGTGCGCGCGAGGTGCTACGGAATGCTGACCAACGCCCTCCAGTCTACACCGTCACGAACAAGAAGCTCAGGGATCCCACGGCCCGGCGCCTGGAAAACTTTTGGTGGCAGGTCTGGGGCAGCGACCGGCGACACCTCAGCGGCCGCACCCTCGCGAGGCTCTACGAGGACATCTCGGTCGGTCCTACCATTGCCCCCCTTCAGGGCCCGCCGAACCGATGGGAGGGTCCCAACGTGAGTGACGATCTGGCCGACGTGGAATGGCGATGGGATCTGACATACCAAACCTAGGCCCCACCCCTGACGAGACAGTTGATCCTCGCGCATCTGAGTCAAGAGCGAGGCACGCGCCAGCCCGCGCCCGAGCCGCGTCCGCCGCCGCCGCAGACCAAGCAGAGCGACAGCTCCGTCAAGAGCCTATCGTCGAGCGCCTCGAAGCCGCCCCCACCTCACCCTATCCTGAAAAAGTCCAGGGGCCCGTCATCCTCCGGGCCCCGACCCACGGCCCGCTTCGTTTCGCCTCACGGCTCCGGCGATGAGGACGACAAAGAGAGTGACTTTCCCTCGTCCGGGAGCACGGTTGCAATGGGGCTCGAGGTCCCAGCCTTTGCGCACAAGAAGAAGGCGCAGCACGCGACCAAGAAGTTTGTCGCGGGCACGTCGTCTGCTAAGCGACGGCCCCTGATGCAGAGGAAGGCCAGCCCTCAGTCTCCGGTGCTGTCTGCCGTGGGTTCGCGCAATGGCGAGGCTGGCTCTCGATCCGCGGGACTCGCCCGGCCCGTCTCGCCCATCCCGGAGCGAGCATCGAATCACGCCAGCCCAGTAGCCGAGAGTAACGGACAGCCAAACGGGGAGGATCCGGCCCCCAGCGCCAAGGCACTCGGGAAGAGGCCAGCTGTCCCGCAGAGGCTGCCGACGGACAAGGATGAGTCTGGCAAGGCGAGGAGTGTGTCGTCTTCGACGTCGTCGCTGTTGTCGCCAGCTCAGCCTGCAGCGAGAGCGAGCCATGGCCCGATATCATCTGCGGCCAGCAGCATGAGGGATCATAAGCGGCAATCCGAGAACCTGCCACAGGCCTCAGCCTCTCCCGCCGCGGAAGCTGCACCCGCGATGGGCCGCTCGCACTCCCACAATGGGTACGGACACGAGCGATATCCGGACCGCCACGGCCCCAACGCCAAGCTCTTCACCGGTGCGACGGCGTCGATGACCAACGTGGCTGCGCAAGGGACCATCATCGACCAGTCCGGCTCGCTCCCGAAGTCGAGCATCCTCGGCGAGTCCTTGAACCAGAACGCAATCCCGAGCAGGCTCTCGTCATCGTCCCTGCTCGACTCACGCCTGACGCCGACCCGGCCGGGGCCCTCAGCCAGCGTGCCCATGGCGCGCACGAGGAGTCAGCTTACCCTGCTGCTCGAGCGCGAAAAGGCCCGGATAGGGGACAAGCCGCGGTCGAGGAACTGACACGGCGGTCAGCCAGCCTGCGAGGCGCCAACCCGTGGTCATCTTCAACCATGTCTTTAAGGGCATTCCCGTAATGTCTTGTACAGTAGCATGTCTTTTTTCAGTTTTGCATCCTTTCATACCGAGCCGCTACCACCACTGCGATATTTTGGTCCATCCACGGCAGCGAAGCGGCAGCGAGGGGACGGGAGCGTGGCATCATCACTTGCTTTTTTTTCTTTTTCTGGCTCTTTTTTTATGTTATGAAATCTGGAGCAATATCAAAAAACCTCGAGAGGCGTACGGCGAGAGAAGGAGCGAAGCGCTAGCGGCCGGGAACGAAACGGTCCGTGTAAATACGATTATTCTTGCTTGTGTCTCCTTATTCTTCTTGTTTCCCCCGTTGGCGAGGGACGGGGCGCATCAAACACGACGGAGGGTAGTAGGGAGTCTTGAGATGGCTGAGGTAGTGAGTGACACGACGGGCTGGCGGGCAGTGGGCACGCTCGTCTAGTGGGGGAATGACTGCATGGCATGTAAGCTTTGAATAGGTAATGGGAAAAGCAAGAGCGGCAGCTCAGCGCAGCTCAGCGCAGCTCATCTCAGCTGGCTGCAATGACTACAATGGCTACAATAGCTATCTACAATGAGCTGCGCGACGGCGGCATATGCCGTACATGATACATATATAATATACGATGTAAGAGACTCGGCCCCCTAGGTGTGTGTCTGTCTGGCAATTTAGATGGAACATGGTGTGCACACGACGTGGCGGATATGCATCTACATTCTACATCACGCGTCAACGATCTTGAGAGTGCGCATTCAGCTCCGCACCACCACGGGTTCGTATGTATTACATGTCCCATGTACGAAGTAGTAGTAGCCACATCGCGACATCCATCCATCCATCCATCCATCCATCCATCCATCTATCCCTGCGTTTGTCCTTTTTGTTCGCCGTGCAAATCGCATGCATGCTGTTGCTGCTGCTGCTGCTGCTGCCGCTGCCTCCCAAATACTCCTCCTATCCAGTTCATCCCATCCCATCCCATCCTATACAAGCCAGCCAGCCTTCGATGGGAGGGCCAAACCTCCCCCTCTTCAGCTCCAGTAACCAAAGACCCAAAATATTACTCCGCGAGGCGCGTGGGAATCGGGCAAACCTCCCTCCCGTTCCCCCTTTTTCTTTTAGAACCCAGAGTCGCACGCACGCATGCACGGTGTGTCGTGTACCGACCAGCCAAACCCAAAACCAAAAACCCAAGAAACTAGCACCTAATAGCAAAACGACACGAAGGGGGGGGAATCCGCGCAAGCAAAACGGGCCACGGGCGGCCCGTGGTGTACACAAAACCAAGGACGCAGTGAGAGCGCCATAGAGTATTAATACGAGTAAAGGAGATGCTGGTTGTTGGTGGTAGTGTTGATATGTCCAAAAGTGTGATGATTGTTGTTGCTGTCGCTGCTGTCGCTACCGTAGCAATGTAGTTCGTGTAAAGGGCAGTGCGCTCAGCCCGCCGAGCAGCAGCCTCCACAGCTCTAGTCGTGGATGCCGAGCATCTTGCGCAGCGCGCCAAACTTCTTCTTCTTAACGGGCGGCAGGTCTGGCACGGGCGGGATGTCGTCGTCCTGCGGAGGAGGCTGCGCCAGCCCCACGACGCCCTGCGAGGTGCTCCGGCGCCGAAGGAAGGCGCTCTTCCGGGCGCCGCCGTTGGTGGTGGGAGGGGGCCCGCCGGCTGTCGACGGCCGCGTCTTGTCCGTCGCGGCCGGGACAGCGCCTTGCGAGCCCTCGGCCGAAGTCCCCTCCTCCCCGTCGGGCAGCGGCCAGCTAGGCTCGCGCTTGTGGAGGCTGTTGCTGCGGATCTGCGCCAGCTGCTCCGGCGAGCGCTCAAACTTGGTGTCGCGCCGGGCGGCGCTCTCGCCGACGTCTCGTGAGATGCGGTTGGACGTGTCCTTCTTGCGCCGGAGGATGGACATGAAGCCGCCACGGGCGCGAGCGGGCTCGTCCCCTTGTGACGTCTGGAGGGGCATGAGCGTGCCGCGCCCTGACCTGCTCCGACGCAGCGTCTGCGCCTGGCCGTTGGTGAGAGCTCCGTTCTGGACCCGCGCAGCTTCATCATCGTCGCTGTCGGGGAGGTCCGGAGACGCGTCGCGCAGCACGGGCGTCATGCCCATGGCGCTGGCGGCGGCCGCGCTCGATGACCTGTTGCTCCGCATCGACTTGGGGAGCCCTTTGCCCTTGGACCGCGGCCGAGACACGTCCTCTTCGTCGCTCGAGTCGGCGAATCGGCTACTAAAGAATGACGGTCCTCCCTCGTCCTCATCGCTCGAGTCGGCAAAGCGGCTGGCGCTCCTGCGCTTGCCTTTCGAGATGCCCGATGATCTCTTGCTCACGGACAGGCGCGACTTGCTGGCGTCGACCGATTCCGCGCGCAGAGACTGGCGCATGCGACCGGCGCCAAAGGAGCTGACTCCCACGGGCGTGGCGTTCATCGAGGTGCGGCGGAAGGCCGGCGGTGACAACGAGCGGAGGCTGAAGCGGCCGCTTCCCCGGGCCGAGGGGGACGGCGGCTCCTGGGGCGTGGCGCGCATCGACATCCTGAACCCGTGCTCCGTGTTTGAGCTGGCGCGAGCCCGCTTGAAGCTGCTCACGCTGTCGTCCGACCCCTTGCGTCGGAGGCTTGGCTTCAGCGCGCCCGCCGGGGCGAGGTTATCGGCCGAGAGGTTGCGCTTGTGGGACCTGAACGGCTCGACGCTGGGCGGGGGGTTGTAGGACACCGGCCGGCCGGACTGCGACAGCGACGGCCGGAGTGTGTCTCCATTCGAGGCGCTCTGTCGCAACGACTTCCTCATGCCGGCGCCCGCGGCAGACGCCGCAGCCGGGATGGGCTCAGGCTCGAAATGCCGTGACTGCCTCGCTCGCTTCTCTGGCGTCGAGGCCGGGCCCGGGGCGTTTGCCCTCATCGACTTTCTCATGCTGCCCGTCTGTTGGCCGGCCTGAGCGGCGGGGGCGGGCTGCTCGCTTCGCATGGACTGTCGAAGCTTGGGGACGCTGACGGGGCGCGTCTTGGGCTGCGCCGCCAGAGCAGACGCCGTCATGGCAGCGACCTCGGACTCCTTGTCGGACCACTTCGTGCCTGGCACGATCTGGTAGGTTCTGTGGTTGGTGATGGAAACAGGGCTGTCCTCGACGCTGGCGTAGGCGCTCGTCCTCTTGCCGTCCGGGGTCGCGGGCTGTTCCACGTCGGCCTCCTCGCCCGTCTCTGAAAGCGCCTCCACCTCGAGCTGGCGGCGCTGCTCCGTCGACAGGCTCCTCCAATACGCCTTGGCATTCTCCCAGTCGTTGGATGACTGGGCCAGTGCCGGTGGGATGGGCGAACCTGACGACTCACGGGACTCACGAGCCTCGTCTGCCGGCTGAGCCATAACCTGCTCCTGGATCTTCTTAGCCATCTTGGATCCGGCTGGGCTCTCCACGACGGCGTCCAGCGACATGAAGCCGTCGCCGTTGACCTCCTCCAGGTCCTCGTAAGCATCGCTGTACACGCTGCAGCGGTCCGTCTCTTCCTCTTCCTCCGTGATGTCGTCCATAACGGGGGCCGCCGCGGCGCTCGGGGACTCGATGGACTCGGCGGGCTCGATGGGCTGAGCAGGAGGCAACGCATCCGTGGACACGGCGTGCGTGAGTGGCACATCTTGTACACTGGTAGGCTCGACAGGCGAGTCCTCGTGAGGGAACGTCCCTGGAACGTCGTGTGGCTGTTCGCCGCTGAATGCGTTGTCCTTGGGATCTTGTGGGCGAGGACTGGGTTGCTGTACGGAAATGGTCGGGACCTCGCCGTCAGTGGCCTCGGCGCCGAACGCGGCCTTGGTGGGGGTCGTCGGTTCGGGAGTGAGAAGCTGCGTGGTTCTGGGTGTCGTCGCAGCGGTCGCGTCGTCCAGTTCGGTGGTGCCGTCGGTGTCCAAGTCGTCCTCTGAGTCGGATACCAGGTCGTCGCCCCGGCTATCACCCTCCCTCGACTGTACGATGGGAGGCAAAGGCTCTCGGTACTTGGAGATGTTGGCCGCGTTTCTGGATGCTTGGTCCTGGCTCAGGACGGCCCCGATGGCGGCGTCGGACGACTGGCCGGCATCCGTCGTCTCGCCTGCGCCAGACCACGTCCGCTCTGACGGCCGCACCAAGGGCCGCTCCTCGGCCTCTTTCGACTTCTTCTCACGCACGCTCCCAAACAGCGGTAACGCGGGTCGAGGCGTCATCGTCTCGTCCTCGTCTAGATTGGAGGGCTCCTTCTTGGTGTACTTGGTGACGATGTTGTGCCAGGGCTTCTTAGACTGGGGGCTCGGTACGACGGGCGAATCGGTCTCGTGAGGCTGGACCGACTCGCCGACCACGACCGTGTTCCGATCATCCCAGCTAACGCGTGCACTCTTCTTGCGAGAGACGGCGGGATCCTCGGCGCGCGGAGGGCTCAGATTCCTGGCCGACACCTCGGAGCCATCGTCCGAGGGAGACACGCCGCGAGGGCTCGAGAGCTTCATGGCCGACTTCCTAGGCGAGACGGACCGCGGGGGCGGCTCGTGCCGGACGGCGAGCTGGTCGTGCGCCGGGGCGAAGCGAGCCGAGCGGACGGGGCTCTCGGACTGCACTCGTGCGGCTCGCGGGCTGCTCTGCAGCTGGACTCCGGGGTCGCGGGCCTGCCCATTGGCTGCGGCCTTGACGACCGGCGTAGCGGCCACGGCTGCGACTTCTGCTGCAACTGGCTGCGCTATCGGCTGCTGCGGTGGTGCTTCCTTCGGCTCTTCACGGCGCGGTTGTTGTACCGCCGCCGGCAGCTCTGTAGCCGCAACGGTCCGCGGCTCGTCGGGTACTTGAGCCTGATGATCCATCGCCGGCGCCTCGGCCACGATGGCCGCGGATGTCTCGGTTGCCGCAGGCTGCGCCTTCTTCTTCTTCTTTTTCTTCTTCTTCTTGGACGGGCTCTGAGGCTGCTCTGCGGTGGCGACTGGTGCAACCGCAGCTACCGGGGCCGGTGCGGGAGCAGGCTCCTCTTCTACGGGCTCTGGTTCGGGCTGGGGTTGGGGTTGGAGCTGCTGCTTCGGCTGGGCCGGCTGGGCCGGCAGCGCCTCGAGAGCCGGGGCTTGTGTTCGGGCCACGGTCCCCTTTGCTAGATGCGAGCCGCTTCTCGAGGGCTCCTGCTGCTGCTGCTTCTTCCTCGGCCGTTCTGGGACCTCACGAACGCTCTGCGAGCGTGCCAGCAGCTCTCCCCGCGGCACCATCCGCCGCGAGTTGGCGTCGTAAACGAGGGTCTGGTCGTCGAAGGAGGGCGAGGGGGAGTGAACGCGGCCCCGAGGGTATGAGAAGTTGATGGAGGGGCTGACGCTGCCGGGTCGCGGCTCGACGGGAGAAGTGGCCGAGTGCATCACAGAGTCGGTCCTCCTTACGTTTGCCGCGTCGCCGGCTGTCGCACCGCCAAACCACGAGCCATGGTGGCCGCCGCCTTTCATCTTTTCACTAGCCGTCTTGAATGGCTGCGTCTGCAGCGGCGGCGGTGCGCTCCTGCGCTGTCCCCCTGCGGCAGCCTTCCTGCTCGCCAGTATGTGGTCGTCGGGGATGTTCGGGACGGGCGGGACGTTGCGCTCTCTCGGCATCGGGCTTCGGCCGCCCGGGGACGGTGACCGAAAGGTCCGCTCGATCATGGAGCCGACGCTGGGGGTACGCCGGAGTTGGCTCCCCGGGGAGCGGTCCTTGCCGCCGGGCATGGAGGCCACCGAGGGACTCCTCCGGACGGCGCGCTTGGACTGGACCTCGGCGACGTTGGTCGGGGTCATGGGCCGCGCGCGCAACGCCGCGGCGGCGGCGGCGGACGACAGCGAGGCATTGGAGCCGCGGCGCATGAACGCCGAAGCCGCGGCGGTAGCGGCATTGGGGTCGGCCGTCTCCCTGGTCAGAGGCTGTCGCGACATGGCCGGTCAGCGAGGCGAACCAAACAAGCAATCAACGGGCGGGCGCGCAAAACGAGCTCGGGTGTGCAGGACTCAACGCCAGAGCCGTTGCGGAAACATGCGCCAAGGCAGTATATAAGGGGTGGCTCCCCCCGGGCGATGGCGAGGGCGGACGACCGACGACAGGCTCAAACAAAGTCAACGTCGCAGTCTGGCCCGCACCACCGGACACGGACAAGTGCGTCATTGCCCTAGTGCGCCGAGACGACCACGACTACCGGCGCAGAGTCCGGTGCAACGGGGGGGACGGGGGGGAGAGGGAGACCAGCTGAGGAGCGCAAAGTCTAAAAATGAAGCTTTTGCGAATGGGGCGGGCGGCGCATGGACGGTCTTGAAGCTTACCTGGACAGGCGGCGCATGCCTGCGGGAGCCAAACAAGCTGGGCATGGCGGCGCCGTGGGCGTCGTCGTCGTCGTCGTCGTCGTCACCGCTTCAACGGGACGGCATGTGCGCGTCGGACGGGGTATGGCGATGCTGTGAATGGATAATGGCGCCTGCGACGCTGCTGTCGGCGGATGAGACGAGAGGAGAGGAGGTGGAAGAGGAGGAACGGCGGGTGGCGATGACGGAAGCTAAGGGAAGGTCGGGCAGGCCAAGGCAAGCAAGGACGGGAGATGCGGGCGACGCTTGTTTCTGCCGGCGCGCAGGTGGTCTGGCGGCTGTGGTGGTGGTGGTGGTACCCTTTGCTAGGTGGTGGTATGGATTAGTGCAGCGGTCCAGTATTAGTGGGCGCATGCCGTGCCAGGTGGTGCCTGTCGGGCTCGCGGGTGCTGCTGGCGGTGGGGCGATGAGCTGCGCTGTAGCTGGAGGTACGTGGATGATACCTCAGTACGGTGCCAGGCGTTGGGTGCGCCATTGGATCCTGCTGAGGTGGTGCTGTTGCTAGGTGCTGCGGCGGGTGTTCCAGGGCTGCTGCAGGGAACACCCGACCCAGCAGGGCAAGCTTGGCCCGCAACACCAATGGATCGCCGTGGGCCGCCAGCGGCCGCCCGTGACTGGCCCAGCGGCGCCAGAGCCCAGGGCTGACCCGCCCGCGATGACGACAGTTTCGCCAGGATAGAGGGCGGTAGCGTCGTCGCCGGCGGCCGCTCCGCTCCCACGGCGGTTTATGCAGCAGCGCAAGTGGCGCAGGGCAAGGCCCGGGGCCCTCCACTGCCTGCCTGCCCAGACATTGAGTGCGTTGGGAGCCCGTCCCGTCCACCTGGAACCTCCCGTCCAGGCACGCACGATTCGACATTGAGCTACTTGCAGTACTACCTTCGTAAGACGGTGTTGCTGAACTGGACTCGTAGTACCTCGTGCCTCGAATGCCGGCCGTCTCCTGCCACTGTGCACTCGGGAGGCTCCCAGGCACGGAGCGGCCGGCCCAGACATCAACCGACCCCTGCAGAGTCGCCCTGAACCGCGCCGCCAGCCAGCGCTCGAGCCCGGGGTGCGCCGTGCTCACCGAGACGGCGGCATCGACGGGCAGCTACCCCAACCGAGTACGTACTCTGTAGGTACGTCTGCCGCTAATTGGCCAATCAACAGGGATGCTCGACAGCACGGCTCATCAACCACCATCTGGGCTTCGTGCTGATTACTATCGCGTCGTCGTCAACCCGCTGCCCGCCCAGACGGCTGTCCCTGCCCCTTGGCCCTGGCGACTTGGCCCTGGCGCTTCTCCGCCTCGGCCATGCAGGGATGTCTGGATCGTCGCTTCCCATGGCATCCCTCCACGACTGACTCCATCGTCCGTCCACCGATTCCATCCACCAGCGGCATCTCGGGCTTCCGGCGCTATCCCCAATCTGGTAGCCCCTGCACCGCGGCGGCGCGCGTCACCGACCTCACATCGTCACACTCCTCACTTGGCTACGACTGCTTCGGGCACACCCCACTGCAGGCCTCACCCAAACACAAACACGTGCAACTCAACGCTTCACTTAGAACCAGTATGCCGCTATCCTGTCCGTCCAGAGCATCAAGTAAGTACACGGGATGCCGGTCGTTGTCGTTTCCACCTGAGCCAAGTGCTTCAGTCGATACAACCCAGCCAGCCTCTCGCTTCCCCACCTCGCCATGAGTGCATGCCCAACATATGCCGTGTCCAGACGAGCCGTACCCCGTCCACGTCGACATTCCAAAGTCGCCGGCCTACCTGAGACCGCCCGTATCCTGGACATAGTTCAACGATGCAGCCACACAGCCCGTGGGCACACCCCATAGCCCATGGCCTCTTCTCAAGCGACCTCCCCACCGAGATCGCTTGCCCGTACAAAGACTCGTTCATACCATTCACATGAACACTCTGCCGCCTTGCAGTCGCCACCGCCATCGCCGTGCAAGCCAACCCGCCCCGGCTCCTCATTGCGCGCTCGTGCCCGTACTCGTCCTTGCCGTCGCCTATCCGGGCCCGGGGCAGTTCCCCGACGCAGCTTCTGCCGTATGGGTCTGCGTCCAGCGATGAGCAGGACGGCACAGCAAATGCACAGCAAATGCACGACCAAGTTCTGGTTCTCTTCTGGAACACGGGCTTGGTGGCGCCGCAAGCCTAACGTCCAAACAAAGACCAACTATGGCTCCGATTCCAAGGGTACGGCGCCACCTCCAGCGTCTCCCAGTCGTGGAACTCGTTCGGGAAGAGGACTGGGGTAATCGTCCTCAAAGTCGTCCTCGTACTCGCCCTCCTCAGACTGCGTCGAGTGACTGTGGCTGTGCTGCATCGGCGTTGCGTCTTGGTCGTCCTGGGGGTCCGGCTGGCGAGGGTCCTCGGGAACCTGCGCCCCGTGTGCGCCCTTGCCGAGGGGCTTCCCCGTCTTCCTGGCCTTGCGGCTCTTGGCCTTTGCCTTCTCCAGCAGCCGCTTGCGGTCGGCCTCCTCTTGGCGGTGGCGGCGGTCCTTGATTTCGTAGTCTCTGATGAGACGGAGGGGAGGTCGGCCAAAGATGCTCTCGAACTCGCAGAATTCGCATATCCAGACGTCCTCGGGCCGGGGAGGTTGGTGATAGTACATGTCAGCCGCCATCTGCTTCCTTTGGCGGGCGGCCATGTCGAGCTCTCGATCCAGCCGTCGACGGGACTTTCGTCGCCCGTTCGGCTTGGCTCCGGCTGCCCTGGGGGCCGCCTCGTTATTCGCACCATTGGGCGCGTTAGATCCAGGTGGCGACGCCTGTGCTGGCATGGCGTGCCTGTTCGGGTGGCCTACTCCGCGTGAGTAAATCGCAGCGCCATCGCGGGTCTCTGACTTACCAGGCCACTGCACGGTACCCGGTACCTGAGAGTCGCAGGTAAAGGTGAACTGCGTCGATGCAGGCGTGGACTTGGGCGTCGCCGAGTGCTGCTGCAGCAGGCTCACGTTTTCCTGTCCCTGGGGAGGGAGCTTCTCGGCGTTGGCTATCGCGCTAGAGATGATGCCCGTGCCTTCGGTTGCTGCAAAATAATGCTGTTAGCCAGATTCCCGTGGACGTTACGCTGATATAGATTCGAGTGCCATGTAATGTCTGCTTGAAGCTGCACGAAGGGCCTCATGGGTGGCGGTGCGTGACCACGCTGCCGGGGGGGAAAGTGCACAATTGCCTTCCCTCCACTGCTTGGCCGGACAAGGCAACCATGCCACAGTTTTACCGCCAGCCCGAGGGTCTCTCACGGGGAGGAGCGAGGCATTTGATGGGAAGGCGTAAGCCGAATGAACGTACCTGGTGACCATGGCGAAGTGCCGCCCTTGGGAGGCCGGCCTGGCCAGACGCTGTTACCGTCGGCCAGAGCACGCAAAGGGCTTCTGCCGTTTCGAGAGCGACCCAGCCTGCCTCTGCCAGGGCCAGAAAAGCCTTGATTGGTTGACGCGTAGGAGCTAGGAGCTGAATACCCAGCAGAAGCGTGGTGCAACCTCTCGCCAGCATCGTTGGTGGGCGAATTTGCGTTTCCAGAGATGCCCAGGGAGCTAAGGTCGCTGCTCAGAGAGCCAGCCACATTAAGGACCGAGTCGCTTGCTGAGGGGATCTTCCTCTTCTTCTTGTTGCTGTTCTCGAACGAGTCGTAGCCGTCGACCGACGAGGCCGCCGATGGAGGCGGCTGAGGATCAGCCCCGCGTGCTGGGTCCGGACGAGACGGGCGACGTGCCGTTCGCGTCAAGATGTCCGGCTGGGACCTGGTGACGAGCGTGCTTCGCGGGCCGCTTTCCTGCTCCTCGCCCGCCGCCGGCCGGACGCCATTGCGGAGACTCTGGAACGAAGGCGGGTCGGGTCGCCGGCCGTGTTCGAGAGCACCAGCGGGGTCGCCGTTTGACTGGGCCGGGCCGTCCTCCTTGGCCGTGTACGGCGGGTAGTAGAAGAGGGGAACGTTGTCGAGTGTCGAGGGCGGATACTTGATCGAGTCGGCAGCCTCTGGCGAGAGGCGTTCTCGAAGTCGCCGCTTGGGGAGGGGCCGAATGGGCCGGTCGGGAAACAGCGACGACACTGTATCGGGGGACATCATTTTGCATTCACCTGCCGAGCGCCAGCGAGAGCGCCTTGTCAGCAGATATATCGCCGCGATGCCGCAGAGCGAAGGCATTGCGTATGGGGTGACGATGCGGAGGAGGTGGCCGGTCCAGCGTGGCAGCAGCCAAGCGAGCATGTTTGTTCTGCACTGGACCGGCGGGTGGCGGCAGCTGTGAAAGGAGGAGGGAAGAGGGAAGTTGTGCGGCGTGGTGGGCGTTGGACTGAACAGGAGGAGGGAAAACACATGTGCGGGAAAGCGTACCCATCTATCATTGTACACTCGAGCGCCTCTCCCACACGGCAGCGGCCACGCCAAGCGAACGAGGGGGGGAACAGGAGTCGAGACGACAGAATGGACAACAGCGGCAGCGAGTCGTCGAGGTGGCCGTATATGCCTCCTAGAAGCCGAGAATATGACGGTGCGGCAAATGGTCGAAGCCGTCTGGGGAGCAGGTATCGGAGGTGGCTCGTGTCGTCGGGCTCCAAGAGCCACAATTCTGCATTAGAGGTCAACGAGTGGTCGGGGCCAGAGCGTTTGCGTTGGTCCACGGCCTCTGGGACACGCGGGAGCAAACGAGGAGGGAGCCGCCTGACGCGGACGCAGCGGCAGCTACCCTGGTTGGCAGGGCACTGAGCTGTTCACGGCGTTGCCGGGTGCTGCGTTGCGGGCGGCGTCGAGCAGCTCCCGTCGTCGAGGGCCACGATGGGAGGGGGGGCGGATGGGGGGATCCAGAGACTTACCGACCTTGCTGGCCGTCCCGACAGGCACAAGCGAGGGACGCCTCGGCCGGGACCAGGCAGGCCGCTGGGGCGAGGGGCGGGCGATGCTATGGCAGCTGGGAAGCGAGGACCGACCCGGGCGCGGGGAGCAAGGCAGAATGAGGCCGAGGGGGGCGCACAGCGACCAAGAGGCTCGAGGTTGTAATTTGGTTGATTGCAAATGACAGCATTTGGCAGCGGCTGGCCGCTGGCTGTGTGGATTTAGGAGGTGTGCCGCCCCGAGCCAGGCCGGCCAAGGGCCGCGCGCCCACTAGCGGCCATTAGGTAAGCTGCGACCTGGCCCGTGACTGAATCATCCATCCCGCCTCGTCTCGTCTGGTATTATGTACTCATCGTCGACACTGAACGGGCGAGTCCAACTGCCCTGCCCAGCAGCGCGCGACCTGGATCCTGCGATGGCTGCGAAGCTGCACCCGGCCGTCGTGGAGGTCGCCGTCGACAAGATTGCCGTGCGGCGCTGCTGCCATCTGACCAATTGGCGGTATCTACGTCCCGGGCCGGCCGTTGCGCAGTCGCGCATAATCAAGTCGATTCCCACTGGTGGTGACCTGCTGCTGCTAATTCCGTTTATGCCCCGGTGGATGGGTTCGTCTGCCTGTCGGGCTGTCTGTGGTGACGGGATGGGAGCTGTCCTGGTATGTCCTGTTGTGCGTGTGCGGCAAATAGCCGAAGCTTAGCCCGGCCTGGCGGACTGCGACTGTCCGCCAGCGCAGCACTATCTGGCAGCGCCCGGCCGTGTAAAGCTCCCATCGATCCCGTCGCCCACTGACAAGGTGTGCGGGCTGCTCCCCATGTCACGGCGGCGGCTGGGCGGTGCGGTGCGGCAGCTCCCCAGGGCTCAACCAACCTGGAAGCGACCTGCCGAGTGTGTGCAGCGCGGGCTCCACCGCCCGGTTCGGCCCCACTAAACTGGCAGCGCTGCCAGCAGCACCCAGCGTAGCGCCCATCCCTCCGTCACAGCCCACCAATCGAGTGCGGCCAAGGTGCGGCCGTGTACCTTCCCTCTGGCGCCAGCCGTGCCGGTCCGCCCACTGGCTGGTACGGAGTACTTGGGGTGGACTGGTGGCCGCACTCGCAGCAGCGCAGCGCCAAAGCACCAGACCCGACCACGGAAACTGCCCGCAGTCCCTCCTGCTGTTGTCTGTCCGCGTCCAGAGCACCAGCCCTCCTCCTCCTCCTCCTCCTCCGCCTCTCCTCCTCTTCTCCTCCTCGCCAGCCAACCCGACACCTCTCGCCCACTTCCAATCCTCCTTCCCCTCTTTTGCGAAGCACGCTGTGGCATGGGCGCATCCTGTTTCCCGGCGCGCTCCGTCATGACAAGCTTCCTCTCTGTTCGACCCGACTGTGCTTTCTCTCGCGCGTTGTCCCCGTCACTCTAGCCCGGTCGCATTCTTCTCTGCCGCCTCTGCTGCCCATCGCCAGCAGCGGCGCAGCCTCCCAAACGCCCAGTCACCGCCGGTTGCTGGAGAACCTCCGGTTGCTGCAGCTCCTACTCGGTCGGGCGAGCCTGCCTCACGCCGCTGTCCAAATCGCGACGCTCCCGTCACCCCACGCCGGCCCGCCGACAGTCTTCAATGGCACCCCCTTCGCCGCGCCGATCCTCGAGAGCCCGCGCGACGAATTCGCAATCCCAACAGTCCTCCGTGTCCTCTGGGACCTCTGGCCGCCACGAGCGGAGCACCAGATCCCACCACAAGCCCCCGTCGGGCAAGTCGACGCCCAGCGCCTCGCTGTCGTCGGAACCGCTCGACGACCTCGACGACACCCTCCTCAGCCGGAGACGCAAGCGCGGACAGGAAGACGACCCCGACAAAACCCCCCGCATTGAAAACACAATCGTCATGGCCAATGGAACCGACGACCTCCAGGACGAGGAGGACGAGGCGGTCCGCTGCATCTGCGGCTCCGAGGACTACCCGGGCCGCCCACCCGTCGAGGGCCCCGACGCCGACTTCTTCGCCGGTATCGAGCTCACCGAAGAGGTTACTGGGTTCTTCGTACAGTGCGACATTTGCAAGGTCTGGCAGCACGGCGCCTGCGTCGGCATCTTCAGCGCCGAGGCGTCGCCCGACGAGTACTTTTGCGAGCAGTGCCGCAAGGACCTTCACAGGATTCACACAGCCAGTAATGGGTACGCCTCGCTCGCTCAATTCACTTGTCCCTTTTTTTTCGCGATTGTCTCGCGGACGGCAAAGTCTGGCTGTTTTGCAACCCTGCCCTCGCGAGGCCCAGAAGCCACCTGGGCAGGGTTTTCACGCGGGCTCCTTTGACGCTTTGCTTCCCGACCGCATCTCGCCACTGACACTCCCTCTCAACAGGCAAAAATACTCCAAATACCTCCCCCTCCATCAAGCCTCACGAACGACCTCGCGCGCGACGTCGATAGCAAAGGATGGTGCCCGCTCCCCGAAACCGGGCGGCTCGAAGAGGGAGCGCCTCAGCTCCGCCTCGCAAGCCGCTGCAAAGAGGCGATCCACGATGAATAGCCGCGACGCCGCATACGATGACGAGTTGCTCCGCCGAGTGATTGAGGCGAGCAAGGAGGACGCGCCTCCCGACACATCAGACACGGCCTCCAGGCCAGCGAAGCGAGGGCGAAGCGACAGCGAAGAGTTGGTCTCTCACACCAGTCAAGCAATCGACACCGGTCTGACTAGCCACAGAAACGGCACAATCGCCAAGCGGCAGCGCACTGGCTCTCGCTCCGTGTCACCCCCGGTAGAACAGCCGGACACAAACGGTGGAGACGCCTCGGACGAGGACTCCAGCGCCCGCAACGGTGCCAAGAAATCAAGGAATAACAGAAGTCAGCGGGAAAAGTCTGAGAAGGAGGACAAGGAACAGCAGAGGCAGGAGGCAGCAAACAAGCGCAAGGGCCGGGCCGAACGGCGCCGGGCAGAAGGTAAGGTCATTTGTCACCGCGTCATGACGGTCGGAAACTAACGCTGCATCGTCTAGACTCAGACTTGTCGGAAGAGATGCCTCTAGCGGCAGCTAAAGTCGTCCAGAGCAAGAGCGTCGAGCCACCGAGCGTCGAGGAAACACCTACTCCCGCACAGCCGCCGGGCACGCCGCCCACGAGCAACCCAACAGGCACGGCGGGCACAACCCATAAGAGGGCCGCGCGAAGCTCCCACAAGAGAGGCAAGGGGCGGAACCAATACACCAAGGACCGGGAGGCAGACGACGAGTCGCCGGCTCGCTCCATGTCGCGAGATATCCAGAAGAACGCGGACGAACCTAGCCACGGCAAGGCACCGGGCGATGGCAAGCACGGGCACAGGGGCAAGCAAGCTGCCGCGCACAAGATGAGCATGCTGGACATGAAGCGCCGGGTAGCCGCGATTATGGAGTTCATCTCGCGGACGCAGGTGGACCTGGCGGGTGAGCACGGTGGCTCCACCACCACCACCAGCGGTGCCGACACGCCGCAAAAGGACGAGGCTGCCGGTGCCAACGGGGACGCGACGGCTGCCAAGGCGGGCGGCGAGGGCAGAAACGGCGCGACGCCAGACGCGTCCGACGCCAAGGGGTTCAAGGAGCTCAGCTGCATGGAGATGATGGACGTCCTGACACGCGATATGGTCAAGTGGCAGAACCAGTACTCATGACAGCCACGCTGCACCCTTGACTTGCGGGCTGCGGCGTCATCGACGGTACACCCCTGTCTGGCAGAGCAGCAAAGTGTTGCCGTCATGGGCCCGGCCCGGCCCAACCGTGTATGATAATGGCAGGATGGTTTCCCAAAGGTGGCGTTTGGATGATTGCTGGGCATTCGATGGCGTCTCGTCGGCGGCAAGTTTGTCGCGCGTAGGGGCTTTCACACTGGCTTGGATCGCAAGGTCCGCGGGCCCGCTCGGGCAGGCTGCTTCTTTCACAATATACCCTACATGTTGCGCAGAACGAGACTGGGGGCGGCATGATGTGGCACACGCAGTACACGAGGCGGCCAATCTCTGCTGGGGGGGGAGGGTGGATGGCTTGCGCGTGATATATTGATGCGCGCGTTCTTTGTCTAGGAGTACAGGGCGTTCTAGTGTACAGGCAGATTGAATATCGATACAGAATTATGACACGAGCATAGTCGAGGCCAATTCAGCGGGTCTTTTCCCGCTTGCGCTCTTCCTTTTGCAGCTTGCGGGCCTGGTTGAGGCTCAGCTGCGGTTCTTGCAGCATCAGCTCGTGGGCGCGCAGGTGGGCGTCGTCAAGGTCGTCGAGGACGTAGCGGCCGAGCTTGCCCTCGCGCCACTGGGAGAGGACGCGGGCGGCGGCCTCCTGCCAGTTGGGCAGGCCGCCCGTCTTGAGCTTTCCGTCGCGGCGGGCGACGGCGTCGAGGAACTCGTTGACGTCGTTTGTGGGCTCGCAGTAGCGGGCGTAGAGGCGCGGGTCCCAGCGGTTCATGCGGTAGAGCAGGTAGTCGGCGAGGATCTCGTCGGGGATGAGGCCCTTTTTGATCCCGTGCGCGAGCGCCACCTTGACCATGGTCTCGCCGTCGTCGACGTACGGCTGGAAGATGCCCGGCGTGTCGAGCACGTACACGCCGCCCGCCACGCCGCCCGCCGAACGGTCCTCCGAGTCGACGACGCGCACCGCCGTGCCGACGCGCCGCGTCACGCCCGCCTGGTCCCCCGTGCGAGCGGCCTTGGCGCGGCGCTGACCCGGCGGGGCACCCGCCGTGCGCAGCGCGTTGAGCAGCGTGCTCTTGCCGACGTTGGGCATGCCCACGACGAGGGCGCGCAGGCCCGTGAGCGAGTCCTGCTCGCGCGCCATGTCGCGCAAGCGCGCGAGCAGGGCGTCCGTCGTGGCGGGGCGGTTCTTGTCCCAGAAGAGGACGCGGTCGGGCCCGTAGAGGCGGCGCAGGGCGGGGCGCGCCGCGCGGGCCGAGTCGGCGCCCAGGTCCGACTTTGTGTAGACGACGAGGCGCTCGCGGCCGGCTACGGCGCGCTCCAGCGTCGGGTTGTGCGTCGACAGCGGGAGGCGGAAGTCGCGGCACTCGAGCACCAGGGAGATGGTCGACAGAAGGCCCTTGATCTTGCTTGCGCCCGCGGCGTGGTGGCCGAGGAAGTACGTCTTGGGGATGGACGAGGGGATGGCGAAGGAGTCGCGCGGGACGAAGCGCGCGGCGGCGGCGGCCATCGCGGGAGGAGCCTTGGCTGTGGCGAGCTGCTGTCACCTTGATGTCGGCCGTGTGCTGATCATTTTGGCCGAGGCGCGGCCTCGATTGGCCCTGTGGCGGTGTTTGCTGCTTCGAGGGGGAGCGAGCCGCGAGCACACGAGCGTGGTGGTGAAGGCTCTCGGGAGTTAGATGTGATCGCCGTGTGGACTCTCCTTGGGTCGTCGAGAAAGCTGCAGGAGCAGTCGCGAGTCGCGACCCACGACTCACAGCGCAGCAACGGACAAACGACCGCCCCACCTCTGCACGTGCCGATAAGATAACCTTGTTTCCTTAGCGAGGCACCGCGCCGGTGGAGCTGACGTCACCGCCAAGAAGGGACAAGAAACGACGGCATCCAGTCACGGTTTGGGAACGCAGCACGAGGGCACCGCGCCTATGGCTTCACACGCACATTGTGGCAGTTGGCGATGACTGCTAGAGCGCGCTGGGGGCTTGGCTCGCCGCCACGGCCGCGCAAGAGGAGTCAATGGCGCGCGGCTCACGACGGTTTGCAGGTCGCAAGGCCGTAGCCGCGGTGGAGCGGCGGGCGAGCATTGCGGTACGCGGTGAAGGTCCCTCATGACATAAAGAGGATGGGATGCGCTGGGCTCTGATGTCCAAGGTGGACAAGTATGCAGACCCCAGCGAGCTGTCGGTGTGCGAGTGACCTACGTGTCGTTGATAGCTTCGTTGTGGGAGCTTGTCTGTTCGGGCCCCCGCGTCGGCGCTTGAGACTGGCATTCGCAGCCGTTATTGAGCAGAAGGAAAGGCACATGATTACAGCCCGGCATGGACCGACCGCCCGGAGCCAATGGCACGGATCCCAGCAACGGCATCAATCACAATGCCGCAACGCGCGAACCGCCGGCAGCAGCAACCCCAAGCAAGCAAACTCCGGGCCTCGACCCGCAGCCGGTAAACGACGAGCCCAACACAGGAGAGCCGGGCCCGCGCGGCAGCAGCACCCGTCGCCGACGACGCCGCGGGCGCTACTTCGGACCAGACGGCAAGCTGCGTCCGTTCCGGCTGCTGCGCGGCGACGCGGCCAACCTGCGGGCGCGATGGCCCTCGGACTGGACCGTCTTCAACCAGCAGGTGGTGGCGAGCGCCGTGTACGTCTTCTTCACGAACCTGCTGCCGGGAATCACGTTTGCGGGCGACCTGGCGGTGCAGACGGGGCGGTCGTGGGGCACCGTCGAGGTGGTGCTCAGCACGGGGCTGTGCGGCGTCGTCTTTGCCGTGTAAGTGATTCTCCCGAGGTGATACGCAGGGTGCCTTGTCGGGAGCTGTCGAGCTGATGATGATGATTTGTGCCCTGCAGCTTCTCGGCGCAGCCCCTGACTATCCTAGGCGTGACGGGCCCGTTTGCCGTGCTGGCCGAAAACATATACAAGCTGTGCGAGACGCGGTTCCAGGTGAGCAGCCCTGTCTCTCTCTCTCTCTCTCTCTCTCTCTCTCTCTCTCTCTCTCTCTCTCTCTCTCTCCCCCTCCTTCCTTTTTTCCGTCTTCCCACTTTCAACTGTCAGTGCCAATCTGCCGCTGCTCACACACGATGGGCGCCGTTTGCCGCAGGTCGACTTCCTGTCGCTCATGGCCTGGACGCTCATCCACGCCGGGTGGATGCACGCGCTGCTCGCGGCGCTCAACGCGCACGACTGGACGATGCGGTACGTGACGCACTTTAGTGCCGACGTCTTCTCGCTGCTCAACAGCGTCATCTACGTGCATAAGGCGGCGCTGGAGCTGCAGCGCGAGCACGCGCGCGCCCGTTCCCGCGCCGACTCCGACGGCGGAGACATCGAAGCCGCCCTCGCGCCTTTCCTCTACGCCGTGCTCGGCGCGACGGGCACCTGCCTTTTCGCCGTGCTGCTCTCCACGGCGCCGACGTCCTGGGCGCCGCTGTTCCCGCGCTGGGCGCGCCTCGGGCTGGGCGAGTACGCGGCCGCGCTGTCGGTGCTCCTCTGGGTGGGCGTGCCGCACATGGGCGACCTCGCGGCGCTGGACCACGCGCGGCTCGAGGTGCAGGGCGAGGCGCTGCGGCCGTCTGCGTGGCCCGCGCGCGGGACGTTTGTCGTCGAGTTCTGGCGCTTGCCCGTCGAGTGGGTGTTTCTGGCGGTCGTGCCGGGCGCCATCGTCACGGTGCTCTTCTTCTTCGACCACGAGATCAGCAGCATCATCTGCGCGAGCCGCAGCCGCTACGGCGTGAGGAAGCCTGGCGGCTTTGCGTGGGACGTGGCGCTGCTGGGTGTGACGACGGCGGTGTGCGGCGTGGTGGGCGTGCCGCCTGCGAATGGGTTGCTGCCGCAGGCGCCGCTGCACACGGAGTCGCTGTTACACTACGTCGACGGTGATGACGATGCTGACGGCGACGACGACGGTGGTGCTGAGGCGTCTCGGGGGGCCGACGATGACCGGGAGTGGGAGGAGGAGGAGCAGGAGCAGCAGCCCGCGCGTCCCGCGGCAGCATCATCGCCATCATCAACGCTATCAACACCAACATCGTCGTCATCGCCACCCCCCTCGCCCGCGGCACGCACGCACGAGCAGCGCTACTCGCCCCTCCTCCAAGCCGCCCTCATCCTCGCCTTCATCGCCCCGCCGCTGCAGCGCCTGCTCGGCCTCACCCCGACGTCCGTCCTCGCAGGCCTGTTCCTCTTCATGGCGTACCAGTCGCTGCGCGCCAACCCGATGCTCGCGCGCGTCGGCCAGCTCGTCACGCCTCCCTCCGCGCTGCCGTCGCTCCCACGGCGTGTGTCCTGGCGCGGCGTCCACGCCTTCACCGTCGCGCAGCTGCTCCTCACGGGGCTCGTCTTCGGCGTGACGCTCACCGTCGCGGCGCCCGCCTTTCCGCTCCTCATCGTGGCCCTCGTGCCGCTCCGCCTGACGCTCATGCCGCGCCTCTGGTCCCGCGAGACGCTGGCGTTTGTGGACGCGTGGGCGTGTCGCCCGGGCAGGCCGGAGGATGGGCGTGGGCGTGCCTCTTCGCGAGGTGAGGGCGACGGCACGACGATGGCGGCGGCTGTGGATGATGGCTCTGCGACAGCGGATCGTGGGGCCTCCGCGGCGCGCGCGGCGTCCGCCTCGGACGCAGAAAAGGGGCTGGGCGTCTGATGGCATGTATGTGTAGGTAGCACAAGCAGCGCAGACAGCATGTAGCATGTATGTATGAGGATAAGGAGGTGTGCGGGGTGCCAGTTGTCCCAACCAGCCGAGGAGGGGGGACTTGGCCGTCACATACTCACAGTCCATGTATAAGCCGAACACGAGCGAGGTGGGGAAGTGAAACCCCCCGGGACGCTGTGTCACGATGCTATCGCCAGCAGGTCCCAAGTGGGTGCTCGCATTCGGACGAGCTGAGATGCGACAGGTAGTACGATATCACACCCACGCACACCTCCCTTGGCCAGAAGAGGAGGGCGTTGGCTCGCCATGTCCGGTTACATGGGGATGCCCACGCCTCCCTCCCCGGTTTGCACCGCGTCCGGGCTAACCCCCACGGGTGGGATACTGCGGTCTAGTACTTCGTAGATTAGAAGAGCTGAACAGATGGAGAGACGAATGCACGAGCGCTGAGGCAGGCCTGTGTGTTGATATAAGTTGACTGCATCTCGCGCTGTTCTGACGGGCTTCTCTCCGCTGTCTGCTGCCCTCTCGATTCGTCTCGTCTATATATCTCGACCCCGTCGGCTTCATATATCAACGCCTTGCTCAGCAACACACCGCGACAACACTCCAGCTTACACCCCGCTCACCATGTCCGCCAACGACGTCCGGGGCAAAGCCGCCCTCATCACCGGCGGCGGCTCAGGTCTGTCCCAGTCTATAAACCTCCTCCAGTCCCCCCATGCACAACATCCCGCTGACCCTTCCACCCCTCCATCCAGGCATCAACCTCGCCTTCGCCCAGCTCCTCCTCGAGAGCGGCTGCTCCGTCATCATCGGCGACCTCGCCCTCCAGCCCGAAGCCCAAGCCCTCGTCGACAAGTACACTCCTCCTCCTCCTCCCCCTGCTCCTCCCTCATCCTCCTCACCATCATCCGCGCCCTCGCCCGACTCTGCCTCCTCCTCCTCATCATCACCGCCGCGCGCCCTCTTCCACCGCACAGACGTCACCTCCTTCCCCCAGCTCTCCTCCCTCTTCGCCCTCGCCGCCACCACCTTCCCCCACACGCTCACCATCGTCGTCGCCGGCGCGGGAGTCTTCGAGCCCCCCTGGGCCTCCTTCTGGCACCCGCCGCGCAGCGCCACCAACCCGGCCTCGCCCTCGCGCGACGACGCCGACGCCGAGCCCGGCGCTTTCGCCGCCCTGGGGGTCAACCTCGTTGCGCCCATGCGCCTCGCGCAGCTGGCCCTCGCGCACTGGACGAGGAGCGGCATGATCACGGCTGGCGGCGGCGGTGCGGGCGGCGGCAACCCGTCCTTCATCGCCGTCAGTAGCATCGCGGGACACACCGCCTCGCCCACGTATCCGTTTTACTTTGCTAGCAAGCATGGCCTGCACGGCTTCATACGCTCCATGGGCATGCTGAGGGATGCAGTGGGCGTGCGCTTCGGCGCCGTCGCCCCGGGTGCTGTCAAGGTAAGAAATGACACTCCCCCTTGGCCCAATGCCCATCATATAGCAAGTAAACACCGCTCCCCTCTCTCAACCTCTTAACAAGCCAACGTCAACCCCCTTCGCTACCCTCATCACAAATATACGCAAACTGACGTTCGCAGACGCGCATCTTCGACGCCGACCCCTCCAAGGCCGCCCTCTCCGCCGGCACCGTCTCCTGGATCCCCGCCGCCGACGTCGCCGCCGCCATGCTCCGCCTCGTCGTCGACCCGGCCCTCGGCGACGGCACCATCCTCGAGGTCCTCCACTCGGGCTCCCGCGTCGTGCCCCTCTTCAACGCAGACCCTCCCGAGGCCCTCGACCAGATGCTCCCCGCCCTGCGCGGCGAGGTCCGCCTCCTGGCCGAGAGGCTCGCCTCGGGCGAGTTTGCCGTCTGAGCGGACACGAGGGCAGTTGCGAAAAAGGGGGACGGGTGGTGCCAGGTCTCGGCATCGGCCGTGGAGGGCTTGGGAGTGTCGGAGGGAGGGACGTTCTGCGTAGACGTGCTTGAGCAGTCATCATGTAATACCATTGCCACTCACCGCGTGCCCGTCATGAGAGCCTCTCTCAGCATGCGTGGCATCATTCTAGCAAGAGACGGAAGCGGCCCCAAGGGGCACGACCGCAGTCACCTTTCACAAACCAACCACAGCCTGTCCGTCCGTGCCATACATGCAGCTGCGATGATGCTCGTGTGCGGCCAGTGCATTGGTAAATTGCTCGCGCCAAGCTCGTCGTTTATATAAAGACATTGCGTCGCCCACGCCCGTGCAAGCCGCCACCTGCGACGCCGGGGACTAGCTTCTGCCAACTGCTCTCCTCCACGGTCCAAGACCTGCACTCAAATCGACACAATGCCCCGTGTGAGCCAATATAATAGTCCTCCTCCGCGTCTCAAACTGCCTCTGGCCTGCTCCTCCTCCTGCCCCCTGGAGATGATGCGGCATAATCATCTCGCGCAATGGTCGCGGGGTAACAATACCGCGTCGTGCCGAGAAAGTGAATCGACAAGGACAAAACGCAAAACGGCCACACGTCAGATGAATGAGCTCGGAAAAGAGCTGGGTATCTTGATTAGCCACTCCTCTTGCTCTCGCACGTTCCTGGCGTGCCCGGACCCGTCCCCTTTTCTCGCTCCCCAGCCTCGTGCTTCCGGCTCTGGTTCCGACAGTCTCGATAGGTTCAATGAGAGGGGGATTTGCTAAAGAAGGGTGTTTAAAAAGATGAAGTGATGAAAACGCAAGTCGCCTCGGATGCGTCGTGGCTCGTTCATATAAGAAGAAAGGGGGGATGTTGTGAACGATGTCGTGCTGCACCGGCTGCCGCCTGAGAGCGGACGGCGCAGGCTATTTGATATTCTTAAACATGTCGTAGCCGAGGCCTCCGTCGTCCTTTTCGAGGTCGGCAAGCTCCGGGATCATCGGGGGAGGGGGGCCCGAGGGCTTCTTCGGGGAGGGGACAGATATCGTGGACGCGGCGTCCTCGAAGATGAGGCTGGACCGCTTGGGGTCGCCGCCCCGTAGGCGCCGGAACCAGCCGCTGCTTCGCTTAGACTTGCGGTCGTCGACGACGCTCGAGGCGCCGCGGCTCTCGGGTCGGGCCAGGTTGGTGACGGAGCCGTTGGCCGTCAGCGGCGACCGGCCCTCTGTATAACTAGCGTTTAGCATATTCCTACTAAACAGCCTGCGGAGGCTGCCCTGGCGGCCGGATCCAGCGGGGCTCAGGGGCGCCTCATCGGCGGGTCGCTTGGTTCCGGCAAGATTACCATTTGGTGGTGTGGAAGTGACGGGCTTGTCAGTCCCGTTGGGAGTCCCGTTGGGAACGGCGGCCTCGGGCTTGGCCTTGGCGATGGCGGCAGGCTCCTTCTTGTCGGCGGGCGGGGTCTGGGGCGGCGTGGGCACCTCCTGGACGGGCGAGGCGGGAGGCGGGGGGATGTTGGTGCCGTCGGTGATGCTGCCAAAGTCGAGGTTGAGGGCGGGCAGCTCGAACTTGGTATGCGACGCCCCGTTGCTGAGGCGAGAAGGCATCGTGGGCGATTCGATTCGACGGTCCGCGGTGCACGGTGCGTACGTGGGAGGGACGGGACGGAGCGAGGGCGTCGACGGGAAGCGGGCAGGCGACGGGGTGGTCGACGCGGGCGGGAAAGGAGACAAAGGGAGACGACGGATCCGTCGAGTCGAAGAAAGAAACAAAGGAACGAGTAGTCGGCCGGGGGGGTCGGTGGTGGTCGGTGGCCAGTGAGACACGCAGCGGCAAACCAAGAGCACCTCGATCCTGGGGAGGCAGGGTGCAGCAGAAGACGGTCGAGCTGGCGATGCTGAGACGACGCAGGAAGCCAATTGAGCAACGGACGCAAGAATGCAAGCTCCGCGCGGGACTGACGACGGAAGCAGACGATTCAGGAGGCGAAGCAACAGCTGAATCGATGCGTGATGAAGAGTCCGGGGGTCGGTTTGGAAAACTGGAGCAGGCGGATGGCTTGCGGTGGATGGCTGGCCCCAGGGTCGGTTCGCGAGTGGTGTGTGGTCCAGGTCCTCCTGCCCAGGTGGCTTCTGGGTCCTGGGAATGGGAATTGGATGGGACGGCTGCTGCCCGGGTTTGGGTCTGGGTTTGGGTTGGGGTGGGCGGCCGTGGCGCTGCGTGGCACGGGTGCTGCCAGTAGTTCCCGGCTAGGGGCGCTGTAAATGGGAAGAGGAGCGTCGACGACGGGTCTTGACGAGATGAGGGGCACAGCCCAGGCAGTACGTATTCCACGTGCCAGGGGATGGGTTGATGATGGCCGGGACGGTCGGGATGGTCGGGGGGATGAGCGCTCGTCTGTGCCGCGTCAATTGAGGTGGCAGTGGATGGGCGAATGCGAAGGCAAAGGTCGATGAGGGGAGGATGTGGAGGAGGAAGAGGAGAAGGAGGAGAAGCGGGAAGCAGGAGACCGGATGATGGATCATGGACGATGACAAGTCGTGTGCGTGCGTGCGCGCTGTGCTACGCTGCCAGGGGCGAGAGCCGTACGGTCACTCACGCAAGCGCAGCCGCCAGGCACGCCTGCCTCTCGGTTGGGTAGGCACTGAAGGTGGGTGGCTGCAGCCCGGCGCTCACCCTGCGGCGTGCTGCTGCATCGCATTGGAAGATGGAGTCTGCAGCGCAATTGATTCTGCTCGGGGGGAGGCCGACGTGGCCAATTTCGCAGGGCAGGGCAGGTACGGCAATGATAGTGCTAGGGCTGCTGTCCACTGGGTAAGGTACATTCATCTCGACTGTGCTCCGTAACCTTGATCGGCGTCACAGCGACAGGCAATGGACAATCCATTGACGAAATTCTGCCCCCCTCCCCGTGGCTGACCTGTTGACGAAGAGCGGACGGGGAGGCGAGGTGAGGCTGCTGGTGGTGTTCTTCCAGGCGTGATGGTGGAGCAGGGGAAGAGCCCGGAGAGGCTGGGGGTCCACTCCAGGGACCCGTGGACGGGCCTCTGCGCGACTGCTCCAGGCGTCCCAGCGGCAGCACCCGAGCCCTAGCAGCAGCACAGGGCAGCTTGCAGTGGGTAGGTAGTGGAGGGCACCCCAAGAAGGTGACGCCCGGGCCGTGTGGCTTCCAAGCTTCCCGTGCCATTCCATGCCATGTGCGTGCGTCCAGTCCCTGAAGTGGGTGTGGCGACGGGACCAGGGGGGGTGGTGGTTCCGCCGTGGACGTGTGTCCACTGTTGAAGAGAGACTCGTGCCTGTCGGGGGGGCCAAGTACTTGCCTCGTGCCATGGTGGCATCGACACGGAGAGCGCCATGTAGGCTACGTGTTACGAGAAGTGCCGCCCGTCTGCCGTGTCGAGGCGAGGCGAGGCGAGGCGAGGTGACGGCGGGTTGCCAATTGGTATCGGGTAGTACAAGTATTTGACGGAGTACCATCTGCGGCAGCAGCCCTGGAGCCAACCGGGGCAAGCACCTCAGTCGAGACGGCACTCGAGACGGGACGACACCCTCACACCTACCACAGACCTGTTTCCGTCCCGTCTGATGCGCCCACCTACGTACAGTATGTATGCATATGCGCATTCATCCGTCCCATGCCATCCATGCCATCGTCAGTCGACAGCACACGAACCGCCTTCCTCGTTCCTTCTTCCAACACGTCGGCCCCGCATCTCTTCCCTCCCCCTCTTCCACCACCGCCCAGACCCCCCAAACACAAAAAGGCTCTCAGACCTCTCTCCAACTCTCGACACTCCCTATGCAAAGGACCGCCCCTCCCGATAAACCAAAAGCAAAGCAATGCCCACGCATCATCCACGGACCCCCTGACGGAGGGTGACGATCTCTCCTCCGCCGAAAAGCAAAGCAAATTGAACCCGCCGCACAGGCTGGCAGACATGTCACAAAAGAGGGAGTCGCTCTTTTTTGCTTCCTTCGTTCGCCCCAGCCGCCCCGTGCAAAGCACACACCAGCGTGAAGCGGTTGGGGGCTGGGGGGGGGGGAAGCCCTTGTACGCCCGTACACTGCTCGGAGAATATATGGGCGGCACGGCGTTGGGCTTCGTACCATGTTATGTACGCACAAACACGGATACGGAGTACGAAGCAGCGTACATGCTATTACAGTGTGGTGCTGCGTGACGCATCATCATCCCCCCATCGGCGTCCCATTCCGACGCAACGCACGTGGACCTGCCGCTTCACGCCCCCCCGCGCCCCCGATTGGACGCGCGATCCTGCGGGTGGTGCGAGATGCCGCGCGCGAGCGCCTGCCTAGGTGGCCGCTCTCTCTCAATTCGGTTCGGTACGGACGGAAGCCCGCGCCGGATAACCATAAACTTGAGACGAATGGGCTTTTATCTACCTACGTTCGAACTGCCGGCCCCCAACCCAAGTTCCCTTTCGTCATGCGCCGCACCCGCACCCGCTCCTGCGCCATGGCCACGGACCGCTCGCAGGGACCATCCTCACGCCATGTTGGCCCCCCCGGCCGCGCCGTGGACCGACGTGGACGGATCTTGGATCTGATCTCGCGCCGGCTCCCGTCCACAGGCAGTCGCGCGACGCCGACGGGCTGGAATGGGGTCATCGTCACGGAGCGCGTTTCATCACCCCCTCTTCAGCACGACCTTGACGTGCTCACATACTTTACAGTCCGTAGCACGCCTTGAAACTCGTACTTTAGAGACCGGCATTGATGTAATGTAATGCAGCACACACGCGAGCTCGTGCAAAGTACCTTAGTCTGCCTCACAGGTCCAACGGCCCCAAGCGCCTTACAAGCCACAGCGCCGTGCCCTTCCCTTTCAGCGCAAGTCTCAACCTGCGGCCCCAGCCCCATCGTCATCAGAAAAACGCCACCCGCCGTCATATCTCTATATTTACATTTCAATCTACATGTGCATCTGTATCGTATCTGCATCGGCCAAGTTACGTATCCCATCAAGTTACGTATCCCATTGAGGCATCATCATCCTCACATCTCATCCGTGTACTGTACTGTACTCACTCACTCGCACGCACGCGTGTGATGTCACGTCCCGTCTGGGGGTGAGGTTGTAATAGCGTACGTACCATCTTTGACATTTTTAAGGCACGCGTGCATGCATGCATGCTTGCATGCACGCGCCCCGCCGCCGTCGTTCGGGCGCCCCATTTCGACGGCGCATATATATAAAGTCCGTGGCAGCTCCCCCCCCTTCCCCCCCTGGCATCTGGCATGGAGCGGCTGGCTGGCTGGCTGGCTGGCTGGCTCACTTGCCTAAACCAGCCTCATCTCCGCGGATTTTTTTCCCACGGCCGAGCGTAAGCTGAACGGCTGCTATTCTCCGTATCGGCCGGTCGAGCAGCAACGGGCTGGCGAAGGGACCGGCACGGGAATAAAGCCCGTCTTATGTGGCGCACACGCCCGCGTCCGCCTCCGACAGGGAGGGCATGAGTCGCGCACTCAGTCGTCACTGGCAACGTCGTCGACCACCAACCCATTTCAAGTTGTTCAATTATGATATGTCGTGTCGTTGCGGCAGAGCACTGCCTATGTACATGCATGCGTCCGTCTCCGTCTCTTTTATTAACAGCTCCCTCCTTCTCTCACATCGTCCGTAACCGGCGAATGATGCGCCTCCTCATGAAGATGGCCAGCGCGATGCCCACGCAAAAGAAAAAGATCAGGTTCGCCCGCGCCCCGATCGCCGTGATGAGCTGCGCGTCGTACGAGTGCCACGACGAGCTCCCCAGGTGCTCGAAGAGGGGCGTCACGACGCGGCCGTTGAGGCTGTGAAGCGGCCCCGGCAGGATCTTGAAGTTTGCGCGGTCGGGCTGGTTGGTGTGGATGACCGAGGCGAAGTGGCCGCCGGTGCTGAACATGACTGTAGCGTACGGCAGGCCGAACCAGTGCTTATCGTATAGGGGCAGGTTGCGCAGGATCTCGCCGATAAATGCGTTGGCCTTGGCCGCCATCATGAAGCTGATGGAGAAGCCAGTCGGGAAGGCCTCGGGCGCCACGAAGCCGAACCGGCGCAGCGGGCCTAGCGAGCTCCGACACTTGATGTCCATGTCGAGGATGACACCGCCGTACTCGTAGAGCACCATGTAGCGCAGGGCGTCGATGCGCTCAATGGGGTAGCGGTAGTTCTCCCACATGTCCCGCAGCTCGGGGAACTTCTCCGCCACCAGGGCGGCCGCGTCGTCGTCGGTCCATTGGTACGACTTCCAGCCCGGGTGAAGGTCCAGGCAGCTCTGGACCGCCTCCTGCCACGACTCGCGCCATTGGTCCTTGGTGGTGCCGAGGGCGATGTGGTGCAGGATGGGTGGCACGACGTCTTCATAGGGGGCGGCGGAGAGCTGGTTGCGCGTGTAGTTGGTAAAGGTGACGTCGAAGTTGTCGTGTGCCTCGGAGAGAATAAAGTCGTCGGCGTCGTTGCGCCAGCTGGCCCGCAGCGTCGTCAGGGTCCACGAGATGTAGAGGAGGTGGCGGAACCAGAAGGCGCAGGTGATGGCTATCAGGACGGCGGCCCAGATGATGTGTTTTCTCCTCGACGAGGGCGCAGGCCCGTCGTGCTGCAGCTTGACCATGGTGGCAGTGGCCCCGGCGGCGGGAGCAGTTCGACGAGGCGTCTTTTGGAGGGGCGAGGCGCGCACGCGCACGGGGCAGTCGGGGCGCACGAGGCGTTGTTGGTCCCAGGGGTCGGGGGAGCTCGTCGTCGTCGATGTGTCTCACGACCGGCCGGCGGGAGGGAGGGATGAGAGGTTGCTCGTGATGAAAGATGAGCAACGTCAACAGGTCATGGCGGTATTTTGGAGAGGCCGAGGAAGAGGAAGGACGACGGAAGGGAGAATGGACAGACGGGGGGGAGCCAACGGTGGAAACGACGAGTTGGGGAGGGAGGTTGGCGGCGCGGTGGTGGTGGTAGGAGCAGCAACAAGAAGGGGAGACAAGGCGGGCGGGCGACCGGGGACGGGAAGACGGCGGACGGCGATTTTGAGTGCCGCGCAGAGACTGACTGACGGGGAGCGACTGACGACGACAGCCATGCCAGGACGGGCCAGGCCAGGCTTGTCAGGCTGGGCCACGGCTTGTGCCAAGTGGATTGCGTTGCGCGGGCGCGATATGCTTGGCATTACGCCCCCCCGTGTGTGTGAGTGTGTGAGTGTGTGTGAGAAGAGCGTGTGTGTGTGTCTCCCAGCCCGCCCGTCCAGCGGCGCAAATCGCCCTCGCCCAGAGTCAAGACTCAGGAGGATCTGCGGCGGCCGAGTCCCAAGCGTTGGGCCAAGAAATGCGGACCGCCTGCCATTGGCTCGCCTCCATGTCGGCGCACCCCTGACTACTGCGACTGGAGACCGCTACAGGGCCGCTGTCGCCCGCAGACAGACCCGTCGTCACCCCACAGCTCCAGCTGGAGAGGCCCCCGGTGTCACTGTCGAGGCACGCGAGGCCCCCCAAGGGCCCCCGTCACCCACACCCAGACGCCGTCCACAGGCCACCCACAGGCCACCCACAGGCCATCCACAGCCCGTCCAGCAGCGGCGCGCAGCCCACTTGGACCCAGGCGACCCAGATCAAGCTTTTTTCTCCTTGGCTGGCGCGGCGAGGCCATTAGCCAGAAATTGGCTGAACGTCAGAATCTTAACGCGAGCGACGGCGACCCCATCCCACGGGCCCCCGTTCGGCGGCTGCTGGGCCCCCTCTCCACTGAAGAAAGTCGTCCAGGCCACTGGGGCGCTTGCTGTGCCCAAAGGCAGACGCCCACGGCTGGCAGAGCGCCTCGGTCTCTCCCTTTGAGTTGCCACCAAACGCGCGGCTGGCAGGCTGTCCGACTCGAGTCGACTCGGCTCGTCCGTCCGACCGTTCGTTGGCTTCGCCGGTGGTGCCACGAGGACATGACATCAACCCTCCTTGCCGCCCCACGATGTCCCGCGTCGGTGTCGGCGCCGAAGCGGCCACGGCTCAGAAGCCCGTCAGGGAGGGGGGCCCGCGGCCATGAGGTGCGAGGGTTGGTTCTCGACGCAGCGCATCAAACACCATCGGTCGCCCACGCACACGTAATAATCATTTGGCCCGGCATAAGCTCCTGGGTCGAGCGAGCGCGACGAGGCGGGGGAGATGGGGAGGGGAGGGGATAGGGAAGCCGAGCCGGCTTGGCGTTTCTCCCCAGTCTCAGGCGACGACGAGGTCAATCAGGACAGTGAGCAGCGCAGCACAGCACTCGTCGGCTCGCAAGCCCTGTGGAGGTGGTGGTGGAGGTCCTGGTGCAAGGCCCAGCAGACCCTGGCGCTGTGGGCGGCCTCCTCGTCCTCTGCTGCGTACCTACGGCTTTTCGTTGCGCCGAATGCCGTTGCTGCCGCGTTATGGCGCTGCGGTTGCTGCCCAGGTGCCGTGCATCTCCGGTGGGAAGGTACGATGGCGGTGTTGAAATTGCTTGGCGTCTGGTGTGGCTTGCAGTGCCCAACCAGGTACCTAGGTACTTCCTGCGGTACTTGCGCTGCAGGTGTCGACTCGCCCAGAGCCCGGGTACCCGGCATGCCGCGCCACCCAACACCCAACGCGGCAGGTTCACTGAGGTGAGGTCAAACCGGCAACCCGGCAACGTCATCGCCGGAGCTGCACCTGCCGACTGGGGCCGACGCGCCGTCACGAGCTCCAGCCCGGCAACCTCGCTCGACTTGGAGCTGCAAGCCACCCAATTCTCACCGCATTGGATCCCCATCGCGACCATGGCCAGCTCTCGCCTCCTTGGCCCGCCGCTGCGGCTGCCATCGTCGGGCTTCTCGCGGCCGGTCGCCGCCCTCAATTGCCGCGCCGCGGCGTTGCCCCTGCACCTGCCCCGGACCGCCGTCCGGTACAGGTCCGGCCCGTACGGCTACACCCAGGCCAAGGCCCTCGTCTACTCCAAGAACGGCGAGCCTGCCGACGTCCTCAAGTACGCGCGACTGCCCTCCGCCCCCATTGAGCTTGCGACGCTTGAACTCGGTCACTGACGGCGTCCCCCGCAGGCTTCACACGCACTCCATCTCCCCTTCCATCCCCTCGACGTCGGTCCTCGTCCGCTGCCTCGCCGCCCCCATCAACCCGGCCGATGTAAACACCATCCAGGGGACGTATGGCTCCAAGCAGCCCCTCACGTCGCTCATCGGCACCTCGGAGCCATCGGCCGTGCCCGGCAATGAGGGCGTCTTCGAGGTCCTCTCCGCCGGCAGCCCCTCGTCGGAGCTCAAGAAGGGCGACTGGGTCATCCCCGCCGCCTCCCAGATCGGCACCTGGAGGACGCACGCCGTCTTCGGGGCCGATGAGCTGCTCAAGGTCGACAAGGAGGGCCTGACGCCAACCCAGGTCTCCCTCGTCAGCGTGAACCCCTGCACCGCGTACCGCATCCTGCGGTCCTACGGACCCAGCGCCGGCGTCAAGGCCGCGCTCGGCATGCGCCCGCTCGAGGTCGGCTCCGGCCAGTGGTTCATCCAGAACGGCGCCAACTCGGGTGTCGGGCGGGCCGCCATACAGTTCGGCAAGCTGTGGGGTCTACGGAGCATCAACGTCATCCGCGACCGCGATACGGTCGAGGCCACGGACGCCTTGAAGCAGGAGCTGCGAGACCTCGGCGCCGACGTGGTGGTGGCCGAGTCCGAGTTCCTGTCCCGCGGGTGGAAGGACCAGCTCGCCGAGATTACGCGCAAGGGCCGCGAGCAGGTCGGCCTCGGCCTCAACTGCGTCGGCGGCAAGTCGGCCACGGCCCTCGCCCGCTCGCTCGGCGAGGGCGCCACGCTCGTCTCGTACGGCGGCATGGCCAAGCAGCCCGTCGCGCTCCCCGTCGGCCTGCTCATCTTCAAGGACATTCGCTTCGTCGGCTTCTGGCTCTCCAAGTGGAACCAGCAGGATGTGGTCGGGCGGCGGCACATGGTGGCCGACATCCTGGGCCTCATGCGCGATGGCAAGTTCCGCGACGCGCCCGTCGACGAGGTCAAGTGGGATTGGGATACGGACGAGGCCACTCTGCGGGGCGCGGCGCAGCGTGGCCTCGAAGGCTTCAGGCAAGGCAAGGGGGTATACGTCTTTGGTGATACCTGAGCTCTGTCTATCTACTGTATAACAGGAATATACCCAATGGAGCAAGCGCCTCGACGCCTATGCCTCCAACCCCAACTCCGGCGCTAGTACAAAAGACCCCTGTCAGACCCTCAGTCTGGGAACGTGCATGTACAAGTGCCAAACGATGCCGTGCAGCCGGCCAAAATACGCGCGTACGTGTCTGGGTATCAGATGCTTGACCATATCCGTGACCGAACGACAACGCCCTCCTGCCCCTCATCAATCCACGTACGGCACCGGGACTATCCAGCGCACAGCGTAAAAGATGATCCAGTCGGGGGGGATACCCACAGCGGCGAAGATGAGAAGGGGCATGGCCATCAAGTAGAAGTCGTAGGTGGTAATCTCCTCCATGTCGTCGCTGCCACCGTGCGAGCGGTGGCTCTATGTGCAGGGAGGCTACTGCAATGAGTCCAGGGTGAGTGGCGATGACGTCCGGAGCGCTGTGTCGACGAGGAAGCGTATATAACAAGGTGATCGCCTTGTGTATGTATGTCCTTGCTGGCGATGATGACAGCGGCACCGGCAAGCTGCAGCGGAGATAGTGCCTTAGCAGTGCTGTTGCCGCCGTCGCCAACGTCCTCCTCGAGCCGGAAGGGGGTGTAAGAGCGCCGGGGGCTGTGATGGGCGTTGGGACTGCGCGAGATGTTGACTGAGCTGTGCACTGAGCTGAGCTGAACTGAACAGGCGCATGTGCTTGTCTGCCGACGAGGATGAAGATTCGTCCAGAGGATCGCGGGCTTTGGACTTCGATGTTGGGGCTGCGCGGAGGGCATGGCTGAGAGGGCATGCATGCATGGACTGGACTGAGTGCGCACATGCAGCATCTTTCTCGTTGTCGTGCCCGTCATCGCCGTCCGTCTCATCATCATCATCATCGCCCGCCCGCTCCCCCCTGTGCTCTCCCATCTCGCTTGGCCTGTCACCCTTCCTCGTCGCGGTCAGTGTCCGTGTCGTCTCAGCCTCCCTCCTCAGCTTCATTGACGGCATCGTCCGCCGCTGCGTCGCCTCCGCTCCGCTCCTCACCACCCCCCCTGTCATCGTCCTCGCGACCCCCCTCACCGGGCTCTCCATCCCGTCGTCGGCGGCGCCCGCGGTTCCCCCCCTCCCCGCTGCTATCCTCCGAGCCGCACCACCCGTCGTCATCCAGCCCCTCCTCCCCGTCGGCGCCATACACCCGCTCCCACCCGGGCCAGCGGTCGTCCCCGTCGCTCTCGTCCCACCCGTCCCACGGCCGCCGCGCCGGGATGCATGCCTCCGCGCGGCCCGGCTCCACGGCAGCCAGCCACGTGTGCATGGCCGCCACGTCCACGGGCTGGGGCCGGAGGCGCGACAGCGGGGAAAGCGGGCGCTCGTCGTCGTCGTCGTCTTCCGCCGCCGAGTCCTCCCGCTTGGGCACGACCTCGTGCCCGTAGTCGAGGCCCATCACGGGCAGCCCCTCGTAGCCGCCCCAGCACGTCGACGCGTAGCTGGACGCCTGCGTCTCCGACTCCCACCGCGCCGCGACGTTCCCGTCGCCGTGGTTGCAGTACATGCCCAGAGGGGTCAAGCCGTGGTGAGCCGGGTCCGCGTGGATGAGCTCGGCCAGCTCGTCGTGCGGCCACGGAGGCCCCCCGTGGCAGCCCAGGTACTGCCCCAGGCCGTCCTCCCACGCCGCCTCGACATGTGCCCGGGACACCACGTCTTCGTGTCCGGCCGTGTACTGGTACACGGTCGCGGCGACGCGGTCCTCCACCCGCACACGCTGCGCCTGTACCAGCCGCCTGTAGCGCGCCCTGATGAGCGGAACGGCCTGCCATTCGCGGGCCGTGACGACGGACTCGACGAGCAAGCTATTGCAGGGGGGGCACGTCTCGCTCACGTCGTCCTCGCGCCGGAAGTGCAGCGCGAGCGGCACCCCGGCACAGGAAACGACAGCCCTGTAGAGCAGCTGCGAGGCGTGCCTGGACACGGCCGCGCGTATTGCCTCGAGCTCCAGCCAGTTGTGCCCGGGCGGCGCGCGGTAGTCGAGGACGGTGTCCCGCGCGAGGACAATGCCCGTCTCGAGCGGGTGGACGTGGTGCATCAGCGCGGCGGTGAGGAACGTGCCCATCTGGTGCTGCTCGTGGATGCGCGCGTGCGTCTCCTCGAGGACGCGCATGATGCGCGCAAATGGCCAGGCCAACGAGCGCCCGCGGTACATGGGCACATTGTGCGCGTGCTTGGATACCTTGAGCAGCATGCGGTGCCAGCGACGGGATGGAGGCGCCGACGTCACCGCGAGGCGGCCGCCCTCGACGGCGTCCCTCCACGCTGCGTAGTTGCGCCTTTCCTTGGCGACCTCGCTGATGATGGTGCACACGAACGGCACCAGTGGGCTCCACGACGATGTAGCCGCGTCGAGACTGCAGAGGAAGAACTGCAGGTACCGCGCGCGGAGGTTGTCCCAGTCCAGCCTCGACAGCTGGTCCAGGATGCGCCAGTACGTCCTCTCCCGCCAGGCCCGTGTGATGACCCTCGTGGCCGTCTCCCTCAGCTGCGTCAAGCACTTGCTGTCATCGTCCAGAAGCAGCGAGGGGTTCTGCGTGCGGAACTGCTCGCAGTCCCGGAGCAACGCCTCGAGCGACTCGGTGGTCTTCTTTGTGAAGGCCATGCGCTCGTATCCCCAGTCAAGGCACGAGCGCACGTCCAAGCACGTGTCGGCAGGGTGCCGCCACTCGTACCGATGGCTGGGCTGCACGTGGTAGGGGAAGATCTTGAGAAAGGGCACAGTGCCCCTGCCGTCCATGGTGCGGGCGCCGTCCACGTTGCCCTGTGTTTCGGGCAAGGGGCCATCATAGGAGCGGGGCATCGGGTTGCGGTACGACGACCAGACCGGACCGGCCTTGCCCACGCGAGGGTGCGGCATACAGCCTCCCAGGGGGCGAGGGGGACAGTCACAGCCCATCGCGAAGGGCCGTCCGCAAGGCGCGTAAGGGAAAGGTATGGCGAGCTGTCAAGACTCACCTTTTAGAGACAACTGAGGACGACACAACTCCGCAAAGTAGTCGCGTGCAAGAGAACAAGACCCTTCTGGAAACTCGACAGCCTCTGCAATTCTCTGGTAGGGACTCGGTAAGAAGCGGTAGTTGAGTGTCTTGTCGACGAGTTGCCAGAGGAAGGATGGGCGAGAGGGACCCGGGGGGGAATACCAGAAGACCTCTTTTATATGCCATACTTCTGACAGAAACCCTTGACAAAGGTTCAACTCCTCCGCAACCTTTTCATTCATGTCTCCTTCGATGATTGGGACTTCGTAGTCGACTTGAGCAACTTGACTCTCGACTATGTTTGAGGCGGTCGTAGAAACAAGCATTTGGCCTTGCGCTAGGGATGGCGTTGGCGGACCAGCCACCACCAGGGCGAAGACTCGTCGGGCGTGTGGGCGAATGGCCCAGAAGAAGGCCTGTCCGTAGCTGGCATATCAAAAAAGGCAATGACAAGGGCATCTAAGTTGGCCAGACTTGGTCGTCGAGCACGTCAAAGCTTAGCTATCACGCTGTCAACCATGTCTCATACTGGCGTTATATTGATGTCGTTATGGCCCGCTGCTCGTACAGAGAATCTACCTACCATCCCTCTCGCTCACGCCCGGAGCGCCTGTGCCCACTCGTGGAGCTTGTCTATGACGACGGGCGCAAAGGCCGTGAGCGTCCCGTCGATGACGTTGCCAAAGTAGACGATGGCCTCCTCCTCGCTGAGCTCCAAGTGGAACCGCTCGCGCACCTTCATGACGGCCTTGTCCGGCTCGAGCCGTATGTCGGGGATGTTGGCGTGCACCATGAGGCTGAAAAGGTTGAGGATCAGGTTGGACGACTTGCGCAGCGCCGTGTACGCCATGAAGCAGTGCTGCCTGAACTTTTGGTAGTGCTCCGAGTTGACGCCCCCCATGCACTCGACCATTTCCTTGGACAGTTTCATGACTGGCGCGAAAGGCTTCGGGTCGCGGCCGAGGATGAAGCCAAAGTCGGCGTGGAAAAAGTGCCCATCCGGCGCGAGCAGGAGGTTGTCGAGGTGGCGGTCGCCGACGCCGAGGATGTAGGTGATGACGCAGTATCCCGCGCACGACTTGACGTAGGTGTCGAGTGTCTCCGCCCGCACACCCAGGGGTTGTCGGTCGTCGGGGTTGTGGTGCCGGAGGTACGCCAAGGCCGGGTTTGTCTTGAACTTGTTGACGATGCTCGACAGGCTCTGCGACTGCACGAACTGGGAGGCGCCGGCCGTCGTGCTCGTCGCCAGGATCTTGTACGGGGAGAGCTTCAGGTCCAGGTTCTCCTTTTGCAGAAGTTGGTCCATCAGCGTGATGATCTGGATCACCAGCTGATCCTGTCTCAAATCGTCGCCCAGCTTGTATATGATGGGATAGGTGCTCCCACCGACCGTCTTGAAGGTGCACTTGATAGGGTTCAGCGACGACTTGAAGACCATGACCTGGTCCGGCGCCACGCCCGTGACCTTGATGGACGGGTCCAGCGGGAAGGGAAGCGGCGGGTCGATGGTGAGGAGCTCGTTCTTGGGGTCCGCGAGGAAGCCCTTGACCCGGTCCACCTTTTTCGCGATGGACTCATTGGCGAGCTTGACCTCGGCGGCGAGCTTGGACAGGATGGCCATCATCTCGGCCTGCCGGAGCAGCGTCTTGCGGTCCTCGGCGCCCCCAGGCTGAGTGACGAGCTCGGCCATGAAGTCGTACGCAACCTTGCGGTAGATGTTTCGGTTGTCGATGCCCTGCTCCGGGCTGTGGTCGTCGCACTCGACCATCAGGTACCAGTAAAAGTAGTTTCCAAGCTTGAAATTGGCCGCGGCGCGCTGGATGAGGAAGCGCGCTAGCGACGAGTCCTGGGTGCTCTCATGGTCCGCGTCGGCGGATATATGCTCGTACTTGAGGGCCTGCACCAGCTGCAGCAGATACAGGAGAAGCTCCTCGTCGTCGGCCTTGCGCAGACGATCCACGGCATACGACCGTACGGCGGGATTGTCAAACGAAGGGCCGAGCAGCTCAAGTGCGTCGTCGACGTCAATCTCGGTCCAGCGGCCGAGGACCTGGATCGCCTGCTTGGATTCGCTCTGGTCGCTCCAGTTGACCGACTTGACAAACTTGGTCAGCGCCCTCTTGTCGCGGGTCAGGTGATACCTAAATTTCCAGACCAGATCCGCTTCTTCGGGCGACAGGACGTGGGTTGGCGAGTACGACATGATGACGTTGAGCTCATCGCGGACCTTGGCGTTGGGCTTGAGGTCCTTGTCGAGGATGCCGTGCCGGTGCGAGCTTCGGAAGAGCCGGCGGTGCTTTGCCTCGGCCGGGTTGTCACGCTGCCCGACCTCGGGATCGTACACCTTGATGAGGCGGGCGCCGAAGCCGTCGGCGCTCTCACCCAGTGCGTTGATGCCCGGGCCGAACTGGACCTGGGGCTGATGCTGAGCGAGATTGCCCTGCGACAGGGACAACGACTGCAGCGACGATATCGGGGGCGGGTCGTACTCGTGGTCGGCAAAGACGACGGGAAAGTCGAAGCGCGGCAGCTCGACGTTGAGCAAGAAGGTGGAAGTGCCGTTCCGCCCGTCGTCGACGGCGTCCTCGTCTTCGGGGTCGGCATCGGCGCCGTCGCCGTTGAGCGCGCGCTGGCGCTGAAGCATCTGCATGGACGACTTGGCTGCCTGCAGCCCGCGCTTCTCGAAGCTGCGAAAGACCATCTGATCGAGCCAGTCAACGCGCGGAATCTCGCCCATCTCATGCTTCTTGAAGAGCTTCTCCATCCTGTCGAGCTCCTCGGCGTCCTTGTCGAGGACGGCCGCGTCGCCGCCCTTAGATCCCGGGCGCCTCCGAGCCGAGACGAGGGCCGGTGTCCTCGAGCTATCGGTGCCATCGGCGTGCTTGTGCCGATGGACGAGGCACTTCTGGCGGCCCTTTTGCACCTGGTTCTCGGCGTCGAACATGGGCAGGGTGGTGCCGCCGAAGGGGATCGCGTGATCGGTGGCGCGCTTGCCGCCCGTGGGCGACAGGTCCCATATCGTGATGGCGAGACGGGCGTTGACTGGTAGTTGCTTGTAGGATATGGGCAGCTCGAGCCATTCGTTCCATCTGCGCACGTGGTCAGCGTGGTGTCTGGGGGCAACGGGCATCTGCCCTTCGGAGCTGGCTGGGCTGGACGTACTTTCTCTCTGATCGAAACGCCTTGTATGCTGTTTGTACCGGGACTGTGAGCGGTTTGGATCCCGCCCAAACCTGGACGGTTACGAAGAGATCGGAGTGCGGACTAGACAGGTCAGCATGCTGCTGGGGCGGCTTGCGATGCGCTGGGATGAGGGCGGCTCACCTCGTGTTGGATCCGACGTGTCGCAGGTCGGGTCGGTCGAGTAGCGTAGAGTACTTGACGGGTGGCTCGTCGCCCTCGAGGTTCATGCTAGGCGCGGAAGTGTCAGCGAGGCTGGAGGCATTGGGGGCAGCATGCGGGTATCGTACATTCGAACGCTGACGGGGTGGTCGACATCCTTGGAGCCCGCAAAGGAGAAGGGGTCCATCCTCCCGTAGTCGGTCATGATGGCGGCGGCGGAGCGAGTCTCATGTCATGCTGAGGGGTGTGGAAGGGCGCGCTCGGGAGGAGTCGTCGCGGAGCGAGGTGGTGAAGGCGGGCGATGGAGATGGGAGGACACTGCGAGCTGCGCCGTCGCGATGGACGCCGTCCGATAGGCGGCACTAGTTGAGTTGATGGATGCAGCCCTGGAGGGACAAGAGGTCGGTAGCTGACGTCCCGGGCGGAGCTGCAGGTCACCCCAGGGAAGCTTGGGTTGGGCACTTGACCCCGCCAGTGGGTCAGACCTAAGGTAGGCTGGAGCTCCAGTCCAGAGCTGTGTGTCACTCCAGCAGGACCAGCCCGCTGTGGTCTGCCTCTCAGCTCATGCAGCAGACATCTCATGCAGCACAGATCAATCCAGTCTTCATCACACAGATGCAAGGCTGCTGCAGTGAAAAAAGAAATTCTATAGTAACAATATCCCTATAAATTTACCTGTGGCCACTCGTGATTATTTACCCACACCATTTGTTCCTCCCAGTGAGTGCCCGTTGAAAAGCAAACCCGCCCCAACTCCCGCCCCGCCGTGGTATCTCTTCGCAGCACAACCAACTCTTTGAACTCAACACAACACAATTCGAATAACAGCAAGTCAAGTCGACGACGACGACAAAGACCTCATCAGTGCTTGCCCTCAATGTGCCACTTAAACACATTGACAAAGACGTCCTTGCCGTCGCCCTCGAGCGTGTCGCCGTGGCAGGGCACCACCGTGTCAAAGTCCCATGCGGCGATGCGCTTGACGCTCTCGGTCAGGCTCGCGCGGTCCTTGGACAGGTACCAGTTGGCGCGGCGCACCCAGGTGGGCTCCTCGCCCTTCTTGCCCTGGGCGCCGAGGAAGACGCGCTCGAGCAGGCCGCCGCTCCTGTTGCGCTCCGCCTCGGGCACGCGGCTGTACTGCTCCGTGGCGGGCAGGTTGAAGAGCAGGTCGGCCTCGATGACGACGCGGTCCGGGCGGTACAGGAAGACGAGCTCCAGGTTGGGGTGCCCGTCGACGTACTCGTACTCAAAGTCGGCGTCGAAGTCGCCGCCGATGCGCGTCTCGCGCTTGTTGGCCTTTGTGAAGACGACGTCGAAGCGCTCCGTGCCGATCTTGGCGTCGCTGCCGGCCGCCTTGTCGCGCTTCTCCTGCAGGCCCTCGACGCCCACCAGCTTGGCCCCCGGGTACGCCTTGGACCACTCGGAGATGAAGATGTGGTGCTCAAAGTCGAGCGCGACGATGTACGCCACCTGCCCGCCCATCTCGGCCACCTTGGCCTTGACGTCGTCGGTCAGCGCCGTCGGCGAGAAGACGGCGAGCGCGCCCGAGCTGAGCTTGACTGGGCGAGTGACACCGTGTCAGTATTTACATCCTGAGCCGCACACACGCACAGTCGATGACGAGGAAGAAAGCAAAATAGTCAAGACGTACCGACGGTGCCTCGGCCGCCAATCTTAATCTTGCCGAAGCGCAGAAACGGCACCGAAAACGTGGCCACGTTGGGCGTCACGTTGCGGATGACCATGACGTCCGCCGGGTTGGCCGGGATGAGCGTGGCCGACATTTCCGCTGGCGTCGACGATGAGACGAGTAGTGATGTTGCTGTTGCTGCTGCTGCTACTAAGACGCCTGCTAAGACCACGATTCGCGAGGTACGTTTCCGCTGTGGTCTGCCGGGTGGATGCGAGTCGAGCTGGGAGTGTCTTGACGATGTAAAGTGTCGTTGCTGAAGGTGTCGTAGCTGTTGCAGGTGCGCCTGCTTCTGCTGAAGTATCTGCTGCTGGTGCCGCTTCGCCGTCGCGGCAGCAGGCACAGAGTTTATAGCAAACGCCGCGCTATCGATGACGCAAAGGGCCCGGGGCACAACTAGCGGCCGCCGCCTCGACGACAACAACATCGACAACGACCAAGACGACACGCCGCGGTCTCCCGGCCGTCCACCGGCGCCGCCGCCCCCGCCGCCGGTGCTGCTCCAGCCACGGCCACCGCTGCTCCTCCACTGCCCCAGCCGCAGATGAGGAGGGCCTCGCATGACAAATGCTGCGACGAGGCTGCGCGGGCCCGGGGTATATGGAATCATCCTATCCCCCGAAAAGGTGGGTGTGCGGTATCGTGTGCGTGTGTGTGTGAGCGGGTATCAACTTTGTTACTAGGTAGGTACGGATGGGTATCATTAGCGACTCTGGTTGCCGAGTACAAGTACAGTGATGGTCGCCGGGAACCTGGAATGATTCAAAAACGCCGTCCTCTGACAAACCCATGCCCGCCCTTCTTCCCTGCCTGTTAACTAGCTGCCCCCGGACCAATTCGCACGAAAACGGGCCATGGTGTCCAGAGGGACAAGAGAGAGCTTGGGCCCTCCTCCCGCCCCATTCCATTCCTTCCGGGCTATCCATGACATCAGCAACTCAAATCATAAAAAATCCATCCAGCGCGGCGGCAGAGAGAGAGGGCCTGCAGGGGCCCATGGCGTCAGCCACGAGGGCGGCGCTACGCACCACCTGGCACTAACCACCACTGCCACCACCGCCGCCGCGGCGCCGCCATCTTCTGCCCGCTGCTTCGGCTCCGGCGGGGCCTTCTCCACCAGTAGGTGGCTGCTCCATGGCAGCCCTGGAGTGAGTGCTCAACAGCTGCAGGGCTGCGGCTACCGAGGCTCGGCGGGGCCGCCGGGCCCTGGCGCTGCCATGCTGCCCTCCCACTGCCCTAGGCCTCCACCGCAGCGTTCGGGCTCCACTGGGCCACCCGGGCTCCGGCCGCGGCGCCGCGCCGGAGGAGGGATGGAAGCCAGCCAGGGAAAGGAAAGGGCCCTGAAGATCCCGCCCCCGTCCGTCTTTCAGGGCCACGGTCCGCCTTTCTTTTCAAGGTTGTTTTGGCTTCTCTCCTTGTTTGTAAGCCGAGTTAGGTACTTCTATGGTGCTTGTATGTAAGCTCATGGATGGGCTGCTGCGCACAGCGTCCATGCAGGGCAACCCGGGCAGCATGAATGTGATTCCATCATGCCATAATCTGACAGAGTGTACATTCTACCCAAGTTACCAAGTTTCTTCCTGCACTCGCACCTTGCACAGACCTATCTTATGAACGGAGCATGATACAATGCAATGCAATGCCTGCGTGCATGTACGGGCATGTACGGGATGTACGAACGTCAATAGCTCCCAGCCTGCGGTGACCATCAGCGAAGGGGGGGCCGAACCACCACTACCGGCCGTCGGAACAGAGCCATGTGCTCCATCCAGTCCATCACTTCACGAATGCATGCACGTCAGAAAACGAGGCGCCCGAGCCACGCTCATACCGGCAAAGCGCCTCTCCTCTCAACGCCGAGTTCCAAATTTCCCCATCTATCAGAGACCGCCGCCGCCCGCTCCCAGCAGCGACGAACGGAAAGCAACTAACTTACTGCGTACGTTGGCACCAATTGCGGCGCTTGTTGGCTTGGAGCGACCGGAGGAAGCCTTGACAAGCGACGCCGTCAGGCCTATTGCCCTTGGCGCCAGGAACCACCCAGCAACACCGCACACGACCAGCACCCCGACGACGACACAGCATCGAGTCCAGCCAAGCCTTCGACGCAGCTTCGCCGTCGTGGCCCATGCCCGTCTCGCGAACCGCCAAATGCGGACCGCTGCCCCCTTCACAGCCCACCAGATGCCGTGGTAGAACCAGTCCCTGCTCACAAGCCAGCCCATGCCGTTCCAAGCCCATAGCCCACAGCGACAGACCAAGCTCGTCAGCCAGTCGGTGTGAATCGCGAGCTCGACCACCCAGTCCCACGTCAACACCAGCCCCAGCCCCAGAAACCGTAGCCTCACCCACCACAGCGTCGGATCCAGGCCGACCATGGCCAGCAGCGACGAGTGGTCCCTCGTGCCGCCGCGCATCTGGCCCGCCAGGTACGAGCGCGTGTAGTTGTTGGCCCGGTGCCAGATGTATTGCTGGACCAGACACTCGTAGTAGGCGTGTAGGGACGCGAGGATGAGGACGTGCCGGGTCACCCGCAGCACCACATCCGGCGCCGGGAGCGTGGGCATCCTCGGTATGATCCAGACAGTCTTGTTCGCCCGGATCAGGCCCTTCTTGTCTGACAGGCCTGTACGTGCCGGATTCATGCCCCGCTTGCCTTCCAGCTCTTGCTCGAGAGATGGTAAAGACGTCGCGCGGCTGCGGAATACCGTGCCTTTGACGAGTGCGAAGACGAAGTGAATCCAAAGCCAGCAGAAGACGAGGACGTCGCGCCATGCCATCAGCTCTCCAGAAAGGTAGGACGAGTAAGTCTCCCGGTCCGCGTGAGGCCGCGTGCACGGGATTTGCTGCTCCAAGCTGCCGTACGCCTGCGATGCCTGAGCCATCGTGCCCGCCACCATCTGCTGCATCCCCTGCAGGAACCCGGGGCCCGTCTTCTTCTTGTCGTCCCCAAGGCGGTTGTGGGTGGCCGTCTTCGCCTTCGAGCCCCCCGTGAGCCATGATGTCCAGGACGCCAGGCCCCGCTTCCGGTTCGGCGTCGTCGCGCTGCCCTTTTTCGACCATGGCTCGAATGCGTTCTTGCCCGTTGGCGGCATTCGAGGGGACCCCATGTTGGGTGTAATCTTTGCGTTGGGGGTGCCGCTCTTCTCAATTGTCAGCGACTTGCCGGCCCATTTGCTGCCAGTCGGGTTCTTTCGTGCAATGTCAGCCTCGTCGACCTTGCGGCGGAGCGTGGTGTTCTCCTCCTTGAGGACCTCCGCCGTCTTCTGGTGCTCGGTTGCCTTTTGTTTCCACATCTCGACCTGCTTCTCAAGAGCGGCGGTGTTGGTCTTGGAGTTGTTGAACCCTGCCAGGCCACTACCTAGAGCGCCCGCCAACTTGTCCTTGTCCTGCTGCTTCTTCTTTTGCTGAGCATCGGCTTCTTCACCATCCCTCCGGCCTCCGAATCCAAACCACGAGCTGGCGAGCCCCTTCTTCTGCGATGCATCCTTTGCGCCCCTAGCTTTCAAGTCGATACCGAGCTCCTTCTCAAGGGTCTGCAACACGGTGGTACTCTGCTTGAGCTCCATCTTGAGCTTGCTGTTCTCCTCAGTGAGCTTCGACTTCTCCTGCGACAGGGCCTTCATGGCCTCGGCCTCGGCCTCCAACCTGTCGATGCTTGGCGCGCGTGTCCGCTTGCGAACGCCTGAATCCCGGCTCCCGCCCGCCCACGCGCGAAGGTGCTTGGCGGCGACGTCGTGGTTCGCATCGACCGTCTTGCGGAGGCCCTTTTGGTGGCTCGCAATCTTCCTAAGCATTTGGTGGGCTGCGTTGCAGGTAGCGTTGCCGCACTTGGGCTGCGAGGCAATCAGTGCCGACACGGGGTCGCCGCTCGCCATGGCGCAGTGATCCTGCACGATCTTGGTCATGGCGACGGTGGCCCTGAGGAGGGCTTCCATGACGGAAAGCTGGGCGTCGGCCTCGATGGGCTCGTTCAGCAGCCTGGTTAACTCTGCCATGCATTGTTGCTGCTCCCTCGGGTTGAGGTAGCTCATGTCGTCGATCGGGTTGTTGGGCAATGGCGCCTGCCCCTTGACCGAAGGCCCCGTGGCCAAAGGTCTGCTGGCTGCAGGTCCCTTGGCTGAAGCTCCCTTTGCCGTCGCCTTTGGTTGTTGATTATTGGGTTGTGCGTCTTTCGCGCCAGGATTGTGAAGGTCGCGAGCGTGCCCCGTCTTACCCAGTGCCTGGCTGAAAGGAGTTGCTCCATCACCGTCGGCGACTGCTCCGTCCCTGCGTCCTGACGCCGCCATGTTCCGGGGCGCACCCCGGGCTCTATCCATGTTGATGGTACTTTTGCGTCACCAGATTCGGGAAGTAGACACGTCGTATGTGTTCGTTTATGGCCTGGTAGTGTCTGGTGTTGAAGAGAGATTTCGGACCAATCCAGTGGGGATGCGGGGGGCTCGCATCCTCTCCATCCGTAGGCTTTATACTATCGACCGAGCCGCCGCTCTAGTCTTTGTCGACTTCAGGACGCTCTGTTCCGTCCCTGTTCTCGTCTATGCCCGGCCATCTCTTTCAGTCGACGACAGCACCGGGCCGCATGGTGGCTCGATCACGCACTCCGCGGACTGAACGCTTCGCGCCGACCTGGCTCGGTCGACAAAGCCGGAACACAGCTGGAGAGTCCATCGACAATGAAGGAATGCTGGTATTCATCATGGTATCGCTGGTCGTACAAAATCTAGCAGTGTGTGTCGTGAACTCGACCAAAACTTGGTCCCTTTCACGATCAGCTGTACCAGCCCCGTGCGCCAGGGCCACCATGGGTTGCTTCTCTCCGGTGCTCAATCATGGGTTCCTTCAGGTCGAACACTTCTATGATTTCGCGCCACGTCTTCATGTCCATCGACAGCACCGCCTGCTGCTTGGCGGCGCTGTGACGCACGGTCCCTTCCTCATCCGCTTCCCTATCAACGGGCGCTGGTCAAGGTCAGTGGCAAGACGATCAACGCAGCAGGGGCAAGGACTCACCAAGAGCCGGTAGATCAGATTCATCAAAGGCAATCTCGACTCTCCCGTCGCGGATGAGGAAGCTGACGTAAAACATGTTCTCCACGGTCTGCGCAAAGGACTTTGGGTTGACGACGAATCGCATGAGGTCGATGCCGCCCGTGCTTCGCAGGCCATGCTCGTGCATGATCCTTGTCTTTTCCTCGTCTTCCATGTCATCGTCTAATAGTTCCATGACCGTCTCCTGCGCCTCGGCCTGGATCTTGTGCAGTTGCTGCAGAATCTTTCCGCAGATGGCCGTCAGGTCGTTCTCCTTCTTTGAGAGATCATCCACGTTGAGCACCTCGGGCCGCGTCTCCGTCAGGTCGTTTGCCCGAAATGGGGCAGTCCTCTTGGTAATCTTGCGCGCTTTCTTCTCCACGGATAAGGGCCCGAGCAGGAAACCCGGCAACGCAGGCCGGCGAATATGCGGCAAGCAGGCGAAGCGGCCGAGATGAGGCCAGTTCATCATGTCGCCTTCGTCGCCAATGTCCTCGTCGTCATCGTCAGAGCCTCCGCGTCGCCGGCGGTGCCGCTGCGTGCTCGACAGCTCGGGCGCATTGTCGTCGGATATGCCGCCCCCACGACGCATGTAGGTAATGCACTTGGAAACAAACTCGTCGACGTCGAGCCCCTGCGAGAGGCTGCCCTGCGTCAGGCGCAGCGTCTTGCGGTACGAAAGATCTGTGGTGGTGACGAGCAGCCGGGAGTCGATGGTTGCCTCGGTCGTCTGTTTCAGCTTCTTGGACAGCGCGTCGGCCTGGAGGATTGTGTCGTGCAACCCTCTCGAGTCTTTGCTTAGGAATTCTTCGCCATGCTCCGTGATCTGTCGCAGCATGTCCCTGTACTCCTTTTGCACCCTGCGCCGCTCCTCGACGGGCTGGTCGGGATCGTAGACGTCGTCGGAGTCCTCGCCATCGCTCGCGTCGGGCGGTGCCGTTCTCTGTCGGTGGTTTGCCTCTCCGTTGGCGGTGTTGCCGCGCTTTCGCTTGCTTCCGGAGACGGTCCGTCCCTCGGATCGCTGCCTGACGGCCAGACCTTGATGAGTAGGAGACGGCGAGGGAGACGTGACGGAATCGTCGTCCTCTTCGGGAGAGGACTGAACGCGGGTCGGCATCGCGGCCAGGGGCCCGGCTGCGGACCGTGAAGCGCGTGCTGGTGGTCTGGGCGCCCGGGCGGTGTCGTGCATGCAGCCTCTGTCAGGATAAAGTCCGCGCTCGAGGATGAGGGCGCCGGTGCGTTGATTCGGTAGAGCGTCCCAGGTTGCGTCGTGACCAAGCCGAAGTGGTTGACGCGACGAGTTGCGTGCCGCCACTAATGGGAAGTGGCGCCCCGCATCGCATCCAGGGCGTCCTTCCCACCGCGTCCAGCGCGCTGAGCTCAATGTGCACCCACCGTCGCCTTACCCTGGAGCTTCGCCTTCAACTCACTCTCGCAGGTCTGCCCAACGTAGGGCCACCTGCGTTTCGTTGGTCTTCATGCTCTTTCACTGTCTGGAGCAAACGAAAGGGCTTGATGAATATCTCGTGCTTTCTTCGCCCTTGAGCGCACCGGGCAGAGTCATTGTTATGCAGTTGGTTACCCAAAGCCCGACTTCGTAGTATGACAAGCGACCGAGGCGTCGCATTCGACAACAATGCCACCCTCTCTCGCGCGGCCTGGTCCCGATGCAGGATGCTGCATCTGTTTGCGTTGCACGTTGACGGAAAATCATTGATACTGTATATAGCACCCGGCGGTGTAGTCTGTCGTTGGCGGGAAAGTCGCGTCCATGGACAGCCCGCGGGGTGTAAGTGGCAGACATGTCGGCCCCTCACGACATGTCATGAGACGGTGTCCCAAGGGTGGCAGGTGGTTCGCGCCCCGGGTGTCCAGCAGACCCAACTGCTTTAGCCGCCCAGCGTTGGCAGGCGGCGGCGACGGCCTGGTGTGAGCCCAAGACGAGCAGGCCAGCTTGTGACCATCTCAGATGCAGCAGCGGGCAACGTCCCGGCCACAGCTCCGGGGCCCCGACATCTCGGACCACTCTGCGCCCTTTTCACTTTGCATTGAGCAAAAGGTTAGAAAAAAGCATATTCAAGAGTTTGCTCCGTGGCGTCCGCCCACGTTGGAAGCCAAGCATCGCGGCTGCTGCAAGTCTCACCCAGGAGCGGAGACGGAGAGACATGGACAAGGGCATCAGCCTCACTGTTGAGCGGTTTTGCTGTTCCGACGGATGGGACTCCGTCTCCTGGAGCGTGGATGCCGTGGCAGGCCTCGCCTCAGCACGGCGCCGAGACAGGCACCGACCGCGCGGACCCTGCGTTGGGCTGCCACACGAGGCATGGGCCGCCTTCAAACAGTCGCCACGAGTTCAACAGGTTGAACGATGGCGCATCCGCGGTGAGATGGTGTCGACCAGACGAGGGATTCCGTCAGCCACTCGGGCAAAACTGCAGCCCGTCCACATGCCCCGAGCCCCTGACCCGGCGACTACTGCACGTCGGGTCGACCACGGACCACAGCCTCTCCTGTCGCCCTCAACTCTGTTCGACGAGACGCGCCGTGGAGTGGAACTTTGGGGCGAGGCACACGAACAAATACCCCCCCAGGACGGCGGCGTGCAGGGCCAAGAGGCCAGACCGCGCGGGTACCGCTCTGGATCGCAACGACTCGTAAGCTGCATTGCTTCTGCCAGATTTGCGGTCTGGACGACGTGGGACTTTGGCTCGCTGCTCCCTGGGCGTGTCGTGACTGACATCTCGATTGACTCGGCTTGGACTGCATCATGGACCGGGCAACTGGAGACGAGCACAGACGCCAAAACAAGGCACGCCACGATGGGTGGAGAAGCCCCATCGTTTCCCGTTGCTGCGGATTGCTTAAAGGCGCGCATCGCCTGGACAGCCGGATGTATGCACTGGAGCAGACGGATCGCAGCACGGCGGCCGCCAGCCCCCACCAGGGCAAACGAAACAAAGGGCCCGCTCGTCGGAGTCCGGGAAACGGGAGGCTCGGGTTGCTGCTGCGCCTATGGTTGTTGCGCGGTCGCGCGAATATGATACGAGGTCGAGGGCCGAGTGTTTTGTGTTGTCTGTTTGCTCGGGTTGGGTTGCAACAGACAGGGCCAAGCCGGCGCCTCGCAGGCTCGCATGCAACGCGCGCACCTCTGTTTGCTCCTGCCGCCGTTGATGATACTACTGAGAGTACTGTACTGTAGTGCTGCTGCCCCTACGTGCAAATGTATGGAGTAAATCCAGTGCCAAGTGCAGAGGTGATGGCAAAGTGCTACGGCAAGTAAGTACCTTGGCCGGACAGCTCTTGCCCACCGGCTCCGCGGCCCACAAGCCGCAGCAGCAACGTTGGGTATCCCTCGAGGCAGGTGCGCAGTGGGTTGTGCCTGCTGCTCTCGGCATCATGTACTCCGTACAGTAAACAGCGAATGCCCGTTCCGTCGTCGCTTTCCCATCCCACTCGCCGCAGGGCGTTTCCCCTCTTTAACCAGCGGAGGCGGCTGCCACCTCCACCGCACAAACGCCCTCCAACCACCAGCAGTGTCAGCTGTCGCCTTTTGCTCAGCCGCTGACGGTTGCCTCCAGATCCCAGCAGCTTGATGGTGACCACACGACCACGACGGGCGCCAGAAGCCAGCCGTTCGGGGCGCGTCGGCTTCCAGTTCCCGCCGCGGCGCCTCGTCACCCCACCCCCGCGGGGCCGGCCCCCCTCCCCAAGAACTCTAGGAGAGGGAGCCAGTGGGAAGGACGGAGGAAGGGCAAAGACGCACGTCCAATACAGCGCTGTACGAATGCTGCACTCGTCCCGTCAACCTTACTCTTGTACTTGCAGGTGTCACAGCTCCACCACGCGGTGGCGCGCCGAGCGCAAGCCTGCACGGCTTCGGCACGGACAGCAGTGAGGGCAATCGTTGTGCGGCGCTGGTCGCTGGGGCCACGAAGAGCCACTCGGGCAGATGAGGTGGGCAGTCTGCAGGAGTCTGATGGACCCATCCGTCCGTTTGCCCATGACAGCGATAGCGATTTACCCCGCCATCCCGCGACGCCGTGTAAGTGCCCCACGAAAAGGCGCGCGTTGTCCGCTAACTGGGCTCCTGGAGCTCCTGCTCCTCTGCGCTCCCAGACACCCAAACACCTCAGGCTCCCAGTCCCAGCCCAGACAGAGGCGGCGGGATGGATCATGGATGCTCTGCGCCGTTCCTCCCCTCACCTGCCCAGCCCAGTCCAGTCCAGCCCAGCCAAGCCATGGAGCTCCATCCATCTCTGCGTGGCCCCCTCCCTCCCGCCGAGCTGCTAGCTAAGGCAGGGCACCTTAGCTTCGCAGCCGCAAGGTACCTTGCCTGGCGTTGCTCCGCCCATGCCAAAAGAGTCTCAGCGGTGCATGCTGTGCATGACGACGCGGTGTCGGTCGCCAGCCGACCAGTCTGTCTCGTCGCCCGGTATCCACCGGCCAAGGGAGGCAACCCTCCCCCGGTTTGGGTTATAAGCGGCTGCTGCCCGTCGACAGTTGACAGCCTGGCGTGCGCACGAGTGACGTTTCTCTCCTTTTTCAACTTCGTCGTCGACTTGCCCCGACGACCCCAGGTCGAGCCGTTTACCGTGTTCCCTGTGATCTCACTCTGCCTAAGAGCCTATACGGCGTCTTGGCCATCGCCACGCTCCAGTAAAGCTGGTTCTTGCCTGGACAGACTGACATCGTCGGCGCGGCCCGTCTCCTGATCCCCGCCTCGTGCGACCTCACGTGTGCTCTCGCTCCCTCGCCACATCAAGCACCGCTTGGCCAGTACGCGGCTCTCAGCACGGCAAGCAAACGCGGACGGTGTCCTGAGCTTGCTTCTTGTTGTGCCGTGTCGATCTCTTCAAGAGCGGCCCCTCTCATCTCTTGTATGTCGGCCTGATCCGTGTCAGTGTTTGAAACCACGTCACGGAGGTCACATCATCCGAGCACGCTCTACGCGTTGGCCTCGACCCTCTACCCATCCGTAACGGATCTGCCACCACGTACGCGCATCACTCGCCCGTGTCCTCGGTCTGACCGTACTCCTTGCCCGCGCCCTCGGTGAGCCTTGCCGTCTTCATAAGCACGTGCACCGGAACCGATGCTGGGCCCGTCCATCACTCCTCTCTGTCCGCCCTCGACTCTCAACTCGCTCGACTTCGTTGGCCCATTATGACGGGACCTATTTCAACCCCTCGCTACAGCCACGATGACTTTGAGACGGCATCTATTCGATCTGCCGCCCCCTCATATGGTGAGTTCCGCAAGCCCCTCTACACGCGGGCATCTCACGGAGGCCCTATCATCCGGCGTGACCACCGAGCCAGCAGACAGCTGACACCCTCGACAAGTCTCCGAAGCTCCATCATACCACTCAACCGCCCAGTACTCAGACTCGGCGCCGCCGTATGCCCCTCGCGGGGCGGCCCCGGCAGCGGCCGGTGCGCCTGCCCGGAACTCGTCTTCCACTCCTCGGCCTCGGACCATAGGCCTCCCGCCCATCCCTCCGCTCGCTCCTCAGAGCGCCGTCGCCCTCCCCAACTTCCGCATCCCCACCTGGTCTGCGAACAACGCGCCCGCGGCCCGCCACTACCGCAACGTCGCCGAGCGTCGCATCACCGATGGCCGCTACCTGAGCGACGGCCCGGCCGGCAGGCGCTACAGCGCCGCCAGCACCGTCGACCGCACGCTTGACCACCAGACCGGCACGCAGACGACCACCACGCACGAGGTTCGCCCCCTGGAGGACCCCTACCTGGTCGGAGAGGTGGCTGCTGCCCAGGCTCGACGAGAGCGCCTCGCCCGCGAGTCCGGCGAAGACGTCCTTCTGAGAGAGGACCGCCAGTGGGACTGGCTTCTAGGTGCGTGGTACTCAGGCTACCTGTTTCCCTTGTCATGGAGATTTGAAGCTGACCGTGTGTGTTGCTGCTGTCAGCCCAGATGAAGAGCTGGGACGAGCGCGAGCGGAGCTGGGCCAAGTTCCGTCGCGACCTCGACAACACGCAGCGCAAGAAGCTGCTCCACCGCATCGGCGGCCGTCTCCTCTCGTGAAACAGAGCCGGCGGCCCATCTGCCCATCTTACCCCGGGGGTGCCCCCTTTTCACACTGAGCGCACACACCTACCTCTTTCACGAACGCATGACCGCATCTGACCGGCGCAACTGTCTAGAATGGACTCCTTAGGGTGCACTCTCACATCACTCCGCCAGGGGCAAACGGAGTTTTGCTCGTATTCGTTTTCTCGTCCCTCATTCGATATGGTTCGCTTGCCAAGGGAAACGCACCTTTGCTTGATGTGCGGTACATAGGTTTTGGTCACGATGTCATACGCGGTCCTGAGGACGCGCAATATAGGGCCGCTGCTTTTGGCTTAAAGCACCAACGCGTACACTGCACGTAGACCTTTTGAGATGAGCGATGGCGCACCACGCAGCGTGGGAGCGCGTGATAAAGTCATTCATGTACCTACGCAAGACATTGCAGCTTCGCTTCTGTCTCGCGCGCCGCCTCAGCTCTACCTGCCGCCGTAAATATACACGTCCCATAACGCCATGCCCCATGCAGCTTGTAAGAAATTGCTTGCTCTTGTCGTCGGGGACGACAGGGCGGTGCTCTGCGCTCCAACAGTACTCTGTACACGACTCGGTCTGGTTTCGGTGGATGTAGTAGGACCCCGCACGGAGTTCAGCCCTTGGCGCGCGTGTTGAGGAGCAGGGCGACAATGAGGCTATCGAGCTTGTTAGCGACCGGAACGTGAGGCTGAGACGAGAGCAGCTTACCCGTAGAGACCCAGAACCTCGCCGAAAATGAGGATCAGCACCATGCCGACAAAGATCCTCGACTGCTCCATGTATGCGCGGACGCCGTTTTCACCGACGATGCCGATGCAGTAGCCAGCCGCGAGGCCAGTCATGCCGACGGAAATGCCGCATGCGAGATGCAGGAAGCCGCTGCCGCGCAATGTCAGCCGCCAAGCTCTCGGCTATGTGCAGAGAGGAGGGGTGTTGGGGAGGTCGGGGACGTACGAGAAGAGGGAGTAGCTTTCCTTGTCCGGGGGATTCAGGTCCTGGGCGATGAGGACGGAGATGACGAGCGAGTACACGGCGATGATACCGGACATGACGACGGGGATCAGGCACTGCGGCGTGTCAGATGGCGTTGCTCGGTGCGGGGAGGCGGCTTCGAGAGGGATGGCGCGCATACCTTCATGATGAGGTCCGGTCGGAACGTTCCTACACCCGCGATGCCAATGCCCGACTTGGCGGTGCCGTAGGCGGCTCCGATGCCTGCGAACAAGACGGTTAGAAACCCAGACTACACCGGAGTCGACGCGCAGCGCGCGGAGAGGAGCCAGAGCTTACAGCCAAAGACCATGGCGGCGGCGATGCCGGCCTGCGAAGAGGAAGGGCCGCGTTAGCAATGTCCAGCGCCAGGTGCGCGCGTCGTCGGCGGGCAGGCGGCCTTACCATCCCGATGAAGGGGGCGAACTTGGGGGAGAGCTCAGACTCCATGATGGCGACGGCGGAGTATGCGCTGCGCTGAGTCGTCGGCGTCGGCGGCGGCAGTCAGGAGGGGGGTGACTTCGGGGTTCGTGAGGTCGAGGAACGGAGCTTGGAGCAACGACGGCCGCGAAGCTGGTCACTCAGTCGCCCGCGGGTGAGCGAGCGAGCTGGCGTCATGGCAGCCAATCACGGGGACGCGGGCGGCCGCCTGACACGGCACGTGATTTAGCACGCCGTGTGCTCTCTCGCCCGGGCGAGTTCGTTCCAAACTATGGTCGTGGAGCCGCTTTGGCAGCGGCGACGGGCGGCGGGCGACTAATCACAAGTACCTCCGTACCTCGAGGCTTGTTTTAGCAGGCTTTCCCACGAGCGCGCCAAGGACTAACGGGGGACAATTCCAGGGCCCTCCAGCGGCGCCCCTAAGTTGCCCGACCGGTAGGTTAGGTTTTTAGGCCCAAATGCTTTGTTGCATTCGGGGGGCGAAAAGAGGGTAGGTTCCTGGGCCTGGCATTGTGTTGCTGTGCTCCTTGTTTTGTGTGTTTTGTGTGCGTTTTTTGCCCGTTCTGGCCCCGGGGCGGGAGCGGCTCATCGGCATGGCTCGAAATACGAATACGCACCGCCATGATAGCCCGCGCGTTGGTAGCAGCCACTACGATTCAAAGGCATTCTGTGGTGGTGAGCGCCGCTAATCAGATACTGTACTTGTATTGTCCGTGGGATGAACCAGTCAGTCGCCCGCGGGTGGACGGAGCGCGTGCGCTGGCTGGCCCCCCGGAGATACGGTGCCGCTGGTGTCCGCTCCGCGCGGGCAGGGCGCGTCTGGCCGTGGCAGAAGCCCCTGACAAAGGGCATAGACGAACCTCAATGCCCCAGGGCAATGGCGTGGTCCGGATTGGCGGCCCTGATAGGCAAGGTATGGAGTCGAGCGCAGCAAGGGGAGGGCATGCAGGAGTGCCGGGTGGCCGAACAGGGGCTGGCACCGCGCAGTACAGCGGGCACCACCCTGCCGCACTGCCATCCATTGAAGGCACGGCGGCATTGGATGGCAGGCCAGTGGACCACCACCACCACCACTACCACCACCACCACCGCCATCCGACCCTGACCACAGCGTAGCGCAGCCCTGGAGTGCAGCGACCCAGACCCTCCATCCGCAGCGCCCCCCCAGCTGTCCACCAGTGGAGAGGGAGGCGGCGTCCAGTCGCTGCGACCTGCGCCTCAGCACAACGACACAAACGGCTAACTTGGGCGTCGGGCAGAGCCAAGTTCGTTGAACCTGCAAACCCTCTCGATCCACTCGCTCGCTCGCTGCCTGTTCCGCTCCCTCACCTCACCTCAACTTCAACCCTCACTCCTTTCGCAAAACTGCCAACGCCGACGCCCGCCTTCCCCCGGCTCCGCGACCCCGACTGCCAATTGCCAGCTCCGCCCGGCGGAAACATTCCTGTGTCCTCCGGAGGGTGCCATCGCCCGGACACTGGACACCTTTTCCCTCTTCCCCCCCCGTTCTGCTGGCCAGGGCCTGCGACTCCGCTCCCGCGCTTCCCCCCCCCTCGATCGCCCACCCGAGCGTGCGAAGTGAGCCGGAACGATAATACCCTTGGGCTTGGGCAGGGACCACGACACGGCCTTGGCCTCTTCGTTGCTACTGTCGCCGCTGCCGCTGCCGCTGCCGCCGCCGGCCGACGACGAAGAAGCGCTGCATAACGACTGCCGCGTCCGCCACGCTCGCTTGGCATCGTCCGTCTCCCTCCTTGTCGTTGTACCTCGTCGTCGCCGCCGTCGCCGCCACGTCCTGCGAAGCCTCGCTCGCTTGGCGTCGCTGCGGTCCTCGTCGAACATCCCTTCTCCCACGAGTTTTGCCGCACTCCACAGGCACGCTCAGATCGAGCACGTCGACACCGACGGCGGCGCTTCCCCGTCGAACGTCGACTGTCCGGCCATCCGGTTAGCCGCGATTTTGGGCTCTTGACTGCTGGCGGCCCTCGAGGCTTGGCTACGGTTCGTTGCAACGCCCCTCCCCGCCCCCTTTGGCTCGCTGGCCTCCCGTTGCCGTTGCTTGGTGTTCAACACCACTAGGCCCGCGCCACATCTGCCTTCGCGTGAGCACAGTGTCCGGCTGACTGGAGCGCCTCACAGCCCTCACAATGTCGGATTATCCCTATGATCCTCGAGCGGCTCCGCAGCGCCCACGCGGCTACCCCGAAGCGAACAACCACCAGCGAGATGCCGCCTTCTCCAACATCTTCGGCGCTGCTCCTCCGCCCGGCCGATCCCAGACCATGACCTCGTCGAGCGCGTACCCGGGCATGATGGACCCGGGCAGGACCCAGACCATGTCGTCGATGGGCGGCCCGGGCCAGCATCGCCCGCCGCCTCCCCGAGCGCCGCCGCAAGGCCCGCCGCAGGGCTACCATGGTTACAGCGATCGCGATCCCATGGCGGGAAGGAGTCGGCCGGCAGACCCCAACGGCTACTATCCTTCTCAGCGCTCGGCATCCGGGGGACAGGTGCCTTCTCCACAGGCGCAGTACATGCAACAACAGCAGCAGCAACACCCGCAGGCCCGGCGTCCCTACACGGGCGCCGGCAACCCGCCGCCGCGATTTGAGTCTCGCGGCCCGCCTCCGCAGGCTGCCGGGGCCAGATATCAGCAGCAGCCACAACAGCAGAGGCCGTACCCCGGGGGGCCTGGTCCTGCGCCGGCCTTGAACAGCGATCCGTATCGCTCGCAGTCTCTCGCCTCCGCGCCGCGCCCGCAAATGTATCACCCACCCCCGAGCTCGTATCAGCAGCAGTCTCCCGCGAATCACTTCCGACATGCGCAGTACAGTCATCAAAACTCGGCCAGGACCACGGCTCAGGGCAGGGTGGTCCCAGAGCGGCACGAGGACCGCTCCATGTCCATGACGGGTGGCTATCACCCGCAGGACAGGGACGCCCATCAGACGATGAGCGGCCGCGTCATTCCGAATCGGCGGGCTCCCGCCGAGCTCCCAGTGTCCAACGGCTACCCGGCGCAGAATGGGTATCCGAGCGCGCCTGGCTCGCAGACGCGTACGACGAGCATGTCGTCGTCCACCGCCGGCCCCAACCACTCCAGGACCATGTCGATGGCATCGAGCATCGCACCAACGATAACACCATCCGAGTCGGATTCCTCCACCCTCGTTCAGCGCCCGTCCCGGAGCAAGTCCGTCGAGAGCGACCGCCCTGCCACTGCCACAAAGATTCGCCCGCCTCTCGTATACCCGGCACTCCTCTCCAGAGTCGCAGAGTGCTTCCGAAGAAAGATCATCATCGGCGACCGAACGAAGAACGAGCTTACATACAAGAATGCCTTTAGCGGCTCTGAGGCCGTTGATGTCCTGTCGTACATCATCAGGACGACGGACCGAAACCTGGCGCTGCTGCTGGGCCGAGCCCTCGACGCGCAAAAATTCTTCCACGATGTGACGTACGAGCACCGGCTGCGAGACTCGCAGTCAGAAATGTACCAGCTCAGGGAGACATTGATGGACGAGCCTGATGACAAGTCTCCCGTCAACGGCGTCTTCGTGCTGCTCTCAGAGTGCTACTCCCCGACCTGCACGCGCGACCAGCTCTGCTACTCCATCGCCTGCCCGCGGCGCCTGGAGCAGGTATCCAGGCTCAACCTCAAGATGGGCCCCGGCCTGCGCAAGGAAGACTCGGCCAACGTCAACGACGACGAGGTCGACCAGACGGACGAGCAGAAGCTCTGGATCAACTCGGTGCCAAAGGAGATTGCCGACGCCGTCACCGAGCGGGAGAAGAAGAGGCAAGAAGTCATTTCGGAGATTTGCTACACCGAGAGAGACTTCGTCAAGGACCTCGAGTATCTTCGCGACTTTTGGATCCTGCCTCTGCGGTCCAAGGCGTCGCCTATCCCCCTTCAACGGCGCGAGAGGGTCGTCAAGAACATCTTCAGCAACATTGTCGACCACCCCAGCATCCACACCGTCAGCTCGCGGTTCGCAACGTCGTTGACGGGCCGCCAGCAAAAGGACCCCATCGTCCACAACATTGGCGACATCTTCCTCGAGTTCGTGCCGCAGTTCGAGCCTTTCATCTACTACGGCTCGAGGCAGTTGGAGGGCAAGTTCGAGTTTGAGAACGAGCGGTCTAGCAACCCGCAGTTCGCCAAGTTCGTCGACGAGATTGAGCGGCGCAAGGAGTCGAGGAAGCTGGAGCTCAACGGCTACCTCACCAAGCCCACCACCCGTCTCGCCCGTTACCCGCTGCTGCTTGAGAACGTGCTCAAGTACACCGAGGGCGACAATCCCGACAAGGAGGATATCCCCAAGGTGCTGACGGTGATCCGAGACCTGCTCGGCCGGGTCAACGCCGAGTCTGGCAAGGCCGAGAACAGGTTCAACCTGAGGCGCCTGCATGAACAGCTGCGGTTCCGGCCTAACGAGCGGGTCGATCTCAAGCTCACCGAGGAGGGTCGCGAGCTCGTCTTCAAGAGCCAGCTCAAGAAGTCGCCCACGGATCCGACGGAAATCACGGCTTTCCTCTTCGACCACGCCGTCCTCCTCGTGCGCATCAAGCAGACCGGCAAGACTGAAGAGATCAAGGCGTACCGCCGGCCCATCCCCCTCGAACTCCTCTCTATCCGAGAAATGGACGAAGTCATCCCCATCCAGGGTATCAAGCGGTCGTCGTCCAGCCTGATTCCCTCCATCCGGACGAACACGAGCGACGCCAAGAAGGGAGAAGGATGGCCGATCACGTTCCGCCATCTGGGCAAGGCCGGCTATGAGCTGATGCTCTTCGCCGCCAACCAAGCCGCGCGCAAGAAGTGGCTCGAGTTCATCGACAACGCGCAGCAGCGTCTCCGTTCTCGCGCCGACTTTTTCAACACAACCGTCATCTCCAGCAACTTTTTCGTTGGCACCAACCAGATCAACTGTGTCACGCCGTTCGGTTAGCATTTCCCCTGGACGATTGCGACTATGACATGCATGTTTCGTTGTACTGACCTTTTCTACAGATGGCGGGCGCAAGCTTCTCTTCGGCACCGACAACGGCATCTACCTCGCGGATCGCAAGAACCGAGAGCAGGTCCCGAGGAGAGTGCTGGAGACAACAAACGTCACACAGATCGACATCTTGGAGGAGTACCAGCTGCTGCTCGTGCTGTCGAACAAGACGCTGCAGTCGTACTCGTTGTCAGCGCTGAACCCAGACGAGCCGGCTCTCGCCAAGCGGCCGAAGAAGATCCAGAACCACTGCAGCTTCTTCAAGACGGGCATCTGCCTGGGCAGGCACCTCGTCTGCTGCGTCAAGTCGTCTGCGCTGTCGACCACCATCAAGGTGTTTGAGCCCAACGACGCCATGACCAAGGCGAAGAAGCAGAAGGGTCTGGGCAAGTTCATGGCCGGCGGCCAGGACGAGCTGCGGCCGTTCAAGGAGTTTTACATCCCTACAGAGTCCTCTTCCGTGCACTTCCTCAAGTCTAAGCTGTGCGTTGCGTGCGCGAGAGGCTTCGAGGTCGTCTCGCTCGAGACGCTGGAGACGCAGTCGCTCCTGGACCAGGCAGACACGTCGCTCGACTTTGTAGCGCGCAAGGAGGGCGTCCGGCCGATCCACATAGAACGTCTCAACGGCGAGTTCCTCCTCAACTACTCCGAGTTTTCGTTCTTCGTCAACAGGAACGGCTGGCGAGCCCGGCCGGAGTGGCGGATCGATTGGGAGGGCACACCCCAGAGCTTCGCCCTCAGCTACCCCTGGATCCTGGCCTTTGAGCCCAACTTTATCGAGCTGCGCAACATTGAGAACGGCGCGGTGCATATCGTGCCCCATAAGAACATTCGCATGCTTCACAGCAGCACCCATGAGGTTAGTCCACAAACGCTCGTGTAGCTTCATCTGCACTCCTGCCCCCGACGTCGATGTGGCGCTGACCCCTGTTTAGATTTTGTTTGCATACGAGGACGAGCGAGGAGAAGACGTCGTCGAGGCCATCGACTTTTGGAAGAACACGCGCAAGTCGGAACTGCTCCCCGGCTCCATCTCGTCTCCCCAGCTCAGCAATCCGTCATCGCCACGGTAGCCCACACATCCTCTGCGTTTAGGCCACACTGAATAGACTAGAAGTTCCCTGTCATGCCAGGAATATCCTTTGCTGCATGGCCATGGCATATTCGCGTTGCGCCTCGATGTTTTTAACGTCCCTGTTTGCCCTCCGCGGCGCAAGCCACCTCTCATATCCGGCACCGAGGAGGGCTTCCCAGCAGTTTCATACGGCTAGCGATCTTTGCAGCGAGGAGAGAGAGAGACACAGACCGGCTGTCTCGAGAATGCATTTCGGCATTCTACTGGACAGGGGGCGAGAGAGATGATGGGCCGGCCTGGCGAGGCGGGCGTGTCCCCTACGTTGGCGGCACGCAGCGGCTGCGAAGCAGGCGATAGGGGAGAGCTTGGTCCGCGCGCGCGCCCTTTTTTCTATTTTTGTGTTCTTCTTTTCCTTAACCCCCTTCTCGTCTTCCGACAAACTTGATACTCCTTTCGAGCCTGTGGCGGGGGTGGTCTTAATATTCTTGGTTTTGTCTTGTTTGGGCTCCTCCCCGCGTGGGGGTGTTTGTGTTGGGGGGGGGCCAGGAGGGGACGACGACGACGCAAACGCCGAGGCGTATGCGTGCAATGCACGACGAATGGATGGACGCGCGGGCCAGGGAGTCGGTGGGAACGGCAGGAAAGCGGATTGACGACGACGAAGAGGTTGCGTGAGGCGCAGCAGGAGAGACAGAGGGGTAGAGAACCTGAGAGAGGTGTCTTGTACGCTGGAAGATGGCAGGCAGGAGGGTGACGGCAGAGAGAGAGAGTGTGAGATGCCGAGCAGGAAGGAGGGGAGGGGAGGGGCGGGGAGAGAAGCGTGGTTTTAGGGAATTAGCGAAATGTGTGATAACGTTGAAATCATTGCGAAAGGCAAATGGCCTGGCATTTTTTGAAGTTGTGTGAGCAAGTGGGCGGGCTTTGCCGGGGAGGGGGGGAAGAGGGTGTGTCAGTGAAGGAGAAGAAGAAGCTGCTGTGGAGGGGAGAAGGCAGGATCGCGTCTCGGGCCGTGAGTGAGACGTGAGTTGGGGGTCTGGTGACAGATGCTCGCTGGCTGTTGATGCTGAGATGGCCGGTAGGGGATGTCGGAATGGCAGAGGGAGGGGAGGCGAGGCGGTGGACGGTAATTTGCACGTAAATGGATTTCGAAAGCTACCAACTTGGGCCTGGTGCCACATATACACACACATATCATGTCCCATATATCATGGTCGTGTGACTTCTCGTGGTGATATTCTCCCGTAGTGGCGACATGGCGCAAGACCCGAGGACAAGACTTCATGTGAGTTGATAATACAAAGTATAACTACATAATAACAGGATGGGTATTATGCGCGCCCGGCAGCGCCCTTCACGGCCTCCTGCCCCCGAAGCCGCCTGACGTGCGAATCTCGGCGTACGCCTTCTCCGTCCTGACAAATGCATCGACGACGCGCCTGCCTACGACGTCGACGACGCCCCATCGCTGCTCCCGGTTGGGGCGGGGTCCCGTGCGGCCCTGCCACAGACCCATCTCGTCGAGAAGGACTTCTACTACGGTGACGTACTCGACGCCGCTGCTTCCGGCGTGCTGCTGCTGCTGCTGCTGCTGATCGGGGCGGTCGTCACCGTTACCGGTGGTGCTACCGCCGCCATACAAGACATCGGCGTCGGCGCGCGTGCGAGGCATGCGCGTGCAGAGGAGGTGCGTGTCGAGCATCTGGCTGAAGATGAGCCCAAACGAGGGCTTGTTGCGACGGGTAGCGGCGCGAGGGGCACGGTAGGCGGGCAGCGGGATGGTCGGCGGGTTGAAGACGGAGCGGAGGGTCGGGTCGAGCGGCCGGGTGGTGACGGCGGCGCCACCAGGACCACCGCCGGGGCCAGGAGCAGCAGAACCATTTCCCGGTTCGTGCCGGCCGTCGTGGGCAGACGAGGACGTCGAGTTGAGGAGGATAAAGAGCGGCTGTGAGGGCAGGCTGCGCGAGAGGTAGCGCGCCTGCGAGGCGAGCAGCTGCAGGGACGAGTGAGCGGCCGACTTTTCGCGGTGAGCGAACAGCGAAGTGAGGAGCGCCGAGAAGTGTGTGACGAGGACGATGCTGTGACCGTCCGCGCCAGCGCCGAGACCCGTCGCCGCCGTCGTTGCCGCCGTCGGTCCTCGTGTTCCCGCCTCCTGTCCGGTACCTGTTGAAGCCTCTGGTCGCGATACTGCTTGGGGTGGGGACGGCGTCAGGCCCTCGTCCTCGCTGTCCTGAATCTCCGACGGCGGCAGCGGCGACGCCTTTGTCTTGTCATCCTCGCCGATACCGACCTCCTGCTGTCGTTGCTCCTCCATGCCACCTCCTTGTCCAGTTCCCGGAGACTCGGGTGGCGGTGTCGTCGTCTCTGCCGGACGATCCAGCTCTGCGAGAACCTCCCACAGCCCGTCGACGTCAAAGACGCACGACAACATCACCCTATCCAGGCACGCGCGCACAGCAGCCGCATCTTCACTTTGCGCAACATCTGCTCCGCCAGTGCCTCCGGATACGGCCGCCGCAGCCTCCCTCCTCGCGCGCAGCTCCGCGCCGATGCCGTCCCTCAATGCCCGCAGCACCACGCCAGCCGGCCGGGGCGTCACCACCAGCGCCGTCTCAGTCTCATGCGCGAGCAGCATCCTGGCCACCACCTGGAGGCAGAACTGCCCTCAAGACGTCAGCCATCTCCTGTTCCTCCATCGAGAAAGTAATATTCAGGGGCCGAGTGAGGGAGCGAGATACACTCGCGCACTGAGAGGATGCAAGCACGCAGAAGGACAGGCTCAAAGACGTGACATGAACAAGGACAAACATACCGTGAGGCCAAACCCATCCTCATCCTCGCAGCTCACGCCCACGACGCTCCCCCTCTCCAGGCCTCCAGCCCCTAGGAGTGCCTCGTCATCCACCTCCGCGCACCCCACGCCGCAAGGCCCCAGCGCGCGCGCCGCGTTTCTGCGCGCCAGCTCCCCCGCCGCGAGCACCGATGCGGGCACCGGGTCGAGGGGGAAGTGCGAGCTCGCCTGCGAGGCCTGCGGCGCCCCGTCATCGCCGCCGCCGCCGCCGCCGTCACGGTCCATGGCTGCTGGGTAGGCCGGGTTGTTGCCCGGGATGCCGGGCTGCGTCTGTAATTGTTGCGCTGTCTCACGACTCAAGAGCGTGGTGGGTGTAGATTGTGGGCAGCCCCCGTGAACGGAAAGCGTCGAGGTCACTGAGAGGGAGAGAGGTCCATCGTCCGCGAGCCCCGTTTCCGTTCGGCTTCTTGGCTTGGGCGGGTTGGTGCTGTGGCGTGCATCTTCACGCTTGTGTCAAGGTGGTGATGTGGTCGTGTCGGGGTGACGTTAAGTCTTCAGCAGCCAAGTTAATAACCCAGGCCCACCAGGGCACCTCAGGCTGGCAGGCACGACAGCCACTGCTGCCTTCCCTCCACGGCTCACGAAAGGAGTCATTTTCATCACGGCATTCATCACCATCGCTAACATCTAGCTTCGCCCAAGTGCCGCAGCTCCAAAATGGAATGACCAAAGTGTTATTCGTAGCAATCTGCCTAGGGATTCTCCGGCGTATGACCTGCCCTCGTAGCCCTGACCCCTGCGCCAATGTAAAAGAATACTCCATCACACTGTTTGAAAGTATTGAACAAGAAACCACATCGCCAGCATCCTCTGGCCGGCTCGGCCGTCTCTATCCCGCCCTCGGGCGTCGCAGCCCTGCCGCGCCCCGGCTCTGAGCTGCTCATGAGCTCCCCGACGGCGACCTTCCGTGGCGGAACAAGCATCGCCGTTTCGCTCGCCATTGCGCAGCGACACGGATTCAGTCACCACCGCTAGTACGATAAATGGCCCTAGGTACCGTCGGCCTCTCTGCCTACGTGGCCGCCCCCGGCACCGAGCCATGGTCAATGTTCTTCGGCCGTCGCCCTCCCTTCAGGCTCTTCATCCTGCCCAGGATGCCAGTCGGCTTGATCGGGGGCGCCTCCTCGCTCATTGTGGCGTCCGTCGTCGCCCGCCGCTCCAGCGGTCCGCCCGATGATCCTCGACGCGGTACCGGGGGCGGAGGGCTGGTGGGCGACAGCGTGCCGTCCCGGGGCTTGACGCTGAGCGTCTCCTCGCCTTTGCTGAACTCGGCGAAGAAGGGGTTATTGTCGGACCCCACGCTGGTGCCCGTTGCCATCCCATCCGGGGACCGCTTGCCATAGGCGCCGTCGGGGTTCGTCAGCCGGCCGGACGGCGTAATGTCGCGCGGCCCCCTGTTGATGTGCCGGATACGCTGGGCTAGCGACTTCTTGCGCTGGATGCCCACCTCGAAGCTCTCCTGCGCCTGCTCCGCCTGTCTCCGCGCGATTGCTGCCCTCGCCGCCGGCGTGCCCTCGAGGAACGTCGACGTGCCCAGGCCGACGCTCTCGTCACCATGAACGACCGACCCACGGGCAATCGGGTCGAAGATTGCCGTCTCTCTGCTGGCAGGTGACGGGTAGTTGTAGCCATTTTTATTCTTGGCACCGCCGGCGTAGTCGCGGAATGCTTCGTCCGTGGCGTTACCCATGAACACGGCGTGGTCGGGGTTCGCGTTAAGAGGCCCTGCACCGCCGAGCGAGTTGTTGAGAGAGTCCTTAGGAAAGGCGTGCATGGGCGCTCGTCGGCTGCTCTTGCGATTTCGATGGGGGTTCAGGGCGTCAAAGGGGCCGTCGTGGTGGAAAACTGTACGCGGTCAGTAAGAGGCATCGGCGGCGGGCGGTAGGGTGGCGACATACGGCCCGTCCCATATATGCTTGTGGCATCCAGCTGGTCGATGATGTCGAGGCGACGGCTCGGGCGACCCGACCGGGTCCTGTCCTTGCCCTCGCGCGTTTCCTTGCCGTCCTTGCCATCGCGGCCTTCCTTGGCCTCGCGGGACTCCTGGCCCTCGCGACCCTCGCGGCCAGACGACCGCCCTTCGCGCTCGCGGCGTTGCTTGTCGCGCAGTCTCTTTGCTTCAATCATCTTCATCTCCTCGGCCGTCAGGGAGTTGATGACGGACGACTCCGAGTTTCGACGAGGACGACGCTGGGGCTTGCGCTGGGGGGATTCGCCGGGCGGTCGTGCAGCGCCGGCGGGCGGCGGCTTTCGGGCTCTCAATGCTTCCTCTTGGGATCGCGTGGGACGATGGTTGCCGTTGGACGGCGGCTGGCTCTCGCCTCGTTCAGTTGCAGGCTGGCGGTCCATGGGCTGACGTGTTGCGGCGGGAGCGGCGGGAGCGGCGGGGGCGGCGGTCTTGTCGTCGAGCGTCAACGAGTCCTATTTACCAAGCGAGTTAGCTCACATGCGCTGTCCCGGTTGCGTTCCAGTCGGCATGTGGCGCGGCGACGCCAGGAGCGCAATGACGTCTTTGGACGCAAACATGTCCGAGCGACCAACGGTGGGGAGGGCACGCACGAAAATATCCTCGGCGGACAATGACTTGGTTTCGGAACGACTGGACATGGCCCCGGGTGACTTGAGCGGGGGTTGAGCCTGGTCGAGAAAGGGGTTTCGCGACAGCGGCCGGCGAGGGGGGTCGTCGAACGGAGAGGCTGGCGAGGCGAAGGCGGCTTCGATGCTCGACGGGGAGGCTGCGCGGTTGCGGAAGGGGTTGTTCGAGGAGAGGTTGATGGACAGGCCGGCGGAGGAGGAGGACTGTGCGCCGGACGGGTGTTGCTGCCCTGCTTCACGCGACGAGGTTAGCCGGCGGCCGAGTGCATTTACGCATACGCAAGCGGGTATCCGTGCAGAAGCAGAGGACATGAAACACGACAATCCCGCCCACATGACACAACAGAGACGGCAGCTAGATGAGTGGACCGCAGGCAATGCTTGCAACGCTTGCAACGCTGCTTGCAACGCCGGCCCTGGGCGGCACTCCTGTCCGACGGCATTGGCCGGGCTGCCTGGGATGCGGCGAGGCGGGCGGCAAGGGCGCCCTTGGCGAGGGAGGCAGGACGCATGCGGTGGGTTGCGGTGCAGAAACTCTGATTGCGTGGAATGAGGGTCAAACAATCGAGGGGCACACGCTTCTCACCTGGCTGGAAGGAGTCCGAGAAGGACATGTCGGCGGCTGTGACGGATGGCGATTGGGCACCGAACGGCGACGAGGAGGGTGACGAGGCGATGGGTGTTTGGTGTCTAGACACCCAGTCGATCGATCGCGACAGCTGTTGCGGTTGGAGGTGCACCGGGCGACGGGGCTCGAGCGAGAGGCGGTAAATTCCTTAGACGCGGGCGCACGAGGCCTAGCGCTGTGTCATACCAAAGGGGGTGGAGGGGAGAAACACAATGCGATGGATGGGCTCCAAGGGCAGTCGGAGCACAACGCAACGCAGCGCAACAGGTGGTGCAGCGGGCAGGCGTCTACGGCCAGGGCGGGCAGGCTGGCGGCGGCGCCAGCTCCGGGAAAAGGGGGCGCGTTCTCGGTGGATGATTGATAAATGGCCGTTGTTTTGTGTCGATCTGCGGCCGACAAGGAGCAAGCAGCTGGGTTTGTGTTGTGGCCGGGTGCGAGAGCAGGGGCGGCGAGCAAACGTGTGGGAGATTCTGCGGAACCTGAAGAGGCGACTGGGCCGGGCGCGTGCGAGCGTGCGAGCGGCGGACAGGGAGCCGGGTTGGCGATCGGTGTTTGGCTGATGGAGTTTGCTCGGTGGTGGACGGGATGTGCTGTCCCACCACGGCTCCTTTTTTTTCGTTTCGAGGGCGGGCCGCTCTGATTCGGCGGCGTCGTCTCCGTCGCCGAGCGCAACCAGGGACGAAGCTGAAGAGTCGAACGGCCAGCGGCTGCGCGTCGACGGGGGCTGTTGAGGCGATGCCGTCGGGGGACGAGTCGTTGGCTGAGCGAGGTTGAGGAGAGAGGGTTCAGGTACAAAGGGGGGGGAAGAGCGGTTCGACGGGCGAGGCTCAGGGTCTAATACTAGGCCGGCCGGCTGTTAGCAGCTAACAGGACCATGAGCGAATGTGCAGTAGCCGGTGGCAGATGGTATTAGCAGGGCCCTGGCGCAACCCCGGCTGTTGTCCTGTGGTCGTGGATGGGAGGGCCGAACGACGGTTGGGCGAGGGGCTGGCTGGCTGGCGGGCGGGCTGGGTAACTATTGCTGTTCCTGTTTCTGCTGCTTCTGTATGTACTGTACCGCTGCTGCTCTTGCTCTATTGCTCCCGCCAGGGATGGGGGATGATGAGGGGGATGGGGGCTTCGGGATTGGGATGGACGGTGGAGCCAACCGACCTGGAATACTGGCCCCGTCCAGCGCGAACACAACCGTGGCTGCCGGGGTGCTGCTGGGGCGGACGGGCTGCTCGAGTGCCTGGGCTTCGACGGCGCGCGCCACGCAGTCTAGAAAGGGGTTGGCGGCAACGGCAGGGCACGTTGGGGTCAGTTCCTAGCCGCGATGATGGAGGAGCTCGGACGGAGCGGTCGCTCGATCAGATGCTACGAGATGCTCGCGAGAGACGGCGGCGGTGTGGTCAGGTGGTCTTGGCCGACGTCGCTCGACGGCCCTGTGCGAGGGCGGGGGGCTTGCTGCGGCGGGCAGGGGTGGTTGAATACGAAAGGGGGAGCGCCGATCGATTGGCGTGCGTGGTGCCGCGGAAGCGTGCGGGTGATGCAGGCGAGACAGGGCGGGTTGCTGCGACTAAGCTGTGTGTGTGTGTGTGCGTGTGAATGTGAGTAAAGAATTGATGCCCTGGTAAGGTTGCGCGCGCGCGTGCGTGCTGCGAAGCGACGTGATGCGATGCGATGCGATGCGATGCGGATGCGGATGCGGGCGGCGATGGTGGCAGTGGTGGTGGTGGTGACGAAGCAATGGGAAGGGGGAGTGACATGGATGGACGAGATGAACGTCAGGGTGCTCGGTAGCCCCCGCGGCGTTTGTTGGGCCAGGGCACAAGCCATCCATGCGGGTGAAGCTATAGGACGAAGTACCTGCGGCGGCGGTGAGGGCCAGCGGGTTGCTCAGGCACGCTGGCCACCTCAGTAAGGTACCTACCAACGAGGCCCTGGAAGCAGGAGCCCTGGAGCAACCTATTGAAACCGCTGCGCTGCACGCACAGGCGACTTGAGGCCCAGCGCCAGAACGGGAACACGCGAGGGCAGCCGCCTCGAAAAGCAATGCCGTCAGGGCAGCCGATGGCAGGTGCCAACATGGCCGGGTTAATTTGTGCTCATTTACGAAACCTACTGGTACGAAGTGCCATTTGAGATGCGGCCAGGTGCGAGAGTCTGGGGGTGTGATTCCCTGCAATGGATGCCGTGGATCCTCCGTCCATCATCCATCATCCATCCACTCCCTCGTGGCCGCCGACTTGAGCCCAGGACGAAAGGAAGCAAACCGCGAGATGCGCGGCAGGCACTCTTGCTGTTTCCCGCATCAACCACGAAGCGTGTTGATGGAGCTTCTTCTGCGATATTACCTTGCAATCACACATCTTCTTAGTGCCCCGTCGGCCTCTTCCCTCACCCAGCAAGTACTTACGGGCTGCCCCTGCCTCCCCGACAGATGACGTCGCCAGGGCAGGACCGACAGAGCGCCGCTCCTGCCCCTTGGAACAATTATTCAAAAACTTCACATCTCACATCGCGGGCCAACGGCTTCATCGCATTTCGCATCTCGCATCTCGGGATGCCGCGCGGCCAACAGTCCCTCTACGCACGCAGCTCTCGCACGAGCCGTCCATTCGGCCAGCGAACGACGACGTCGGGCTGCCCGCCCCCTTGCCCGCCAACCCACCGGATCTCCAGTGACGCTCACCTTGCAGCTGGCGCCACCACGGACCCCGAGGGACGGACCCCTGGAGCGTGGCCCCGCAACCCCTGAACCAAGAAAGCTAAAAACCGGGGGGCCACTTTGACTTCCGTGAATCGATGCCACCCGTTCGTCGTCCAAGCCCAGGCCCAGGCCAGGCGCGGCGCGAGGAGCTCCACCGCGGCCCTCTGTGGACGACGCCGCCAGGCAAACTAATCACCAGCCGGCCCTCTTTTCGCCCACCAATTCCTCGTGAACCTTGAGTGCTTTACGCACGAGGTCGAGAGGAATGTCGGCCGCGGCCGCGGCCGTATCGCGTCAGGCCATGGCGCCGCGCGTGCTCAACCTTGTCCAGACTTGCCAGAGCCGAGTCCGTATACTCGTACCCTTGGACCTGAGGCTGCAGGAGCGAGGCTTGCCGGCCGCCGACGAGGACACGAGCATTCCTGCCACGACCAAAAAAGTTGCCATTTAATGCCTGCGAGTACTAACCCGTAGTGCGGACGGCTTTGTTCAAGGCTAAATGTGCGGTCCACGGTCAAGGTCCGTCGGCCAGGGTCCTGCTCCAGGTACGGGGTCCAAACCCCTTGTCCCGGCCATCTATGTAATTACAAGCTCACGGTCTGGGCTTCACCAACCGGGGCTGGACCCGTTGCTGCAGTGGCCCGGCAACACGGCGCTAACCATGAGCCAAAGTCGCGGACGACGCCCGTCTCGACCTCACACGCTGCTTACTGAGTCGACGAAGAGGCCGGCTGATACGAGCCTCGTCGTCTGCTAGATGCAATACTCGGTACAACGGCACGGCGTAATCACCACGGGAGATGCAGCGGCGTCGACAGACCCTTGCCAAGCACCACTTCGGCCGTTCCAATGTCGCCTGTCATTTCATCTGGTCAGTATTGTGCCCGTATCACGGCCCGGCCACGGGTTAAACTCACGGGGTCCCCGGGGGGCCCAGTACTCGCCCGACTTGGACATGTCGAGTCCGTCGGCCCACTCGACCAAGCTCTTGGCCGCCTCGTCCGGAGTGACGGCTATGCGGAGACGTTGGTCAACACAAGGGTACGTGCATAGGCAAGCAAAAGCAGACGTACCTCCGCCGTCGTCCCAGTACTTGTCGAAGCCGACGCCGGCTGTCATCTCGGTGCGCATGAAGCCCGGGTGCACGATGCTCACGACGACGCCCTTGTCCTTGAGGTCGAGGCTCAGCAGCTTGCCGACCATGTTGAGTGCGGCTTTGCTCGCGTGGTGGGCGTAGTTGCCGCCGCCCTCCTTCTCGTGGCGCAGGGCGATGCTACCGGACTCGGAGGAGACGAGGACGACGCGCGAGCCGCTGGCGAGGAGGCCGGCGTGGACGAGGCGGTGGACGAGGAAGACGGGGGCGATGGAGCTGGTTGTGTACATGCGCTGCTCCTCATCCCAACTGGGGCCCTTTTCCGCGGTGAGATCCTCGGTGGTGAAGTGGCCGGCCGTGATGATCTGCACACTCGGCTCGTCAGCGCCGCTCACATGAGGGGACAGGTCGACATACCACAGTGGACAGCGGCGGCGAGGTGTGCGGGTCCTTGAGGAGCTTGACGAGCCTGTCACCGGCGTCCTGGTTCATGAGGTCGATGCCCGGGAGCCACTTGACGGGGACAGGGAAGCCGCTGGGGATGATGTTGGAGCGGGTGGTGCCGAAGACGGTGGTGCCAGCACGGGCGACATATTGCCGGACGAGGCTGGCGCCGAGGCCGCGCGTGGCGCCGACGATGAGGACCGTGGATGTAGACATTGGTGGGCGATGAGAGACGTAGGTGCGGATGCGGATGGATATGTGAGGTGAGGCGAGCGCAACGCGTCGGTGATGTAATTGAGTGAGACGTCTCTGGTATCAAAACTTACCAAGCTGCCTAATGGCAGTTGAGGTCGGCGGGGGCGGGGTCGACGGTTGAGGTTGCAATCACGTCACAGCAGTGCAGCGCTCGCTCGGCCGAGCGCAAGGCCAAACCTTGGGCGCTGCTTACGTGTCTGATGCTTGCATCTGCCGGTACGCCACTGACTGGCCGCGAAAAGTAAAGGCCGTGATCAGCCGCAAGGCATAGGGCTGAAGGTCCAGCAGGCTTCTGTCATGGTCGTTGTCAAGACCTGCCGTCTTGGGCATCACCGGTGGCTGCAGGTTCTGGTGTCTCCCATCCGGGGGATGAACATGCGGAGGGGCTCTCCCCGTGAAGGGGTTCACCGCACGTCTTTTAAACACGCCGGCAACGATGCAACCAGAGAGCCTTGGCCCCTTGACGCCTCTGCCGGGGCGTATTCAGTCGTATCTCTCTTCACGATACCCGTTCCAGCCATGCACGCACAGGAGCCCCTGCAAGTCCGCGCGCATCAAGTGCTTCCCCCGGCAGGGCAGCCCGTCCACCCGCCCAATCACGGCCCCGCTTCGGCGCGCCGGCGAGCCCAATCCGGCACTGGACCTTACTGCGGCACTGGACCGGGACCCCTGGAGCCGCCTGTGACTCTTTCCCCGATGCGCGCGCAGGGCCGGCATCCACATTCGACCTCACGTTGCTTCACTACGCCTCGCGCCGCCTCGCGTGATCTTCGCTGTTCAGCCTGGGGCTCAAGCTGGGGCGCGCGTGCCGGCTCGCTCTTGTGCTGAGATATATCCTGCGTGCAGTCCGCCTCCTGGCTGGCGCGGGTGCGCTTCTAACGGTCCTCTTTCATCGTCGTCGTTTGTCCCGCTGTCTTTGCCAGGAAGCATCACCGCCAGCTTCACCAACTCTTCGACGCGCTCACTCACTCACTCACTCACCCACCGGCACCATCCTGAGCTGCTCACCTCTCACATCTCGAGACAGCATAATCATCACAACAACCGCCATGATGTCTCCCAAGCACCAGCACCAGCACCAGCACCAGCGCCAGCGCTCTCACCCCCAGGTGCACCCTTCCCAAGCCCAGGCCCAGCCGCCAATCTCCGCCATCCACGCCGACCCGTCCCTCTTCCCGCCCTCCGCCTTCGTCGCCTCCTTCCACGCCTCGCAGAACCTCATGATCTCGTGCGGCTGCGTGCCCGTCGACCCGCCCCGCCGCAAGGTCGCCATCCTGCACGACCCGCGCACGGGCATCACCCAGCTGCCCAAGGGCCGCAAGAACATTGGCGAGGACGTCGCCGACGCCGCCATCCGCGAGACCCGCGAGGAGACGGGCGTGCTGGGGTTCCGCCTCTTGCCGCTGCGCGTGGCGACGCGCGCGACGCCTACCGCGGAGATGCTGGATGAGCACTTTGGGACGGTGACGCCGAGTGCGGCGGCGGCGGCGAGGGCGGAGGCGGAGGCTGCTGCCGGGGGAGCACTGCCAGTGGCATCAGCACCAGCAGCAGCGGCAGAAGTTGTCGTCACCACCACCGCCACCACCACCAACGGCAGCAGCAACGGCAATGACAAAGGCGACGGCGAGGATGGTGACGACGACGACGACGACGCGCAGTGGCACAACCTCGAAGACGTCACCTCCTGGCAGCCCAACACCGAGCCCATCGCCATCACCACCATGCGCTGCCGCAGCACCCTCGCCCTCAAGCTCGTCATCTGGTACGTCGCCGAGGGCGACTCCACGGCCGAGTCCCGCGGCGACGAGACGCGCGAGGCCTGGGAGGCGCACTACCTCCTCGAGTGGGTCGACGCCCGCGACGCGCCCGCCCGCATGACGTTTGACGCCGACGCCAGCGTCGTGGCCAAGGCCCTCGACGACATGCGCCGCTCTGGCTACGACATCTGAACCCTGAGGGCGCGCGGTCTTTGAACCCCTTTCGTCCTAGAATCCCCCACCGTCGTCCTTCTCCTTCTCCTCCTCTTCCCCCCTGTCTCTTCCGCTTGGCCACGATGGCCCCGGATGCTCGGGACTTGGCTCTGCGCCAAAGGCTGGCTGCTTTACGCTACGCTGGGCTGAGGGTGGCTTGGGCAAGGGTCAAGAGAGGAGCGGATAAGGGGTTACTGTGAGTGTGAGTGCTTGTGTGGTTGTGCTTGTGCCTGTGTTTTTTTGTTCGTGTTTGTGAAGAAAAGAAGCGAGGGTGAGTATCAAAAAAGGCGACAGTGAGTAATAGCCGCGTGCACTTGAATTCACGCGCAAACATACATAGACGTGAGCACCAACACCCCAAGACTGCTAGACAGACAGAGAGACCCCTACAGTTTCAACCCCCACAAGACTGGAGTAATAATGCACACGAGCCGTGCGAGCGCTTGCCCGTCGTGACCGACGCCGCCCCCGGGGTCAAAGTTCCCTCCCGGTCTGACATGTTTGGCCGTAGTAGTAGTATAAAATGCTGTCTCTCTCATCACCACCCCTTCTTGCGCCGATCGATACACGTCCCAGATACCCAATACAGACGGCCCTGCCTCCCTTTCGCACATGAGATGATGATCCTAAACGTACCGCCGTGGCATCGTCGTACATGCCGTCTACTCTGCCATCTACACTGCCATGGCGTGCCGGCCTCTCACGCAAACTAGTGACTCAACTCTTCACTCGTACAGCCCTGCCAGCATTCCACTGCATCACCCCTCAAACTCTACCACGCCAGTGCCCTGTGTCGTTCCTGGCCCCGCGAGGCGCTTGCCGTCCCCAGGGTCCATGTCCATGAGGTTCTGCTCCTGATCCTTGGACAGCGCACCGGCCTCTGCGTCCAGCCCGTCCAGCAGATCGCGGTCCGTGCTCTTCACGGACCGCCGCTCAATGTCCTGGCTCGACTCGCCCGGGCCTCCCCTGGCCCCGACGGCCACGCCAATGTCGTCGTCATCCTCGTCGTCATCCTCGGGTCGCTGGCCGGGCAGGGCGTTCTTCTCGAGCTCCCTCTGCGCCTCCTCCATCCGCCTGCGCACCTCAGTCGCCACGCGCATGCCGTCCGTGACGATGTTGTCGAGCACGCCGCGCAGACCTCGTCCAGCGCCTGGCGGACCCGTTTGGGCGGGAGGCGGTCGCGCTCCGAAGCCAAGGCTGGCAAACGTGGTGAGCGACGACGCCGATGATGCCGCCGCCGAGCTCGGTACGCCCTCGATGATGTGGAACGACGATGGAAACGATGACTCGAAGAACTGCTCGAGGAGTTCGTCGGCGAGCACGACCATCCTGAATGTCGGCAGTGTAATGTGCAGCGGGTGCGCCGGGTCCAGCGCCGCATTGGCCGCCTCAGACTTGGCTCTGGATGCCGTACGCTGGGCCACGTCGCCGCTTGAAGCCGATGATGCGTCCCCAGACTTTTTGGCCTTGGATGGAGATGCCGCCGGCGTCTCCAGGCCCAGCAAGTCCTCGTCGTCGTCGTCGTCGTCCCCAATGGCAAACGCCGCGCTCTCGTCAGCAGCTCTGCCACTTGAAGGTGCCTCGCCGCCGTCTTGATGCTGGGGATGATCGGGGTCCGCGTACTCAAAGCACCGCCGAATAAAGGCACTCACGCTGCCCAGGAAGCGCTCGTTTGTCGGTATGCCAGACGGCAGGCTGTTCTGGGAGTCGTGCGCGCTGCCCGCGTCGCCGTTGAGCGCCGTGCTCGAGGCGTTGGGGCTTAGGGTCCCCTCCAGCCCGCGTCGCGACAGGAACAGCAGCGCCTCCGATATCCTCAAGATGCCCTCGCGGTCCACTTTGCCGTCACCGTCGTCGTCGTAGAGCTCGAAAAAGTACGTAATGGTGCCCATAATGTCCCGCTTGCCCTTGATCCCGGCCAGCCCCGTCACGACGTTTTGCAGCGTCAGGGCCGAGTTGCCGTCGACGTCCCACTTCCTGTACAGCCGCTGTAGGAAGTCGTGCTCGGCGGGCTCGGGGCCGGCGCCCCATGGCGACATGATGTCGGTCGGCCTTCTGGCGCTCTTATAAAGCCTGTCTGTCTCGCCCGTATCGCGCCGCGAGTGGCTCGGAGAGTCGGATATCGCCCACTTGCACATGGCGGCGAGGAACTCTCGGAAGGCGTCATAGTCCATGAGGCTGGTGCTGGGGCCGAGGGCCACCCGCCCCTTCTCGACAGCCTCGCTCCGGGGGAGGCCGGACGCGAAGATCTCGGAGGCTCTCATCCTACTCGACTTGGCCCTCCGTTGGGCCTCCTCCTGGATCATCATGTCCCGCTGCTGTCGTTCGTATAGCACGCTGTAGAACCGGTCGTAGAGTGCGCCGAGCTCGTCGGTGCCGATGAGCTTGCTGTCGGGTCCTAGATTCCGGATCGCCGTCCGCTTCGCAAAGTTCTCAATGTTGCTCAGCACGGCGTCCTTCTTCTTCATCCGCAGATCCGTAATGGTGCTGTGCGTGATGCCCGAGAACTCCTTAAAGGCCACAACCATGAGTTCTTGAAACCTCGTGACGGCTCGCAGCTTGGGGTTCTCCGACTTGGGATGCGCAGACTCGTCTAGCCGCGAAAAGTATGACTTGAGGACTGAGATGAATGCCCCGTCATCAGCCGCGTCGAGCAGCTCCTCACCGTTTATGCGAAGAATGGCCAAGCCGACTTGAAACAGGACCTTGGGCCCTTCGACGAAGAAGACGTCTAATACCCGGAATGCGAATATGAGGGGCATGGAGTTGATGTAGAGGGAGAGGAACCAGGGCAACGAGACGACGGAAAGCTGGACATCGCTCTTGACCAAGTGCTCCCATAGAATGGGCATAGTCCTCTCGACCAGGGACTCAAAGACCTTTTGGTCGAGGAGGGTGCCGTACATGGTCGTCGAGTAGTACCCGGGCACCAGGCGGTCGCATAGCGCAGATAGGAGGAAGAAGGCCTGAGACTCGGACATGTAGATGAGCAGCGCCGCCACCACAATATTCATGGCCTGGCAGTAGCCGACGTCGGGGTTGACCCAGCTGTACGCCGTCAGGACGCGACGCAGCCTCCCGATGCCGTCCTCGCTCTGGAATCCGGGGTACTCGGGCAAGCTTCGATTCAAGTCCTTTTCGATCTCGTCGATGGCGAGCGACTCTTGGCCCTCAAATTTGGCCAGGGTGTCGGCATAGTGGGTCGGGTTCTCGAGGCGCAGGTAGATGGAGCCCGAGGTGACCTCCCATATCTCGCCGCGGAGTCGGTTCGGGAGGCCCACACGGATGAGCTTGTGAAAGGTGGGTTGGCGGATGAGGGTGGTGTTGCGGCCGTTGTCGCGCAGGTACTCGGCCCAGAGCCGCATCTTGGCGCGGTCTCGCAGCTTCTTGGGGTCGCCGGGATACCGGAAGATCATGCCCAACCCGGCGTCGGGCGGGCTCGCGTTCTTCCTCTCCTCGGTGCGCAGGAGGTGCTCCGAGTAGCACTCGGCCACGACCTTGCGTAGCTTGCCCACGTTACCGACGCCGGCCCTCAGGCCGCGCTTGAGGCCATCGCAGAAGCGCTCGCACGCCTGCCGGGTGCCGGCGAGATGGATCGTGATTCGCTGTTCTCGGGCGGCCACGTCCTTGGCGGCGTCCTTGTCCTTGTCCTTGGGGCTGTCGGCGAGCAGGCCGTTCCACGTCGTTATCGCGAGCGCAAACTAGGCGAGCGACATGTCAGCATGGGGTCCCCGTCTGCCCACGGGAGCATGGAATGGCAACGTACCTGAAAGTTTTGGCTGTTGAGCCTCTCGACCCTCCGGATGGCGCAGAGCGGAAATGTGAAGCCGTTGCCGCTCGGTCCGGCGCCGTGGGTCTGGCCGGTAAAGGCAGCCGAGGTGGAGGTGCTGGCGGACTGAGCGAAGCTGGTGGGCGTGGTGGAAAAGCACATGTATGCCTCAGAGAGGTGCAGCTTGCCGGGGTAGTGCCATCCGCGCTCCGTGTCGCGCTCGCCGCGGGTGGCATTGGACGGAGGGATGGTGAGCTCGGCGTTGATCTCGTAGAGGGGCGTCTGGGAGGGCGGGAGGCGGAACTGGCTCTGGAAGAGCGATGACTTGGACGGGTTGCGGTCGGAGCCTGAGAGGTTGAGGCCCTGCGTCGGGTCGATGAGCTGCTGGGCCTTTTGCACGATGTTCGTCAGGTTGGAGAACATGGTGACTCGGTGCCGGGTCAGCGGCGGCGCATGGCGGTGCCGACACGCAGTGAGGGGGGGGGCTGGACGGTAGCGAGCGGACGGGTCGCGTGAGGGGGAGATGCGGACGCGGCGGAGGACGCAGATGCGGCGTGTATCGGGGGTCGCGGCCTTGTCGTCGGTAATTGGCGGTGATGTCGAGCAAGGTGCAGGATGGGAAGGAGAGGTCTGGTGGTTGTTGTGGACAGACGGCGGAGCTGGAATGGGTTAGATGTCGGGTCGTCTGTCTGGTGCAGCTTGGCGGTTTGGGGGGGGGGCTGCCCTGCCTTGGGCGGTGCTGCTGACGGGGCGGGCGTCGGGCGGGCGGCAGTGCCTGGCAGTGAGGTGCGGGCTCGGCCAGCACGGGTCTCCACTGCGGTCGTCGCTCCACGATGGGAGGTGAGAGAGGTGGACGAGCAGCGCGGCGAGCTCGAGCTCCTCCCGGGCTCGTCGCGACTCCGCCCGGGCGCTGCCCTCGAAGCCTCCTCACAGCACGCCGAGGTGCCCGCTGCAGGAGCTGGAGCGCGCCCCGTCGACAGGGCAGCCCTGGCGCAAGGGGGGAGGGGGGCTGGCGCCAGTGAGCGCGCCTCGCTGAGAGGGCTGGGGGTTGTGGGCGTCGGAGCTGGCAGGCTGGGCTGCCCGGGCTGGACAGCGGAGGCGGGGCACGCTCGGTGTCTGCAGCGGCCCCATGGGTGGAGCTTCGCGGATGCGTTCAGTGAGGTGTCTTGGGTGTCGGTCGCCTGTCACTGCCCACTGGCGCTGGCGCTCCCTCCACTGGCACGTCCTGCCACTGGCCCGGGATGTGCTTCTGCGCCTCCGCTTACCCTGGACTGTGGCCGGGTGGCCCCGCCGCCAGCAGCATGAACCTTGCAAGGGTTGGGGCTTGACTGACGTCTTGACCTCCACTCTGAGCGACCGGCGCAGCCTGGCGCATTGAGTTTACGTTGGCAGCGCGCCTTTTTTCCCCAATACCGTCGGCGTGGATTGCTGCTGCTGGAATTGCAATAATGCAACGGGGCGGCGGCGCGCCTCCCTGCAGGGACCAGAGAGAGGGGGGAAACCGTTGAGGACTTCATCGGGCGGCGGCACAGGCAGGACAGGACAGTAGGTCACTGCGTGTTCTGCTCCCAACAGTTCGACACATCACATCAGACTTATATACACACGACATCAGGGGCCCCCCACCGCGGCGGAGGATGCAAGTATGCAAGCAAAGGGTGTGTGCGCGCGCGGAAGGCGACTGCCGTTGCCGAATCGCTGGAACCTCCACGCGGGCGTCGCACCGCATGCAGTGCCACGCTGCGCGCCGTGGCCGAGGGTAACCCTTGGCCTGCTTGCTTGATTACCTTGCCCAGATGCTACGGGGAGCAAGGCTGGCTGGCTGGCTGGCTGGCTGGCTGGCTGGTTGCCATGATGCCCGATCTCTTCACGGTTGTCACTGGAGCTGGACTGGACTTGGACGGGAGGGCATCCATCTCGGCGACGACGGCCAGCCCGCGGATCATGACGCCAGCCGGACGGACAGTGTCTCGATGGCACCCGATGGGACTGGGCTGGAAGGGAACGGACTGCCGAAGCAAGGCAAGGTAGGCAGGCACACATGGATGTTAGTGCAGATGGCCGGTGATGGGAGTTCGGATAGCATAGGCGAAAAAACGAAAACTGCCCCTCCCCTCCCTCCATCCATCCCCCTTCCCCCCCCCGGGCCCCGGATGGAGCTGCCGTTGCGTCATACCCAGCATCCGCCTGCAGGGCAGTCTTACTTGCGCCTGCTGCCCGCACGCCCGCCAGGCCCCGCGGCGGATAGCGGGATGGGTTCCCCCTCAAGCCCCCCAGCGATCCATCGCCGCCAGCTGCCAGCCCGTCACGCATGGATGCTCGCCCAGTATGGTATGTGTGTGTAATCGTATCGTTCTCTTGTGCTACATACTACGACTAGCGCATCCACCTGCCGCTCCACCTCCCAGAGCATTTGGACGTTGTCGAGTGGTGCTGTCGCATGCCATGGTACATTTCGTGGTGTAAGGTGTATGTAACCGTAAGCTGAACCTCGTCCCTTTGGGCCGCCCGCCTCCTCTTGATCCTCCTCCTCCTCATCCTCCTCCTCCTCCCGCCGTCTCCTCCCCCGCCGACATATCGACACCGGCACCGACACCGACACCGACATCCCACATCCGCGGCGGACGGCAACAACCCGCAACTCCCTACTCTCCGCCCCCCGTCCAATGTCCCCTCGCGGTGCAAGCCCCCCGTTCCTCCTCGTAGACCCGCGGCCAAACATGGACCGCACCTGAAACCGCACCAGGAGCAGCCGCACAACGCACCCGCGCAAGCGAGGGCGCGACGACGGACATCGACACTCGCTCTCCCACGGCGCGGCACGACTGGAAGACGTCGTAGGCGCTTTCTTACTCTCTCTCTCATCATGGCGGCCACGGTCGCAAACTCCTCACAGGCGCAGCTCGGCCTCCATGGCCGCGACGATGGCGGCAGCAGCAATGCGCCGGGGCAGTCCTCGTCGCCGTCGGCCGTTGAGCCGCTGCCGCCCGCGCCAAGGTTCAAGCCCAGCGACTTCACCCTCGTGCGGACACTGGGGACCGGTGAGCATTCTCTGGTGCGCATGAAAGAACCGCAGAAATACTAAACAGATGGGATAGGCACATTTGCCCGCGTATGCCTCGTCCGGCCCGCGACGTCGGCAGACCACGAGCAGCAACAACAGCAGCAGCAGCAAGACGCAGATGCGCAGCACCAGCAACAGCACCAACAACAACACCAACCAGACGAAGTGTACGCCCTCAAGATCCTGCGCAAGACCGACGTCATCAAGCTCAAGCAGGTGGACCACGTGCGGCACGAGCGCGCCATCCTCGCCGACGTGGCCGGCCACCCCTTCATCACCAACCTGCTCGCCTCCTTCGCCGACGCCGACTCGCTCTACATGCTGCTCGACTACGTCCCCGGCGGCGAGCTCTTCAGCTACCTGCGCCGCCTGCGCCGCTTCGACGAGCCCGTCGCCCGCTTCTACGCCGCCGAGATCGTCCTCGTCCTCGAGTACCTGCACGAGCGCCAGGGTGGCGTCGCCTACCGCGACCTCAAGCCCGAGAACCTGCTGCTCGACCGCGACGGCCACATCAAGCTCGTCGACTTTGGCTTCGCCAAGCGCCTCGGCTACAAGGACGACCGCCCCGTCGAGACGTACACCCTCTGCGGCACCCCCGAGTACCTCGCCCCCGAGGTCATCCACAACAAGGGCCACACCACGGCCGTCGACTGGTGGGCCCTCGGCATCCTGATATACGAGTTCCTGACGGGCTATCCGCCCTTTTGGCACCAGAACCCCATTGAGATTTACAAGCAGTAAGCTTCCCTCTTTGTTCTCCTCCTCCTCTCTCCAGATCTCCTCCCTCTCTCCGTCCATATGCAGGCGAGAATGCAGCACGGCGAGAGACCAGCAAGCAAAAGGCACACCTACTAACGAGCGCACCCGCGCGCACCCCCACAGAATCGTCGAAAAGCCCGTCATCTTCCCGCAGGACCCCCCCATCTCCCCCGACGCCAAGGACCTCATCCGCTCCTTCTGCACGACGGACCGCTCCCGGCGCCTCGGCAACATCTCCGGCGGCGCCGCCCGCGTGAAAGCCCACCCGTGGTTCGCCGACGTCGACTGGGACGCCGTCATCGCCCGCCGCGGCCAGGGCCCCATCGTGCCCCCCGTGCGCTACCCCGGCGACGCGCAGTGCTTCGACACGTACCCCGAGGACGACGGCCGCCGCGCCCAGTACACGGACGACATGGCGCGCAAGTACGACCACTACTTTGAGGACTTTTGAGGGCGAGAGGGGATTCGCTGGAGCAGCGTTTGCTTTGTTGTTGTTAAGCTAGCCGCTGATGCTCCTCTCGTGAGAGTGAGAGAGTGAGACTGAGAGAGCCTGGTGCCGTGGGGTTCGTCGGCCCTGCGCCTTGCTCAAGAGTGAACGAGCCATGTGACCATGGAGGGGTATCATCGGCGTAGGTATGCGCCTTACGACGTCACGTTTGGGGTCTCTTTCCCATTCACGTTTTCCCCCCATCTCCCATCTCCCATCTCCCATCATATTGGGCCATATTTGCCGTTTGCCCCCGTTGGCTCTGGGGACATTCACCATGACGTTACACACACACACACACACACATCATATATACACAATACGTTTATCTCCGAGGCGTCACGGCGTTGTAGGCGCTCACCATCGCAGCAAAGCCTGACGTGGTAATTTACTTGCCATATTGTTTGGCCGACCCTCCATACCTAGGTAGCTCACATGAAGTACATATAACGTTATAACCAGCCATTCACGGCCTCGAGCATCTCAAGTCTCGGTGCCAAAGCGCCTCCATAAGAAGATTTGAGAACTACCTACGATACGTCCGGCTTCATGATGCTAATTCTTTGTCTTATTGCGCCCCCGACTAAGAGTATCAATCAATGCTTCGTTCGTAACTCATCCCTCAAACCCATTCACCCCGTTCGCTATCCCCAGGTGGTTGCGTGTACCGCCAGAGCACAAATACCAATACCTATCTGTCTGTCTGCCCTGCCCGCCTGCCCGATCTCTGATTATAACCACCAGTCTTTCCCGTGATGCGATCCCCTTCGCCTTGCCACCTCTTTCTTCCGTTCTAGACGACGTGTTGTTGCTGTTGCGCCGGTGTACCTCCCTCCTCTACGCTGAATATGTAGACAAAAACACACCCCCTGCTCCGCTATCTCACCCCGTTCTTTCCATCTATCGCTCGCCACCATGCGGACACGTGAATGCAGAACAAAAAAAAAACACGCAAACGCAAACGCACACTCCGTAGCGAGCCAAACAAGACCGAAACGCGCGATATTGCTGCAGTAGTAGACACGCAGCGCCAAGAAAGTCCAGCACCACCGACGTAAAATGCAAGAACCTGGATCGTGAGAAACAAAGACAGGAAAGGGGAGGGGGAAGAAGAGGCATGCAACAGCGGAAAGCCTCCCTCAAAACGACTTGTACAGCCAGTACCCGCCCACGCTGGCGACGAGCAACGCCGTGAGTACCAGAGCGCCCTCGCGCGTGCTCCAGAGAAACATGCTCCAGCCGACGAGCCTCTCCTTCTGTCGGGCAGCCTTGCGCCGCTCCCAGGCCTCCGGGTCAATCTCCACGGGCAGGCGCATGCGCGGGTCAACCGCCAAGAGGGCCGCCGTGGGCGTCGCGACCCCGTCCTCATCGAGCTCGCCCTTAAGCGGGGACTGCGTCTGAGGCGGCGCGAGCTGCGAGGGCGGGATGAGCGGCACGTCAACGCGCAGAAACACGGGACGGTGGTCGCTGGTGCGCACCACGGGTAGGGCGTCGTACCCGCGCACGCGCATCTGCGGCGCCGCTCTGTCGGCTTTCACCCACGGCGGGAGGTCCAGGTACAGCACGCGGTCCGTCCAGCTGGGGTACCGGTGCGGTGCAAACGTCCATGGCACGGCGTCAGGCCCGGGGCCGTCATCACCGTCATGGTGCCCGCCCTCAATGTCGTACTTGTATGTGGGCGGGAACCGCACCTCGTGCTCCGTCAGGCCGTGCATGGTCCGCCCCGCCTCGCGCTCGCGCGTCAGCTGGTCCAGCGGGAAGAAGGTCGGGTAGTAGTGCTCCGAAGCAGGGTCAAGGCTCGGGAACGCGGCGTCGGGCGGCGGCGACACGGTCGAGATGCGGTAGTTGAGGTCCCCCGCCACGAAGAGGTGCGACGAGGGCTTGAACACGGAAATGTCGTGCAGCTGGCGCTGTAGCTCGAGGTGTAGCTGGTAATGTTCGTCCCATAGCTGGCGGTGTCGCCGCGAGTACTCTTCATGGAGCAGGTGTTGTCGCTCGCCGTTCTCCTCCTCGTCCTCCCCGGACGAGCCCCCCACGTCCGACGACGTGCCCTCGCGGCTACGCATCCGCTCCACCACAGCCTCCGGGTTGTCAAACGTCAGGCCCCTCATGATGGCGGCCCAGTTAGCGTTCCGCCGCGGGAGGTTCCACTCCATGGCCGCCAGGTGCGTCGCCACAAACGTCAGCTCCGTCGACTGCGTCTCGTCGCCCTCCTTACCGGCGGCGTCGTACAGGACTCGCAGGCCCACGGCGCCCTTGTTGCCCATCTCCGCCGCGCCGAAGCCCACCTCGGCCTCTTGCAGATCCCTGACGCGCGCGGGGTCCTTTGCGAACAGCAGGATGGCCGTGTACCCGACATTGTGCGCCCGGACGAGGACGTACGGCCCATCTGTGTTTACGCCCTCCTCCGTGTGCGTCCTTAACACATCATCTTGCGGCCGTTGTCGCTCGTCTGCGCCGCCATCGCGCCAAAGCGCCGCTGCTCGGTTGATGGCCTCGTCGAACCGCGCCACGTACGGGTGGAGGAAGTAGTCGCCGATGAAAGCCTGGCTTAGAGGGGCAATCTCTTGCAGGGAGCTTGATTGAAGCCGGAGTCAGCGCACGAACCACCCAGCGAGCCACGAGAAGAAGAATAGACGGCGCGGGAGCATTGCTTACAAGACCACGAGGTCGGGCAGCCCCGGCGCATTGTGCCCAAACGCCGACGCCAGATGCGTAGCAAAGACGCCCGGGTTGATGAGGTTCTTGGCGCAGTTGAACGTGAGGACCAAGAGGTCGAGCGTCGAGGGCGACATGCTTGGCGTTGACGCGCTGTCCGGCTCGTCGCGGTCGACGGGCAGCAACGTCGTCATGGCCGAAATGCGGTCGGCAGTTCGAGTTGTAGATTGGAGGATCTCCAGTGCTGGTTCTGGGTTGGTGGTGGAGGGGGGAGGGGCTTGGGGGGCGTTTTACAGCACCCAGTCAGTGGTGGCCGGTCCACCAGTGGCGTAGGTTCCGCCCGAGTGGATGGCCCTTGCTCGAAAGGGGACAAAGAGGTCAAGGGCAGAGCAGCCTGCGGCACAGCGAACAGCACCTGCACAAAGGCCGGTGATGCAGGGCAGCCTGTAGCGGCCACAGCGAACAGCAACAAAGGCCGGCGATGCAGGGCAAAACCTTGCGGCGGCGGGGGGTCGCACCGCGGATGGGCTGGAATATGACAGAGCACCTGGTCAGGAATGACAGAGCAGCGCGACCACACGCCGGCTGGCGATAGCCTCACAGCCACAGCTATATACCTGACGCCCGGGCTGCGGCGGGCTGAACGGCACCGCGTCCACTTCGTCCACTTCCAGCACTGCTGACTCCGCCCATGCTAGCTCGCCCCTAATACATACCTGCGGGCCTGGCGAGGGGCCACCCCGCGTGACGGGTGACCCCAACCTGGGAAGCCTCACGCGACCCATCCAGGCTGTGCCTGCACGGCGCCAGCCCAGCTCCCAAGGCGTCCGTCTCCCTGCCTTATACGACGGCCAGGTATCTACTTGCACCAGCTTCACTTGCACGGTCGCTGCTGCCCTTGGCACGGGCTTGGCACGCATTTGATGAAAAACCATGGGCGATCAATTTCAAAGGACTACCTGACGAATGCTCCTAGCCGCGCACGCCGCTCCAGACTGGTCGTCGCCACGGCCGTTGAGGGTTCGCGGTGACACCAGCCCTACCGGCAGAGGTGGATACTAATGAGCCTGCCCTTGGCGGCGGGTTCTGGACTGACATCCATGTTGAGGCACCGACGCAGCGGCCGGTTTTGACACAGAGACCAACAACCCGGCTTGCCAGAGCCGGTCTGCCACTTCAGCGTCGACTTGCATCGCCACCAAAGCGGGGACGTTCAGGCTGAAATCCCAATCCACCGTGACTGATACTGCGCCCGGTGACGTGTGCGTGTCGTTCGTTTCCTCGAGGATCCGTAGGCGCGTGCCGCCAGATTTGAGACAGTTCCCCGGGAGCCTCCACAGCCATCCTGACCTCGAGTCCGGCTTCTCGTCCCCATAACCTCCCCAGAAGCCGTCCCCGGCGGGGCGAGTCCAAATTCGAAGTGCGAATGTCGACGTGCACAATTAGGGCCGATGAAAGTAAAGAAAAAAGCCTGCTCAGAGGAACGCAGCTGTACCGCAACGACTGATGTTGGGCCTGGAGGGGTAAGGATTGTGCGGCACCTCCAGGTTCCCAAGTGGCATCTAGGCACTCGTGGCGGCGGAAGAATTCTGCACGGCCCATGAGCTGAAAGCTGGCCTGGCCAGGCCTGCGTGAGGCTTCGCCACGCCCATGGTTGCACGGTGGCCCAACCGAAGGTCGGTCACCGGACATGCCGTTCAGATGAAGTTCCGGAAGAGACAGGGCAGTCGACGTCAGACAGGCAAAAGCCTGCCGCCGCGTCTTGTCCGTGCCATCCGGAGCCATCCGAGCCATGCGTCAAGTGAACCATAAGATGCATCCAGAGTCGAAGAACGAGATAAAGCAATGCGTAGGAAATAAAGAAATAGCTGCGACCGCGCAAGGGGAAACCGTCGCATCGAGTGTAATCTGCGGGCCGAGTGGCAGGCGTCGCGTCGCAGGCCGATTTTGACTCGTGGCCAACGACGGCCAGGCTGCCTCAGCCTCATGGCCCTGTCAATGATGCAGCGGAAGGCGGTTTCCCCCAGGTCTCGGCCGCCCTTCAGACGCGCGTCGAAGCACGAGAGCGGGGTTGGGCCGGTTCACAAACTCATTTCGGTCGGTAGCTGCCAGAGGCATAGTTCGCTCCCTTTGAAGCAGAGCGAAGCCTGTTTATCGTCCACTGAGTCAGCCGATAGATGTCAGCACATTTTCCCTTTGGCTAGCGGTTCTCAAGCACACGAAACGCTCTCGGAGGAAAATGATTCCTTACAAGGAAACGGATGCTGTTTATTGGGCTGGGCTGGTCAGACACTCACATCCTGTCGCTACCGCCAATGGCGCGGTTGGTATCCGGAGTGTCAACGCCAGCGCCAGATCCACGTTCGAGCATCTTGCGGCGAGAGCTGGGGATCGCGTTGGGCTTGGCGGCACCGCTCTGGCCGGCCGTGGCGGCGTTGGTGCGCGAGGCGCGGGCCTTGTCGTCCTCGTCGGGGTTGGCGGCGCCGGCGGCCTGGGCGATGGCCTGGGCGTTCTTCTGGTACTTGTAGACGGTCCAGTCGAAGACGTAGTCGTACTGGAATCCCTCGCGGACGAAGAGATCGCGGAAAATCTTTCGCAGGTAGCTGTAGTCCGGCTTGTCGTCGAAGCGGAGCGACCGGGTGTAGTTGAGGTAGATGGCGAACTCGTTGGGGAAGCCACGGCAAAGGACCTCGGTGGGGGTCGTCATCTTCTTCTCCATGATGCGGTCGTACTTTTGCTTCTTGGTGGCGGCCTTCAGGCCCTGCCAGGGGAGCGAGCCGCGGCAGAAGTAGAGCATGACGTAGCCCAGGGACTCCATGTCGTCGCGGCGGGACTGCTCGACGCCGAGGTGCGTGTTGATGGAGGCATAACGGGCCGTACCAGTCAAGTTCTTGTTCTCGCGGTAGGGAATGTGGAAGTGCGTCTTGGGGTCGCGGTACTTCTTGGCGAGACCAAAGTCGATGACGTTGACCTGATTGCCGCGCTTGCCGATGCCCATGAGGAAGTTGTCGGGCTTGATGTCGCGGTGGATGAACGACTTGGCGTGGATGTACTCGATGCGGGAGATGAGCTGGTCCGCGAGGAGAAGCACCGTCTTGAGCGAGAACTTGCGGTTGCAGAAGTTGAAGAGGTCCTCCAGGCTGGGGCCGAGGAGGTCGAGGACCATGGCGTTGTAGTCACACTCGGTGCCGAACCAGCGGACAAAGGGGATGCCGACGCCGCCGGCGAGGGACTTGTAGACGCGGGCCTCATACTCAAGCTGGGGGTGCTTGGCCTTGACCGACTCGAGCTTGATGGCAATCTCCTCGCCGGAGATGATGTTGGTGCCGAGGTAAATATCGCCGAAGGAGCCGGAACCGATCTTGCGGCCGATACGGTACTTGTTACCGACGCGGAGATCCTGTGCGGCCTGGTTAGCATCGCGTTGTCAATTGTGCAGTGCCGGATGCCGACGGAGATGTGGCGGCTGCGGGATGAATGGTGATGATGATTGCCGCCGAGGAGCCGGAAACGAGTGCGAGCGATGGCAGGGGCAAACCATCACCGCAGCCACGTCTATGGCATGAAGGCTCTGTTCCTCATCGAGCCAGCCACCGAGGCATGCGTTGTATTGCAATGCCCAGCCGCTCACAAAGGCATCGACATGCTCTGCTGAAGGGATACACGGGGAGGGAGGCTAGGCAAGGGCGGAAACATACCATGGTGGTCATCTTGGCCGTCGGGGGTGAGTGCTTCGATCCACGAGGGACGAAGCGAGCTCGCTGTCGAAATTATCGAGTGCACGCCTATTCTGACGCTGTGCTCGGGGTCAGCGGTGGTCGATGGCCGGTCGGAGGAGAAATGAAAAAGCGTGGTGATTGTGCAGAAGCAGTGTGGTGGAGAGGACAGAGAGTAAAGGGCGCTGGCGTGATGTGGAGAGCGGGTGCAGTCTCTGAAGGGCTGCAGCGCCACCACCGGGGGAAGTTCGGTGCAGGCGGGCCAGGCTGGGCTGGGCTGGGCTGGGCTGGGCCGGGGCCCATCAGCGCTGCTGACAAGGGTCGGGCCTCGAAGGTGCAGCCCGGCTGGGCATCCACGAAACGAGCAGCTCTGCGGCCAAGGGAGAGCAAAAGCGCCGAAGAGAAGAGGCAGGCGACACGCGAAGGTCCAAGGAGGGTATTTTTGGATGCACTGCACGTACCTGCTGCACCGAGATGGGTGCGTTTGTCGCGGGTGCGGAGAGGGTGAGGGAGGCGGTCAGGACACTCGCAGAGCCTCTGACCCGGTGGCGGTGACGAAAGAGGGCGGACGACGGGCGGACCACGCGGGTTGCAGGTCGTCAGAGGGAAAACGCAGGCGGGCTTGTCTGCCGACCGAAACAGTTGGGGAAGACGGTTTATGAGGCCGTCGACGGACGCTCGGGTAATGACGGGCGAGAGTTTGCTGTCGTCAAAGACGCGGCTGGGCGAGAAGTGCGCCTCTTTGTGCTCGGCTGTTGGATTGAGCTCGGGGCGGTGGTGGTGACGGGGTCGGGTGGGGG